TTCGATTCCCGACATGGGTACAATGTGTGAAGCTCATTTCTGGTGTCCCCCGCCGTGATATTGCTGGAATATTGCTCAAAGCGGCGTAAAATCAAACTCACTCACTCACTCTCACTCATTTAGACATCCAGGGGTTGACAGCTATGACTTAGGTTGGAATCCAAGGCATATCTCAGACCTCCATGGTACTTTGGCAGAGTATTGTATGAAACAATATACAAGAGATACACCATTACATAGTTTCACCATGTTGAATTACAGTAACGTCCAAACCTGCACATTTTAGTTCTTTTTAATACGAATCAATTTCGTAATCTGATAATGTGAACTTTGGCAGTAGATATCTGATACCTGGGATGTCAGCTGACCTAGATGATAACTCTATACCATCCACCTGTTGGTTAGTAACACATATATCACCTCATAGGCAGGACTGGGCCACATCGTTTTCAGTCATCATGGGGAAGGTTGTGGTATTAGCGCTGCTGGCTGTTGTGACTATATCGACAGTAAGTACACTGTTACTAGGTGATAACATATTTGTGGTCACACATTGGTGTTACTGTAGCTCTAATGATAACCCTATATTCAAGGACATGAACAGGTAGTATCTTGTGTCAAGGTAAATGCCTGATAAGGTCTCTTCTTGGTTTTTGGATGATCTAATAAAGACAAAAACGAGAAGGGTGAGTTGTGTGTACAATAAGACACTGCCGGGAGAACAAACCATGAGGGTCGACGCCCAAATGGGTTATTCTCCCTGCAGTGTTTTATTGTTCGATAAACAATGACCATGAGTAGTTTATTTCTTATGTGCGATATCAACATTATGTACAGCTTCTTTACGGATGTTAATCAAATTTATAAGCTTTAGAAATATTTACCCCTATTTAAATAAGGATGACTCCCTAAATACATTCCAATTTTCAGGGATATCAGACAGGGGGCATTAAGTTTGGTATTTCCTGAATATTTCTGAACAAACATCAAAACTATGGAAAATTAGTACCGTATTCGACGTAATAGGCGCCCAGGGCGCTCTCAAAATTTGAAATAGGGGGCTCTTATTAGAATAAGATTTTGGAGAAAAAAATACACAGAAAGATTGTAAATTTCGTGGTTTATGCTGACAGCCTGAAATGATACAAAATAAAAGTCTGTGTGTATTATACACAACAGATATACTTACCCAGAATTTAATTGCCCATAAATAAGGTCGCATATAACACACGAGTGCGTATTATACACGAATAAATAAGTCACTGTGTACATTGATCAATCGGAAGGGGTGCTAATTGGGATTGTTCACTAGCCAATATATTAGCAATATCGCCGTGGGCGCTTATTTAAGAGCGGGGCGCTTATTACGTTGAATACGGTATGTCTTATGTTCTTAGATGTTCTCACTACTCCCACAAAAATAGCATCGTCCAATTAACTCGACATCAGTTGAAAGGGGATGTGACCCTAGGATCCGGGGTTGAATAGGTCTTCAGCAACCCATGCTTGCTGTACATGGTGACTATGCTTGTCATGAGAGGCAACTAACGGGATCGGGTGGTCAGGCTCGCTGACTTGGTTGATGCATGTTATCGTATCCCAATTGCAGGGATTGATGCTCATGCTATCAATCACTGGATTGTCTGGTCCAGACTCGATTATTTACAGACAGCCGTCATATAGCTGGAATATTGTTGAGTACAGCGTTAAACAACAAACAAAATTAAAAAATTAAAGGGTATCTTTGAAAATTTCCAAAAGTCATGTCATGATGGAAAAATGTGTTATCGTGAATTAAGCAACACCTCTTTCTTCTTGTTTTTTGGGTGATTTATCTCGTGGCTATCTTATATTGAGTAAGAAGTTGACTTTGTTCATTTCAACACTTGTATGTTTTGGACTTATGTCATTGAATGCGAAGGCAAGTGTGAAATGTGTCGAAATTGGGGAGTTAAGGGGTTTTCGGGGATCAGTTTAAAATATTAAAACATAAGTAAGTCTCTTACCAAACATTATTTTCAAAGGAGATGTAAGTAAATTCAATGAGAACATATGATGACAAATATGTGACCTTTTCATCATTAGATATTCACAAGAACTTCGAATTTTATTTTTTTTATTTGATTTTTTCTTGCATTTTAGCTTGTCCCTATATGGCTGAAATAATGCTGATGCAACGTTAAATTTTAACTCACTCACTCTTGCATTTTAGCCATTCTTATGTACTTTCATCATGCCAAAAGTATAATAGAATAGGTCTTCAGCAACCCATGCTTGCTGTAAGAGGCCTGTCGTAAGAGGCCACTAACGGGATTGGGTGGTCAGGCTCGCTGACTTGGTTTCTGTGTGTCAATTGCGTAGATCGATGCCCATGATGTCAATCACTGGATTGTCTGGTCCAGACTTGATTATTTACAGACTGCCATTATATGGCTGGAATATTGCTGAGTGCGAAGCTAAACAATAAACAGACAAACAAACCATACTTGACTGTTACGACATCACACTGCTCTTTGGGACTCGAAAGATATACCATCACAGTTAGAGATAGAAAAGCAACTTTCAGGCTCCCAGTCATCCATAATAACTTAAGTACACTATCTATCATGTTTTCTTCCCCCCAAAAATATTGAAAACTTTGAATATTGTAACAGCAGCTCTGCATTTTTTTATGTATCATTGGACATATCCTTGTTTCAAAATACCTACAGAAATGTATAAACATGTGGTTATCCATGTGCTGCCTCCTGTGACAAAATGGCCTTAAATAGACTGTTTCAACAAGATCAGTTTTATTGTGATTTGAAACCTCTGACAAATCAGAATCAAGTATTTACCAAATTATTGTCAGTATGCTCAATAAATACTTAAAACACATTGTTTGTCTTGATCGCTTGTGTAATACACTACAAATACCTATCCCAAGGTCAGTAAAGGTTGATTCTTTATGTTGAATAATGCTCCACTCACCAATATTCCAGCTATATGATGGCGTTCTGATGAGTGAGTGAGTATGGTTTTACGCCACTTTTAGCAATATTCAAGCAATATCACGGCGGGTGTCACCAGAAATGGGCTTCACACATTGTACCCATGTCTGGAATCGAACCCGGGTGTTCGGCGTGACGAGTGAACACTTTAACCACTAGGCTACCCGACCGCCCCTCGTTCAGATGATGATGACCAGACAACCCAGTGATTGACATCATGAGCATCGATCTACATAATTGGTATATGATGACATGCATGAACTAAGTCACCATATCTGGCCTCCCGGTCCTGTTAGTCGCCGCTTCGTAACAACAAGCATGGATCGCTGAAGACCGATTCTAACCCAGATCTTAACCAATTGACAGGACAAAGTTGGTTGCTATGTGAACCGTGAAGGAGGGATGTTGACAGTAATTTGGTTACTATGTGAAGGAGGGATGTTGGCAGGACTTTGGTTGCTATGTGAAGCAGGGATGTTGGCAGGACTTTGGTTGCTATGTGAAGGAGGGATGTTGGCAGGACTTTGGTTGCTATGTGAAGGAGGGATGTTGGCAGGACTTTGATTGCTATGTAAAGGAGGGATGTTGACAGGACTTTGGTTGCTATGTGAAGGAGGGATGTTGGCAGGACTTTGGTTGCTAAGTGAAGGAGGGATGTTGGCAGGACTTTGCTAAGTGCGAAGTGAAGGAGGGATGTTGACAGTACTTTGGTTGCTATGTGAAGGAGGGATGTTGGCAGGACTTTGATTGCTATGTAAAGGAGGAATGTTGGCAGGACTTTGGTTGCTATGTGAACTGTGAAGGAGGGATGATGACAGTACTTTGATTGCTATGTAAAGGAGGGATGTTGACAGGACTTTGGTTGCTATGTGAACTGTGAAGGAGGGATGTTGACAGGACTTTGATTGCTATGTAAAGGAGGGATGTTGACAGTACTTTGGTTGCTATGTGAAGGAGGGATGTTGGCAGGACTTTGATTGCTATGTAAAGGAGGGATGTTGGCAGGACTTTGGTTGCTATGTGAAAGAGGGATGTTGACAGTACTTTGATTGCTATGTAAAGGAGGGATGTTGACAGGACTTTGGTTGCTATGTGAACTGTGAAGGAGGGATGTTGACAGGACTTTGATTGCTATGTAAAGGAGGGATGTTGACAGTACTTTGGTTGCTATGTGAAGGAGGGATGTTGGCAGGACTTTGATTGCTATGTAAAGGAGGGATGTTGGCAGGACTTTGATTGCTATGTGAACTGTGAAGGAGGGATGTTGGCAGGACTTTGGTTGCTATGTGAAAGAGGGATGTTGACAGTACTTTGATTGCTATGTGAAGGAGGGATGTTGGCAGGACTTTGATTGCTATGTAAAGGAGGGATGTTTACAGGATTTTGGTTGCTATGTAAACCATGAAGGAGGGATGTTTACAGGACTTTGATTGCTATGTAAAGGAGGGATGTTGACAGGACACTGATTGCTATGTAAAGGAGGGATGTTGGCAGGACTTTGGTTGCTATGTGAAGGAGGGATGTTGGCAGGACTTTGGTTGCTATGAGAAGGAGGAATGTTGGCAGTACTTTGGTTGCTATGTGAACCGTAAAGGAGGGATGTTGGCAGGACTTTGGTTGCTATGTGAAGGAGGGATGTTGGCAGGACTTTGGTTGCTAAGTGAAGGAGGGATGTTGACAGTACTTTGGTTGCTATGTAAAGGAGGGATGTTGGCAGGACTTTGGTTGCTATGTGAAGGAGGGATGTTGGCAGGACTTTGCTTGCTATGTAAAGGAGGGATGTTGACAGTACTTTGATTGCTATGTAAAGGAGGAATGTTGGCAGGACTTCGATTGCTATGTGAAGGAGGGATGATGGCAGGACTTTGGTGGCTATGTGAAGGACGGGTGTCAGCAGGACTTTGATTGCCATGTAAAGGAGGGATGTTTACAGGATTTTGGTTGCTATGTAAACCATGAAGGAGGGATGTTGACAGGACCATGCTTACAATAGTATTTGCTTTATTGCAGGCTGTCGATGTCAACAATGTAAAGTGTGACTCCACCTCCGAGTGTCTAGATGGAAGCACCTGTTGTAAAATGTCCTCTGGCCAGTGGGGATGCTGTCCTGTGCCACAGGTAAGAAAAATACCTATCAAGGTATGTTCTGCACTCCTTGTCGCCTTCAAACCAGTTCTTGTATGTTTCATCAGAGAGGTAAATTCCTGCAGTCAACTGTGTCCCTTTTGGCTGAATATCCTGCTCCATGACACTGATGTGCTATTTCATATATAAAATCATGTGAAAAGCTCACTCACTGAAAATGCTCTCACTATTTTCAAAGATTAACATGTCAAATTCATTCTTTTTCCAGGCCGTGTGTTGTGCTGATGGATTCCACTGCTGTCCCTCTGGAACAACTTGTAATCAAATATCTGGCAAATGTTATAGTAAGGATGGACTCTCTATCACATGGTTCAGGAAAACTGCAGCGATTGTTAAGAATGTAGAAAATGTAAAGTGTGACTCCACCTCCGAATGTCCAGATGGAAGCACCTGTTGTAAACTGTCCTCTGGCCAGTGGGGATGTTGTCCTCTGCCACAGGTAAGAAAAGCAGTTTTGTACAAACCCATGTGTCAGAAAAGTAATTTTATTCTCAACAGAAGACATATTCTTGATATCACATGGACTTAAAGAGTGTATTGATGGCATCTCTTGTGTTTGTAGCTTCAAAATCGTGACATTTATTGTCTGAATTTTGTTGTGGAAAATGGATTCTACTTCATAAGATTTTGGTCATCACAATAGTAAATACAAGCAACAAAACTCTTTCTATATTCATAAGAAATCTCTGCTAAAAGAAGAGTTGAATGCACGATTCTGAATTCTGACAATGTAATGAGCATGTGTTTATGAATCAGTATCAAATAGTGATTTTCTCGAAAAGGTGAACCCATCCTGCCCTATTGGGGGCACCTTTCATAAACACACACAAAAGCAAGTCAATTTTACCTGAAAAGACACAGGAAGATTTGGTACAAGTCAAAATATAGAATTGAATCAAACCTCATTTTTGTCACTGATGCGTCAGATTTGGAAATGTACTCCACATGTCTACCATGAAACATTTTGAAAGCTTTACTGAGTCTTGAATGTTGATACCTTGATCAAACAACTTTTGAGCCAGAGTCGTATGATGCTCTATTAAAACCTCTTGTAAAGAACACGCTCGATTGTACCTCAAGTGTTGTGAAATGTAGACGCCAAAGGGCTGGAGCTTCTGGAATATTGTTTGACATAAAGGCAAAGTTGATTATTGAAAAGTTGAAGTCATCTCTCTTGTCCATTTCTCCATCTTATCTGAATTTGAAGACATTTCTCCACCTCACCTGGTATAAATGCATTCTGAATGAGTTCATATCGAATTCATTCCGTATCCAGGCTGTGTGTTGTGCTGATGGAATCCACTGCTGTCCCTCTGGAACAACTTGTGATACAGCATCTGGCAAATGTAACAGACAAGATGGACTCTCTATCACATGGTTCAGGAAAACTGCACCGATTGTTAAGAATGTAGAAAATGTAAAGTGTGACTCCACCCACGAATGTCCAGATGGAAGCACCTGTTGTAAACTGTCCTCTGGCCAGTGGGGATGCTGTCCTTTGCCACAGGTGAGAAAAAATACCTATCAAGCTATGTTCTGCATCTCTTTGTCACCTTCAAACCAGTTCTTGTATGTTTCATCAGAGAGATAAATTCCTGCAGTCAACTGTGTCTGTTTTGGCTGAATATCCTGCCCCATGACACTGATGTGCTATTTCCTATATAAAATCATGTGAAAAGCTCACTCACTGAAAATGCTCTCACTATTTTCAAAGATTAACATGTCAAAAATCATTCTGTTTCCAGGCCGTGTGTTGTGCTGATGGAATCCACTGCTGTCCCTCTGGAACAACTTGTGATACAGCATCTGGCAAATGTAACAGACAAGATGGACTCTCTATCACATGGTTCAGGAAAACTGCACCGATTGTTAAGAATGTAGAAAATGTAATGTGTGACTCCAGCCACGAATGTCCAGATGGAAGCACCTGTTGTAAACTGTCCTCTGGCCAGTGGGGATGCTGTCCTCTGCCAAATGTAAGAAAAGCAGTTTTGTACAAACCCATGTGTCAGAAAAGTATTTTTATTCTCAACAGAAGACATATTCTTGATATCACATGGACTTAAAGAGAGTAGCCATGGCATCTCTTGTGTTGGTAGCTTCAAAATCGTGACATTTGTTGTCTCAATTTTGTTGTGGAAAATGGATTCTTCTTCATATAATTTTGTTCATTACAATAATAATATTAAACACTAGCAACAAAACTCTTTCTATATTCATAAGAAATCTCTGCTAAAAGAAGAGTTGATTGCACAATTCCATGTATATCATTAGCATGTGTTTATGAATCACTATCAAATAGTGATTTTCTCGAAAAGGTGAGCGCATCCTGCCCTATTGGTGGCCCCGTCATAAACACACAACAAAAGCAAGTCAAATGTTTCCTGAAAAGACACAGTATCATTTGGTACAAGTCAAAATATGGAATTAAATCAAACATCATTTTTGTCACTGATGCGTCAGATTTGGAAATGTACTCCACATGTCTACCATGAAACATTTTGAAAGCTTTACTGATCCTTGAATGTTGTTACCTTGATCAAACAACTTTTGAGCCAGAGTCGTATTGTGCTCTTTGAAATCCTTTGGAAAGAACATGCTCCATTGTACCTCAAGTGTTGTGAAATGTAGACGCTAAAAGGCCAGAGCTTCTGGAATATTGTTTGACATAAAGACAATGTTCATAATAGCAAAGTTGAAGTCATCTCTCTTGTCCATTTCTCCATCTTATATGAATTTAAAGACATTTCTCCACCTCACCTGGTATATATGCATTGTGAATGAGTTCGTATATTCATTCTGTTTCCAGGCTGTGTGTTGTGCTGATAAAATCCACTGCTGTCCCTCTGGAACAACTTGTGATACAGCATCTGGCAAATGTAACAGACAAGATGGACTCTCTATCACATGGTTCAAGAAGACTGCACCGATTGTTAAGAATGTAGAAAATGTAAAGTGTGACTCCACCTCCGAATGTCCAGACGGAAGCACCTGTTGCAAACTGTCCTCTGGCCAGTGGGGATGCTGTCCTCTGCCACAGGTAAGAAAAATACCTATCAAGCTATGTTCTGCATCTCTTTGTCACCTTCAAACCAGTTCTTGTATGTTTCATCAGAGAGATAAATTCCTGCAATCAGCTGTGTCTCTTTGGGCTGAATATCCTGCCCCATGACACTGATGTGCTTTTTCATATATAAAATCATGTGAAAAGCTCACTTACTGAAAATGCTCTCACTATTTTCAAAGTATAACATGTCAAATTCATTCTGTTTCCATCCAGGCTGTGTGTTGTGCTGATGGAATCCACTGCTGTCCCTCTGGAACAACTTGTGATACAGCATCTGGCAAATGTAACAGACAAGATGGACTCTCTATCACATGGTTCAAGAAGACTGCACCTATTGTTAAGAATGTAGAAAATGTAAAGTGTGACTCCACCTCCGAATGTCCAGACGGAAGCACCTGTTGCAAACTGTCCTCTGGCCAGTGGGGATGCTGTCCTCTGCCACAGGTAAGAAAAATACCTATCAAGCTATGTTCTGCATCTCTTTGTCACCTTCAAACCAGTTCTTGTATGTTTCATCAGAGAGATAAATTCCTGCAATCAACTGTGTCTCTTTGGGCTGAATATCCTGCCCCATGACACTGATGTGCTTTTTCCTATATAAAATCATGTGAAAAGCTCACTTACTGAAAATGCTCTCACTATTTTCAAAGATTAACATGTCAAAATCATTCTGTTTCCAGGCCGTGTGTTGTGCTGATAAAATCCACTGCTGTCCCTCTGGAACAACTTGTGATACAGCATCTGGCAAATGTAACAGACAAGATGGACTCTCTATCACATGGTTCAAGAAGACTGCACCAATTGTTCAAAATGTAGAAAATGTAAAGTGTGACTCCACCTCCGAATGTCCAGATGGAAGCACCTGTTGTAAACTGTCCTCTGGCCAGTGGGGATGTTGTCCTCTGCCACAGGTGAGAAAAGAAAGCACCTAAAATATCAAAACCCATGTAAATGTGTTCTTTATTTACTTACAGGTTTTTATCACGAATGCTTTTCCGAAATATACTTTTTTAATCTGGTATAATCATATGGAACTAAGTTCATATGATATTCATTCTGTTTCTAGGCTGTGTGTTGTGCTGATGAAATCCACTGCTGTCCCTCTGGAACAACTTGTGATACAGCATCTGGCAAATGTAACAGACAAGATGGACTCTCTATCACATGGTTCAAGAAGACTGCACCAATTGTTAAGAATGTAGAAAATGTAATGTGTGACTCCACCTCCGAATGTCCAGATGGAAGCACCTGTTGTAAACTGTCCTCTGGCCAGTGGGGATGTTGTCCTTTGCCACAGGTAAGACAAAATACCCAAGAAAGTAGTTTTTGATTATCTTTAACACCTTCAAACTAGTTCTTGTACATATTTCTTCAGAGAGATAAATGTCTGCGTTCACTTTTTTTTATAAATGTTTTTTTTATTATAATATGCAGTTTTATTTGTTCCCCGACCAGTGTATCCATTTGCATTCCAGTTATCATTCTCAACTCCCTTGGTTGTATACAATCCAAGCTGCTTATGGGCGCTGGAGGGTTTTTACATCCACCTCACATATCATTCCCTGCTTGACACATTTTCAACAAGATCACTTGCCCAGGGTGACACCATACGTTTTTTACACTTTTGTTGCGGGGATATGTACATAATTCTAACGAAGTCTCTACCTCTATTACATCTCTGCCATAAATCCTGTATTTTGCTTCAAACACACCAACTAAAATGCAGAGGCACTTCTTGTAACAAGAAGAAAAGATGTGAGATGTGTCAACACATCAGATAAGATCTTCTCAAGATGGCCGAGGCAACGACAAGGCCAAGAGACGTGAGGCCCCTAAGAAGAAGGTGGAAAACATCACAGCTGAGAAATCGGCTTCCACCCCAGCGCTTCCCTCTCCAGATATCCCATCATCTCCTGTACTCCATCCATAGCCTTCAAGATACTATTGTCAGGATGCAAGAAGACTTACTCTCCTCCCATTATGGATGTCTTCACAACTCCTATGGCTACAGCGTCCACAACATCCACCCAGATCCGATCCAGAGCTGTTTCTGAGCAGACCAACAGGTTGATAACAACACAACCTATATCAGCTACCACGACATTCAACGGAAAATTGGGACACGAGATAGATGAAGTGAGACAAGACGCTGCAGAATGATTCCAAACTTCAACTATCAACTTAGCTGCTGAAGCCCACGGATCATTCAATCCTCCAAAGCGTCCCGAGGACTATAAATCTTCGTCTTCCAAAGAGCCTCCTAAAAAGGAAGGATTCATTCCAACCGAGTCGGGGCTACAACAAGCAACAACCTTCTCAGGATTCTTTTTGCCAGCCAGACTACAAGAAACGATGATACAATCTCCGTGGAAGAACTGGAGGCAGAGGCGAATGCAGATTCTGACTCCCAAAGCATCCCCTATGAGGTTATAGACTCTTTCAACCTGGTTATGTCTGTTGACGGCGATTTATTCCTACCATCTTTCACCGGGACCAGTGGGAGGGCGCCTTCTGTCATATGCCGAAAATTGGAAGCAAGTTACGCCCGACCACTGTATTGTAGACGTCATGACTCATGGGTACAAGCTACATTTCAGGAAACATCCTATCCTGAAGACACACGCCATTGGACGCAGATTTCATCTAGTCAGAGCCAAGTTAGCGGTAGAAGATTCGTCCGTCAGGAAGCTACTAAAGAAGCAAGCCCTTCGGAGTCTAATGGAGACCAACAACACCAAGACTTTTTATTCTCCGGTCTTCTTAGTCCTGAAGAAGAAAACAACCGAAATGAGGATGATTGTCAACCTAAAGACCCTCAACTAAAGATATTTGGTACCGCCGCCAAAGTTCCAGTTGGAATCCATATGGAAGTTACGGTCGACGTTGAAGAAGGGAGACTGGCTTGTCAGCCTAGATTTACAAGATGCCTATCTTCACGTCCCGATACACCCATCCTCACGGAAATATCTACGCTTCGCAATCAATGGCCAACGCTACGAATTTCAAGTCCTACCATTCGGGATAGCAATAGCCCCTTGGCTATTCACCACGATTACAGCGCCAGTCATCAAGTTTGCTCACATCCAGCCAGTTCGAATCCATGGTTACCTGGACGATTTCCAAGCGGTTGACCAAGAGAAAGGTCAACTACATGAGAACATGATATTCTTGGTCCAACTGATAACCTACCTAGGCTTCCTAGTCAATCCTTCCAAGTCCGAGACTACTCCGGTTCAAGACATCATATACATCGGAGCAAGATTCCAGGTAGATGGGATATCTATGCCCACCAGAGGATCGATTGCTTGGTTGACTATCAAGATGATTCAATCACTCTGAAGTCAACCCAGCAAGTCGCTGAGGTGGTGGATGTCTCTTCCAGGCAACTTAATGTCTCTACAGGATATGACCTTCAGAGGAAGGCTGATGCTATGTCCTCTACAGACATGGATCAACTCTATACCAATCTGGCCCAGCAGGGCATGGTTCCCCAGAGTACTAAGACTACTAATGGAGGAACCTATCCAGTTACCTCTTCGTCAAGATCTGCTGCGACAACCCAAGTCCAGCATTTTCAAGCTACCCAGCCTACATCTAACCGCCTGGAAGTTATCACACAGAAGATGCAGACATCGGGATACTCTGAGCTTGCCTCAGAAGCTGTAGCAACATCATGGAGACCTTCATCCTCCCTTATATATGACAACAGATGGGACTCCAAAAAGCCAGGAAAGAGTCTTTCCTCCTAGTCATGCCTACAGCAGCAAGAGTGTCAGAACTACATGCCTTAGACTATTCTAGTCTCACCCATGATCAACACTGGACCTCAATAACTCTAAGATCGCTCCCAGACTTCGTAGCCAAGAATCAATCTACCACGATGGAACCGTTGGGCCATAGACACTATACCGTTCCTGCATTAGGACCAACAGAGGATCACCCAGACAGACTCTTATGTCCCTTCAGAGCTCTCAAGTTCTATCTCGCTGCTACAGACCCACATAGACGCCATCGAAGGAGACTCTTCTTATCTTGTAAGACTTATTCCAACAGGGATATCACAGGTGGTGGGGGAAGGGGGGCAAGGATCCGACACCAGAAGCATCAGAGGGTGAGTTCACCCTTGATTGTTCTGTCTATTATGTGGAGGATTGATTAGAAGCACCCTGAATATCAACTGTCTCCATTAGACCGGAAGTGACGTCATTGCCGGAAGCAAGAATATAACCAGAAGTGACGTCAGCACCGGAAATAGCAGAACAGGGTCCATCTAATCAGGAAATGATGTCTTTGGGTAGAAATAGATCTACAAAAGGGGCAATGACATACCGGAAGTGACGTAATCATAGGTATTAGGGTCACAAGTCCAAATTTAACAAGAAATGACGTCATTAAGTAGAAATAGATTGGAAATGACATCATTATTACGATCAAGATCAGCAAATATAACAGTAAATCTAATGGAAATATTACATATTTGACTGATTCTTGACACATTTCTGATTTTCAAATCTTCAGGGGGAATTTCAGAGGAAAATTATCTCAAGTAGGATTAGAATCAGTAATAATGGTTTCCAGGAGACAATTGCTGTCAATTACACAGGAAGTTACTAGAGGCAGATCCCACTGGGTCCCTCTGGTATATTCTGGCAGAGATGTAATAGTGGTAGAGATTTCGTAAGAATTATCAAACAATAGTTAATTTTGTTAATAATTCTAAGAATACTACGTCTATTACATCCGAAGTACTCCTTCCCACCTCCCCAATTCATCTACCTCAAGTAGACCCGTGAAGATCCGGGTAGAATAGGTCTTCAGCAACAAATGCTTGTCGTAAGAGGCAACTAACGGGATCCCAACTGTGTGGATCGATGCTCATGATAGTAATCACTGGATTGTCTGGTCCATACTTGATTATTTGTAGACTGCAGTCATACAGCTGGAATATTGCTGTGTGCGGCGTAAAACATTATGCAACATATGTTGCTGCCATTATGACATTATGGCCTGGGTAGTTATGAGACTACTTGGCGACAACTAGTTGTGTGTGTAATTGACAGTGAAGAGGATGACTGTTGAAAATCTGAAAATTTTAGTAAGTGTGATTGAAGCCAAAGTACAGGATTTATGGCAGAGATGTAATAGAGGTAGAATTCTTAGAATTATTAACAATGATAACTTTTGTTCTATATTTGTGTTTCCACCATCTGGTCATCTACCATCGGATGAGTGGGTTCCCTTGAATCCACAGGGTGAATGTACTGTACACTAGGGGTAGTGACAACACTGTAAAGACCTGTAAACATGGTTGTCCCAAGGCTGAATAACAACCGAGTCACTACCTGGATACGATCTCAGCACCTGGTACTTGCTAGGCTGCTGCTTTTTACCGCTTTCCCACTCCACTGAATATCCTGCCCCATGACACTGATATGCTCTTTCAAAAATAAAATTGAATGTTGTTACCTTGATCAAACAACTTTTGAGTCAGTGTCGTATGATGCTCTTTGAAATCCTCTTGGAAAGAACACGCTCGATTGTACCTCAAGTGTTGTAAAATGTAGACACCAAAGGGCCAGAGCTTCTGGAATATTGTTTGACATAAAGGCAAAGTTTCATGTTGTAAAGTTGAAGTCATCCTTCTTGTCCATTTCTCCATCTTATCTGCATTAAAAGACATTTCTCCACCTCGCCTGGTATATATATGCATTGTGAATGAGTTCATATATTCATTCTGTTTCTAGGCTGTGTGTTGTGCTGATAAAATCCACTGCTGTCCCTCTGGAACAACTTGTGATACAGCATCTGGCAAATGTAACAGACAAGATGGACTCTCTATCACATGGTTCAAGAAGACTGCACCGATTGTTAAGAATGTAGAAAATGTTATGTGTGACTCCAGCCACGAATGTCCAGATGGAAGCACCTGTTGTAAACTGTCCTCTAGCCAGTGGGGATGCTGTCCTTTGCCACAGGTAAGAAAAATACCTATCAAGGTATGTTCTGCATCTCTTTGTCACCTTCAAACCAGTTCTTGTATGTTTCATCAGATATGTAAATTCCTGCAATCAACTGTGTCCCTTTTGGCTGAATATCCCACCCCATGATCACTGATGTGCTATTTCATATATAAAATCATGTGAAAAGCTCACTCACTGAAAATGCTCTCACTTTTTTCAAGGATTAACATGTCAAAATCATTCTGTTTCAAGGCCGTGTGTTGTGCTGATAAAATCCACTGCTGTCCCTCTGGAACAACTTGTGATACAGAATCTGGCAAATGTAACAGACAAGATGGACTCTCTATCACATGGTTCAAGAAGACTGCACCGATTGTTAAGAATGTAGAAAATGTTATGTGTGACTCCAGCCACGAATGTCCAGATGGAAGTACCTGTTGTAAACTGTCCTCTGGCCAGTGGGGATGCTGTCCTTTGCCACAGGTAAGAAAAAATGCCTATCAAGGTATGTTCTGCATCTCTTTGTCACCTTCAAACCAGTTCTACCGCATCAGTGGTATAATGGTAGAGCGTCCGCCCGGAGAGCGGAAGGTCCAGGGTTCGATCCCCAGCCGCGTCATACCAAAAGACGTTAAAAGATGGTACTTGTTGTTACCCTGTCTGGCGCTCGGCATTAAAGGGCTAAAACAAGGACTGGTCGGCTCGGAGTCAGTATTCTGTGTCTGAGTGGGGTATTCATGCTAAACTGCGGCATGGTATCTCAGTGAGCTAGCACTATAAATCGGCATCAGTCTGGACTAGTACAAGCAGCCACACACATACACGTGCATGCACGTCGCTATATAAGTGCAATAATCTTGGACGCGACGTTAAATCCCATTTCACCTCACGTCAAACCAGTTCTTGTATGATTCATCAGAGAGGTAAATTCCTGCAGTCAACTGTGTCCCTTTTGGCTGAATATCCTGCCCCATACCACTGATGTACTATTTCATTTATAAAATCATGTGAAAAGCTCACTCACTGAAAATGCTCTCACTATTTTCAAAGATTAACATATCAAAATCATTCTGTTTCCAGGCCGTGTGTTGTGCTGATGGAATCCACTGCTGTCCCTCTGGAACAACTTGTGATACAGCATCTGGCAAATGTAACAGACAAGATGGACTCTCTATCACATGGTTCAAGAAGACTGCACCGATTGTTAAGAATGTAGAAAATGTAATGTGTGACTCCACCTCCGAATGTCCAGATGGAAGCACCTGTTGTAAACTGTCCTCTGGCCAGTGGGGATGCTGTCCTCTGCCACAGGTAAGAAAAAATACCTATCAAGGTATGTTCTGCATCTCTTTGTCACCTTCAAACCAGTTCTTGTATGTTTCATCAGATAGGCAGAGCTACAGATAAGCTGCGTATTTGCGTAAAATACCCCCCAAAACTATTCCAAACCCAATTTCTTTTAATTTACTTGCTTACAGGAACGCATGCATTAAATGGAAAACTCAATTGTTCTAAAACAGCATGTGTAATACCCAATGAAGCTTTTTCAGCATGCGTACAATGGAGCTAATTTACTTTCTGAGTCAAGCCTATAGTTAGAGCAGTCATGTACATCTTAAACATTATTTCATATTTTTTTTAATCTCAAGATGCTTACTCATTTTGGGAAAAACACAATATTGTGATGAATAGATGAGTGAAAATATATTGGTTAGCCAATGAAAATGTAATAACCCAATTAAGATATACTCAACAAGAAAAGTTCCTGTGACAAATATTTTAGTGTATTTTTCCAACAAGTAAAGTTTTGTTTTCAATATTGTAGTACATGTATGGAATCAAGTCACAAAAACACAACTGCTTCAGAAAAGCATGCATTCCATGCAAAAGTTGCCTTTTATGCAAGCGCCATGCATTTCATTCACAAGAATGGGTATAAAAACATGTGCGTTAATGGGATTCCATATGCATTGTTTAGCATTGTGCTGACAACAACCACTCAGAAAAACAACCAAATTAAGCCATTATTCAACATTACGAAATGCCACGCCTGTCTGAAAATGAGCGTCTGCGAGCCATTGGTATGCTTGAAGCAGGATCAAGTCAACGTGATGTTGCAAGACAATATAACATCCACAGAAAAAACATTTGGTGATTATGGTAACGTTGGCAACAGATGAATGCAGTCAGAGATCATCCTCACCACGCGTAACCAATAATTGACAAGACAACTGGATTTGAACAACACACCTATGAAATTGATTCCAGCCAGCAACAGTGACTGCAAGAAGCATCCCTGGCCTTCGACGAATATCTTCACAAACCGTACGTCGCCGCCTCAGATATGCAGGGATTGTTGCCAGAAGACCCGCCAGACGTCCCATTTTGACAGCAAACCACCGTCAAGCACATCTACAGTGGTGCAGACAGCATCTACGCTTTAAGGCCATGCAGTGGTGACAAGTTCTATTCACTGACGAGTCTTGTTTTCACCTCAGCCACAGTGATGGACGGATTCGAGTGTACTGACGTCGAGGTGAACGTTATGTCAATCATTGTGTCATTGAAGGAGATCGGTTTGGGGGCGGCAGTGTTATGGTATGGGGTGGGATTACAGCAAGACAGAGGACCCGTTTGATAGTGGTAGAGGGAAATCTCAATGGACCATCGGCCCTGTTCTACCGTTTTTGCATCATCATGGCCCTTGGCATTACCTTTCAACATGACAATGCCCGGTCTCATATTGCTCAACTTGTTCAGGATTCTCTTCAACAAAACAATGTTAATGTCATCCCCTGGCCGGCTCGCTCCCTTGATCTCTCACCAATCGAGCACATGTGGGATGAGATAGATCGGCGCCTTCGACGTCAACCACATGTTCCACAGACACTTCAGGAACTTCGAAACATGCTCCAGCAGATATGGACAGATATGCCACAGGACTTTGTGCGATGCCTGGTCAATTCCATAAGACGAAGATGTGTTGCTTGCATCGCAACCAGAGGTGGACACACGCTATTGATTTGTAAATTGACATTTTGGCATGTTCATGTTTTTTTATGAAATCACACATTTTCTGAAGTCGGTATGTCAAATTAAACCATTTGATCACTTACAGGAGTCTTTTATCTGTTGTAAACCGAAATTGTTTCAGATTTAGTAAAAAACATAACTTTGCATTAAATCTTATTCAATGTCACAGGAACTTTTGTTGTTCAGTATAGAAACCTTTGAGTAAAAAACTAAATTGCTCAAAATGTTATCTGGAGCTCTGGGTAGGTAAATGTCTGCAGTCAACTGTGTCCCTTTTGGCTGAATATCCTGCCCCATGACACTGATGTGCTATTTCATATATCAAATTATGTGAAAAGCTCACTGAAAATGCTCTCACTATTTTCAAAGTATAACATGTCAAATTTATTCTGTTTCCAGGCCGTGTGTTGTGCTGATGGAATCCACTGCTGCCCCTCTGGAACAACTTGTGATACAGCATCTGGCAAATGTAACAGACAAGATGGACTCTCTATCACATGGTTCAGGAAGACTGCACCGATTGTTAAGAATGTAGAAAATGTAATGTGTGACTCCACCTCCGAATGTCCAGATGGAAGCACCTGTTGTAAACTGTCCTCTGGCCAGTGGGGATGCTGTCCTCTGCCACAGGTAAGAAAAAATACCTATCAAGGTATGTTCTACATCTCTTTGTCACCTTCAAACCAGTTCTTGTATGTTTCATCAGATAGGCAGAGCTACAGATAAGCTGCGTATTTGCGTAAAATACCCCCCAAAACTATCCAAACCCAATTTCTTTTAATTTACTTGCTTACAGAAACGCATGCATTAAATGGAAAACTCAATTGATCCAAAACAGCACACGTAAATACCCAATTCCTGCAGTCAACTGTGTCCCTTTTGGCTCAATATCCTGCCCCATGACACTGATGTGCTATTTCATATATCAAATTATGTGAAAAGCTCACTGAAAATGCTCTCACTATTTTCAAAGTATAACATGTCAAATTCATTCTGGTTCCAGGCTGTGTGTTGTGCTGATAAAATCCACTGCTGCCCCTCTGGAACAACTTGTGATACAGCATCTGGCAAATGTAACAGACAAGATGGCTACTCAGTGAATTGGGTGAGGAAGACCTCTGCCATAACCAAACCCTTAAAGAAACTGCCAGACTTCTTGTTGCCTTGGCAATGGAAACCCATCAAGAATAGTCACAATGTGAGGGACATTACATGCTTGGACTCCAGTACATGTCCAAGTGGAAGCACCTGCTGCCAACTCACAAGTGGTTCATACGGCTGTTGTCCAATAGCCAATGTAAGTATTATTTGTTTGTTTGTTAGATGTTTAGCGCAACATGGAGATTATTTTACTGGCATGTGTGTCATACTGATTTTACGAAACGAGTTTCAGAATTCTTGTATTTCCCGTGCAAGGGTAATACATGAATTCTTACACAAGTTTTGAAATATCAGTATGCACACATGCTAGTATAATACACATGTTAGTGTAATAATTTCTTTATTACCCATTATTTCATAATCCTTTTGAGCTCCTCTTTAGAAAAATGCAGTGATTACAACCGCCGTCCTAGAAAACCACAATATGTCGAATGGCGTCAACAATCTTCAGCTTTGACATCGTTTCTAGTGTGACGTCATTCCGACCTTACGACACAATAACATTCGGATGCCGTCAACAATGCCGTCCGGATGATGGAAATAGACTGATGCTCGAGTAGTGATATTTGCACTTGTGCACATATGATTTTTATGAACTCTGTTATTTCTGACCCTATGGGTAATTATCAGCAATATGTGGTCTTTGTTGCATATGTCATGAGTTAACATGATCTTTTGTAAAATCAATGTGTACATAAAAAAAAACGTCATCCAGATTGGCCTATAAATAATCAAGCCTGGACCAGATAATCTAGTGATTTAAGCAATGGATTTCCACCTTCTGGATTTAGTGACACCCTATCTATCAACCGAGCCAGACACCCGGGCCACGTTTTCTCGCGACATTATAATACTGGAGTCCTTATCCTTATTGCTTTTTAGGGGGCACGGTGGCCCAGTCGTCTAAGGCACCGCGATTCGCTGTGCAGAGTTGCGTCCCTTGAGCTCTCCAGAAACCTATGATTGTGGGTTCGAATCCCGATTCGCCCCAATATGTTTCTAGGTTTGTCAGCACCACACCCGTGCTCGTGGGTTTCACCGAAACGGTAAACGTCTAAGACCTGGATCACTTCGGCCTTTCCTCCCACACTAAGCTGACACGCCGTGATATAACTGGAATGCTGTTAAAAGCGGCGTTAAACCCAACTCACTCACTCACTCCCTATTGCTTTTTACATCATGCAACATGGTGTATTACATTATAAGGTGTGTTCTGGATGATCTGTCAGCAGGGTATAAGAGTGGGCTAAATGAGCAGGCAACATGGAAAATAATTGCAAGTCCTTAACTAATCACTGTAGAAGCTAGAGCTGAGATGGGTAACTCGGGTACTCAGGTCAGTAGGGTCCTGAGTAGGACTCGGGTACCCACAGCACTACCTGTGATTAGTCACGTGATATATTGTTTAATGGCAAAAATTATCTGTAACTCTACGGTTACGCTACAAGTCACTAATGTTCCCATTTCTTTCTGACTATGCACCCATTCCTTCTGACTTTTATATGTTTGAATAAAGATAAAACTTCATGCAGTAAACTTCAATGTATGCATGACCAGACCAGTTTTACACATGTATTTTAATACATTTTGCCAGGGCTTCGGTCAAACTTTTCCAAATCAGACAGTTTGTACCTATCTCTAAATATCTACAGCAGGTACCCGGGTAGGGTAGGGTAGGGTAATAGGGTGATGGGGACCCAGGTACAAAATGTGGACTCGTCCCAGCCCTATTAGAAGCTAGTGTTTTAATGTAAGGTGAGATAAGTTGCATTAACCGATATTCAGTAGTTCAGCCTCCACTTTGACAGAGGCAGTTGGGCAGTACAGTGTTGTGTTCTTTTTCTAGCAAAACATCTACTTCCATGTTGTTTACTTGAAACTTTTATGAATGGTGGCGCATTCATAATTCAACGAACCCTTCTGCATTGCTATCACATCCGATCCCGTTACTCAGCTCTTATGATAAGCATAGTCGCCTTTTACAGCAAGCATTCTACCCGGGATCTTCACGGGTCTGATCTTGATGAAGTTGGGATATTTATATGTTCATCTTGTGCACAATGTTACAGGCCGTGTGCTGTGCAGACAAGGTCCACTGCTGTCCCAATGGCTACACCTGTGACTCGTCATCAGGGACGTGCAACAAGGGCAGCATCAGGATCCCCTTCTCTGGGCGCCACATGCCGTAAAGGGAGACCACTCTAACCCTAGCATCAAGGGGGGTTACAGTGACATACATACCGGTCACCCGAGACAGTGTCAGTGTTTGTGAGTGGGTGTGTCTTTGCAAAATTCATGTAATGTTTTCATTCTTGTCACCTACATCACAGCATCATCATGTTCAATAATATTGGTTTGTCAGAGGAGATGGATAGCCAAAAAACAACATGGCTGTCAGTTTATTATATTATAATATGATTATGTTAGGATAAAAAAAAATAATAGTCTTGGTTCTCAGGCACCACCCACATCATCATAATGTGTGCAACTTTTTGATTTTATTTCGATTTTTAAAAAAACCCACAAAAATCCTTAAATCCTGTATTTCAGTTTTTTGCTAAAGGAATACATTTATGGAGGGAGGCCTTTTACCAGGTTGATAGTACTCAATTGTTTATTTGGTTACATACTAGTTTGAACAACAACAAAAAAAAAGAAGAAAAAAGACACCACCCGACCCGCCCGCACTATATTTTCAAAAGCCATTGCCTGAGAAGCAATTCTTTTTCTTTTTTTAAGCCTTACTATGGGTGTTTTTTCCTTCTTGTACAGAGAAATAGCAGGCTATTAACCCTTTGTGGTCTTTGTTGCGTGTTTCATGGTTTAACAGGGTCTTGTGTGTAACAAATGTGTACTTAAACAAATGGTCTTGTCCAAGCAAATAATATAATACTGTTTGATGTATATGGAATGTGGATCAGTAAGGTTGGGATAATTTTATTTTCAAAGTTTTTTTTGTCTTTTTGTTTTATGTTCATGGTTTTTCCTTCCTGTTAGGAATCGTGTCCCTTGAGAATTAGTATCCAGAGATCCTTGCCAAGACTGACAAAATAATTCACTGAGGACAAATATTGCACGTAGCTTGTAGTTCATTCTCTAAATTTGTATGAGTGGTATTTGTAGTCTGTATTGTGTTACCTATAGGATTGACTGTTTCTTGGACACTTTCTCTAGAAACTTAAGATGTCTGCCAACATGTGCCTACAATTATGGATATCATGATCATTCTTTGTGACTTAAGGTGTAATATTCTGTGAAAAGCTTAACAAAATGGCACCCCTGTGAGTGTCCTGTACAGTTTTAGGGAGACATCGAGTGAATTCTTACACACTTGGCTTGCTGTACATGCGATAATGAATGAATGGTTACTTGATAATGTGTGTCTGATACAACTACAGTAGTGTTGATTGAGGGTTATACAATAAAGGATGTTTGTATATGTGTATTGTGGTATTTCATTCGTCACCACTCGCCCCTTTCCGTAACATGCAAGAAGACTCGTCCCCCTATCAATGAATGTTATGTACAAAAATATGACCAACCAATCAAAATGCTTGTATGATTTCAAGTTCTTCGGTCTAAGAATCCCTCAGGAATAATGTTTGATTTTACATATGTCTTGCATCTAAACACTCTTATATGTGTTCAATCATGCTGTATAATACCGCATGTCACCATCTGCTTTAAATTGCATCCGAAATTATATAATACATGGGGAAATATACGTGAATCATTACGCAACGAGGTGACAATTCTTTTAGCTATGCCCCCTTGCGCTTAGGCGGAACCCGGTCGTAAAAATGCCCACGAGAGGGGCACGAGTCGCTATTCGGCTTGTCCTGGAATAACACGAGTTGGTCACGAATGGATGGTGTTTGTGATAGTGTGTCATGACCTGTCACCTTGTGAAGATGTGGAGTGTTAGGGCTGCTGTACTGTGATGATTGACTGGTGTTGCTCACAGGGAGACTTTGCGAGAAGTCTTGTGGGAAATTGCTGCTGCAACAGTCAACATCATCGTACACAGATAGTTTCATCCTGTCGGCCATGGTTTACTTTCAATATAGACATCGATGTTTGGAAATGACTCCATTTTGAAAAGGTGTGAAATGCCTGCCTCCTGATCTCGATTATTGTCATCGTGTCGTCTTTTTGCCATAAGTTATTCGTTGCAAGATAACACATTTCATTTAGTGTTATCATTAGCTGTTGTGTTCTACTGAATAACATATCAAATCCGGCAAAAAGCAATTATTCAAATAAAACATATTTGTAAGTGTGAATGAGATTTATTCATCCTAATGGAACTTTCACATTTTTTCAACCTTCAAAAATTAGATCAATGTTAATGAAAGATAATACAAGTTAAAGTGGCTTTCTCTTGATATACCTGCCTCGGTGATAACGTTTTATCACAGTGTTACCACTGTTTTTACCAAGGTATAACAACTTATATCATGCCGTTCTGCCATGGCCCTATTACCATGGCAACTGTGGGATACAGGAGTTGTCCATGTCTGGCATCAGATGAAGGGCACTGGCTTCCAATCTTTACATTCCATCATGTATTTTTTCAGGTGATAATAAATGCATCATTTATAAAATATTATTCTCTTCTTATTATTAACTCGACTGTCCCTGTGGTCAAGTGGTAGAGCATCCGCCTGAAGAGTGGGGGAATCCGGGGTTCGATCCCCAATGCGTCATACCAAAAGACGTTAAAAGATGGTACTTGTTGTTAACCTGCCTGGCACTCGACATTAAGGGACTAATACAAGGACTTGTCAGTTCGGAGTCAGTATACTGTGTCTGAGTGGGGTATTCATGTTAAACTGCGGCATGGTATCTCATTGTGCTAGCACTATGAATCAGCATCAGTCCGACTCTCTCTCTCTCTCTCTCTCTCTCTCACACGTGCATGTTTGTCGCTATATAAGTGCAATAATCTTGGACACGACGTTGAACCCAATTTCACCTCACCTCAATATTGACTCCCCCCTTAGTGAGGAGGGTTAGATGATTTTTTTCTTTTTGAATGTGTGAGTAATATGGTTTTACAACGCTTTTCAAATTATTCCAGCAATACGACGGCAAGGAAACCAGAAATGGGTTTCACACATTGTACCCATGAAAGGAATCAAACTCAGGTCGATCCCACAATTGTTTTTGTTTGTTTGTTTGTTGTTTAACACCACACTCAACAATTTTCCAGCTATATGACGGCGGTCTGTAAATAATCGAGTCTGATCGACCAGACAATCCAGTGATTGATATCATGTGTATCAATAACGCAACTGAGAAACGATACATGCATCAGTCAAGTCACCTAGAATGACCATCCGATCCATTTAGCCACCTCCTACTACCAGCACAGGTTGCTGGGGACCTATATTCTTACGCTGAATCCCCCCGGGAACATTGAAAGAGGCATGGAGTTTGTTGAACAGTACTGTACCACAGTAAGGAACTCTTGAGAATGAGCTCCACATTGTCATGAAGGGAGGTAAGCCAAGGCCTGAAGCATGACAGGAAAACTGCTTTTATAAGTAGACTACAAGCTAAGTTACCATAAATCTTTATGAACAAGGGCAAAAGTGAGCGTGGCTCACTAATACCCCCGACCCGCCTAGTGTGTCAGTAGTTTCAAATTAAATAATGGATAGGGTTAAGGTTTGAAAAATTCATTAAAAAATGGAAAATTAATAAAAACATTTTTTTCTTTTGACTACACCCCTCCATATGACACAGATTATATGTGACAAGGTTGAGATGAATCCACTGAATAGTTTAAGAGAAATCCAGCGGACAAAGTTTTCGGACGGACGGACCTAAAAGGTCGGGGGTATAATGAGAAAAATATGTGAAAATAGACATTTTGAAAACTAATTGTTACTATAGTGCTTCATTTTTCTTTATTCCAATAAACTACACATAAGAAGTTGAAGAACACCAGATTGTTTCATTTGACTATAGTCTGTCACTCCATGTAATGATACAGTAATATGAAAGAATCGGGTGTTCTTTTACTTCTTTTAAGCAGCATGTTTTAGTAATCAGCAGTGCTTCCTGCTCTTGGCTCATAAACACCGGAAAGCAAAGGAAATATTTTTTTCTGATCCTGCTTCGTCCTAAACAAAGAAATACACATCTCATTTGTTTCAAGTGCAGCATCAATTTATTTTGTACAATTCGATATTTACACTGTCTACTTGCATACATATCTAGATTTGCTTATCAATAGGAAAATTAATACCAGCAATATCCATGATCTCGCAATATTTGCACTAGCAGGTAGGTTCTACAGTGACATATACAGCTGGTATCTTGGAGGTATGTATTAGGGCTTTGATAAGTCCAAATTTACTACCAGGTACTGGGGGGTACCCCCACAGACAAAATATCTTAGGACACTTTTGTGAATTGTTAACATTCTTCTATATCACAACCAAATTCGTAAAACAACATTGACATTTTGAATGACAAAATTTCTGTCAATGTCAGTGCTGGATAATAAAAGGACCTCGAAACCCTGATATACGATCAAGATCAAATCAAGTTTTTTTCATGGCTGGGTTTTCCACTTGGTAGCGGAACTTGATCCAGTCTTCTTCATTGTAGAACAGGTAGGAGTCGGAGGGTATCCCGGGGCCGGTGTGTTCATGAATCCACTTGTCTGTCGGAGCCACAAAGAACCCTGACCCAGCCCACGGCTTCGTCCAAGCGCTGCGCTGATATGGCAGCAGAGCAGATAATGGCGTCGTTGAGCGGACCTCTGGAAGTCCTGTGAATGTTATTCCTGTAAGGATATTGTACGAGTGATTAGATGACATGAAACTGGGGTTAAATTATTTTAATATTTGTCTAATTTGTAAAGTAACCAATCTCACTAACAGGAGGGTGGTTGGTTTGTTGTTTAACGCCGCACTCAGCAATATTCCAGCTATTTGACGGCGGTCTGTAAATAATCAAGTCTGGACCGGACAATCAAGTGATTATCCACCAAGAGGAAAGCATTCTCAATTATCAAGTGTGTTGTTTATCCATTTCATTATTGGGGGCATTGGAGCCCAGTTGTCTAAGCAACCCATTCTTGTCGTAAGCGGCGACATATGGGATCGACGCATGTCATCGCATCCCAATTGTGTGGATCGATGCTCATGATGTCAGTCACTGGATTGTCCAGTCCAGACTTGATTATTTACAGACCGCAGTCCTATAGCTGGAACATTGCAAAGCGCAGCATTAAACAACAGACCACTGTCATATAGCTGGAACATAGCAAAGCATGGCATTAAAACAACAAACAAACAAACCCAGCTGTCTGACGCATCATTATTCGCTGTGCAGAGTTACTTCCCTCAGACATGCCAGAAATCTGTGATCGTGGGGTAAAATTCTGATTAGCCCTGATTATGTCTCAAGGTTTGTCTGCACCAAACCCGTGCTTGAGGGTTTCACCAAAGTGGTAAATATCTGAAACATGCACTTTGGGCTTTCCAAAACTAAGCAGACGCCCTGATTTAACTGGAATACTGTTCAAGGTTGCGTTAAACCAAACTCACTCACATTTTCAAGGTGTAAATAATCAACTAGATAATCAATGATGTCAGGAGGATGGTATTTATATAGTTATAAATCTATATGTAGAAAACATTCTCACCACCAGGGCAAGAGCGGCTGTCTCGTTGACGCTGATATTTTCTCCACTGCTCCTCAGAATCAAACAGGATGGCGTCTCGGCGAGTCTGGGGGGGTATAGACCTGTACTCATGGTATTTCACCCATCTTCTTTCTGATGGGACGTAATACCCAGATCCCTCATACACATACGACTTCCCGTCCCCGCTGGGATAGTTGTCTACAGGGACACTGTTGTATGGACCACGTTCGGATAATGTGGTCCCCTTCCCCGTCTCCAGCTCACCCCGCGAAGAACCACGAGACATACTGGAAGCTTGATCTGAAATAGTTGCCAGAAAACATTACACATTTCACCCTGTCAGTATCATACTGTAAATCATGAAATGAATGTGTCCCCAAATCAATGCAAATGACAATCCCTAACCTAAAATGTAATATGAAAATATGCAATCATATCGTTGTTTCTGCCCATGTGCAGGGAGCCAGACATGACAATAAACTCCAATATGTCAAGATAAAAATGTGTCACTTTACGGAAGCAAGGGACTTACATTTTTTGGATTTACATTAGGCTTGCATTAATTTCATGATTTACAGTGTACAGAATCTGAAAGTACTGTGAAACCTTTATGAGTCTTCCCCAGTTTAAAATAAGAAGGACCCGTGTACATATTGGTATAGAACGTAACTGATATACTGGTATTGACATTCACATCTAAAACTTAAAGGGTCAACCTAATGATAAAGGATTCTAAAGGGAACCATATATATAACTCTATTTGTGCCTATTTTCACTCTCGGTGTAGATATATGTTAGCATCTTCTTCGAAACTGAAAGTGAAACATTGTCTCTAAATGTGTGTATTTAAGGTAATCAGTGTTAGATACCCAATACTATAGATATACAATATAAGGATGTCATTATAAATCACAATATCAATGTATCAATAAATCTTTAACATTGATACAAATTTATAAGTTTGATACTAAAGTAATAATTTAGGGCTGTTTACCATGTTTACATAAAGATTATCATGGTTAAGTTGGAAAATAAAAAGGCCGAAAATTTGATTGTAAACATTAAAGATCTAATTGATCAGACAAGTTCAAATGAAATTAAGCAGGTCTAGATTGGAAATTTTTATCTAAGCACATGCAGAATAATTAATTTTGTATTTCGATATAGTGATAGAAATAATATCTTAAATCAAATAATAACACTTCTAATACAATAGCTAACATTGTTATTGTTGAGATGCATGATCAGGAATTTATTATCTAATAAAAACTAATATTTACAACATTAACTGAATTTAAGTAACAGCTTGGTTTTACATGGTCAATTTGATTAAAATTACAGTTTACAGCAAAGACAAACACATCTCACGTTAAACTCTTCGCTGTCAATACTTTCTCTGGCCACTTCCTGAAATACTAGACAGCCATCTTGTTTACCGTATCGTAGCAACAACCAGGTGCTCGAAGACGCCACCTAGTAGAGAAACAGAGCAAGTATAAACAAACGGTTTGTGTGTCTTATGGTCTCTGTGGTCCGTAGTTGACTCGTCAAGGTAATTTCAATATTTCACTTATTTCATTAATGATTCAAAACTCTTTATAATTATACCTAAATAAAAACAGCATAGATCGGTCTACATATAAATGTTCACACATTATTGATTTGAATGTATATATATATTTACATGATCATTTTGTGCTTTCATGTTCGATTTTTTTAAAGTCAAGTGAAATATATTTTGATTATATTCAGTTTTGTACCTTTTTACTTCATAATCAATAAATCTATCGTACAGACATGGTAGATGCGCGAGCAACGTCTTCCAAGGGACATAACTCCATCGGGCTTGTTTAATATGTTCAGCGTACCAAAATGTGCAAACCGCGATGTGAAGTTCAACTGCACTTATAACTATTTATGCGGTGATTTAGGCTACCAAAATTCTTTCTTGTTTCGCATCAACGACCGGTCTTGAAAATCGGCCTAACCCTAATAGTTTTGAATTATTTTTCTACATTTTTGTATAATAAGTACAACTGTGAATTTATTTTGGTTTAGTTGGGAATTCGTAATAAATATACAATTACAACTCCTACCTTCTAGGCTTTCTGAGAGAGTGATGAGAAACATGACTATTTTTCTTGGGATGTAAGTATTAGACTTTAAAGGTCACCTTTGCTCAGATCAGTACGTACCTCAGTTCAAGTCAATTGCCCAATGATCTACATGAAATAAAAGGATAAAAATGGGTAGCTATATCAACATGCGGCGGTGAAATGAGTGAAGCGGCTGGGTGTTTAGTCTGTATTTAACATGTGTCTAAATGCAGACCTCCAGATAACTTTTCGAGCAATTGAGTTTTTACTCAAAGGTTTCTATTTTAATTGGGTTATTACATTTTTCATTGGGTAACCAATATATTTTCACTTATCTATTCATCACTCTATTGGGTTTTCCCAAAATGAGTAAACATTTTGAGATTTTAAAAAAAATGAAATGTTTTAGATGTATATGACGGTTCTAAATATAGGTTTGACTCGGAAAGTAAATTAGCTCGTACATTGTAATTGTTTTTCGGAAATTAGCTCCTTTGTACGCATGATGAGAAAACTTTATTGGGTATTTACGCGTGCTGTTTTTATACGTATATACATTTGAGTTTTTCATTTAATGATAGCGTTTCTGTACACAAGTTAATTGAAAGTGATTGGGTTTTGGTTTGGGTATTTAACGCAAATACTAGTACTCAGCTTATCCTGCATCTCTGTAAATAGTAGGTGCACGCATTTCCGCGTAGTAGGCATCTAGTTTACTGGTCCACATCGCAGATCGTGCACGCCGACCTGACACATCCTATAACACCAGACCGCCATCATGCAGCTGGAATATTGCTGACTGCGGGGTTAAACAACAAACAAACACCCTATGGATGCACGGCCCAGTTCACAGAGTGATCTTAGCGCTATGATTGTCGTACGTCTATGCTAAATTGTGGGAGTTACGATCGTCTTGTGGAACGGAGCCCTAGATTATATGATAACCCTATCCGACACATTTAGGAACATCAGATGCCCCATATCGGACAGAATTAGGCATATGAGAATTACAATTTCCGAAAAAGAATCGGACTTCTTAATCAAATAGAAAGAGCACAGCAGACACCATATACCCGACTGGTGGGGAGTCCAGGTTAGAGAAGACCGGTGAAGATCCGGGGTAGAATAGGTCTTCAGCAACCCATGCTTGCCGTAAAGGGCGACTATGCTTGTCGTAAAAGGCGACTAACGGGATCGGGTGGTCAGGCTCGCTGACTTGGTTGATGCATGCCATTTATCCCAATAGCGTGCATCGATGCTCATGATGTCAATCACTGGATTGTCTGGTCCAGACTCGATTATTTACAGACCGCCGTCATATAGCTGGAATATTGCTGAGTGCGGCGTTAAGCAACAAACCAACCAACCAACCAGGTTAGAGAAGGTCACCAGAAACCTTTGCTGGTCGTAACGTAAGGTAAAGTCGTAAGAGGCGACAAAGGGGATCGGGTGGTCATGGTTGATGCATCGTATCCCAATTGCGTGGATCGATGCTCATGATGTCAATCACTGGATTGTCTGGTCCAGACTCGATTATTTACCCGCCGCCGCCCTTTTGCTGGAATATTGCTGAGTGCGGCGTTAAAAATCATGCACCCGATCCTGTTTGTCGTTTTTTACGACAAGCACAGTCACCTTTTACTGCAAGCATGGGTTGCTGAAGACCCATTCTACCCCGGATCTTCACGGGTTTACTGTGTGCTACTTCAGCTATTTCAGCCATGAGTTCCGAGCTGCCGAAACCGCACTACTCCACCCCATCCAACAACTACTTGTCGGGGGACTGGAAGTCGCACGTGTGGATGGGCCAGCAGTATTACGTCCCCTCGGAGCGAGACTGGATCAAGTACCATGACTACCGCTCCCTGCCCCGGGAAACACGGAGAGACGCCATAGACATGCAGTCCGAAGACCAGTGGGTCGCCTTTACACGTCAGAGAGATACTCCCGGGGGTAAGTCATTGGAAAGTTCACGTGATATGTGATGTCATTCATTACGTCACATTAGGACGATACGTGGTTTTACAACTTGAGATGCCTCGGCGCTCCCTCATACGTCACAGCTCTCATGTTATATGTGTTTATTAATCTGGAAATATGCACCAACTATTTTCTTCCTGGAACATATGCCCTTCCTATCACGTTTTGACTTAAATACATATTTCCAAGGACACATTCCCTACGTATATCACGTTTTGATATGAATATTTCTCACGATAAATGCCCTACCTATCACGTTTTGATTTGAATATGTCCCAGGACACATGCCTTACAAATGTATCACGTGTTGATATTAATATTTCCCAGGACACATTCCCCACATATATTACGTGATGATATGAATATTTCCCAGGACACATTCCCTACATACTAGTATATCACGTTTTGATATGAGTATTTCCCATGACACATACCCTATATATGTATCACGTGTTGATATGAATATTTCCCAGGACAGATGCCCTACATATGTATCACGTGTTGATATGAATATTTCCCAGGACAGATGCCCTACATATGTATAACGTGTTGATTTGAATAATTCCCATGACACATACCCTACATATGTATCACGTGTTGATTTGAATATTTCCCACGACACATCCCCTACATATGTATCACGTGTTGATATGAATATTTCCAAGAACACATGCCCTACATATGTATCACGTGTTGATATGAATATTTCCCACGACACATGCCTTACATATGTATCACGTATTGATATGAATATTTCCCAGGACACATTCCCTACATATATCACGTGTTGATATTAATATTTCCCAGGACACATTCCCTACATATATCACGTGTTGATATGAATATTTCCCAGGACACATGCCCCACATATGTATCACGTGTTGATGTGAATATTTCCCAGGACACATTCCCTACATATATCACGTGTTGATATTAATATTTCCCAGGACACATTCCCTACATATATCACGTGTTGATATGAATATTTCCCAGGACACATGCCCCACATATGTATCACGTGTTGATGTGAATATTTCCAAGGACACATGCCCTACATATGTATCACATGTTGATATGAATATTTCCAAGAACACATGCCCTACATATGTATCATATGTTGATATGAATATTTCCCAGGACACATGCCCTACACATGTATCATATGTTGATATGGATATTTCCAAGAACACATGCCCTAAATATATCACGTTTTGATATAAATATTCCCCAGGACACCATTCTCTACATATATCACGTTTTGATATAAATATTTCCCAGGTCACATGCCCTACATATATCACGTTTTGATATAAATATTTCCCAGGACACATTCTCTACATATATCACGTTTTGATATAAATATTTCCCAGGACACATGTCCAAATTTTCATGTTCCACCTTTCACTTTGTATTGTGCGTATTTCCAAGGATACATGTCCAGACAGGCACATATTATTTCCAGGACACATCGCCGATCTACGACACTGCATACTGTATATTTCCCAGGACAAACTATCACATATGCATATTTAAACTTGGACACAAGCCCGATCACCCCCGTGAAGACATGGGTTGGAGTGGTCTTCAGCAACCCGCATGTGTGTCGTAAGAGGCGACTAACGGGATCGGGTGACTTCCCTATCATCGTATCCAAATTGCAGCTTGATGCTCATGATGTGACATTGATGTCAATCACTGGATTGTCTGGTCCAGACTCGACTATTCACAGACGGATGGAATATTGCTGAGTGCGGCGTTAAACAACAAACAAATACACATGCTCGATCTATCACACATCAAAATGTATATTTCCCAGGATACATGCCCGATTAATAACTTCATATTATCCATATCCCCCAGGATATCTCCACAAGGATGTTGGTTTGAAGCAGTCCGGTGTTCCTGCTCTCAGACTTTCAGGCTACACACGCAACCTCCCCTCCATGCCACACAGGGACATCTTCCAAGACCCCTGGCCCAAAGCTGACCAGTGGGTCCCCCCTGCACGTGCAGGAAGGGGTGACTATTATGGCTACTACCACGAGGCCATCGACACCGAGCGAGAGCGCAGGAAGAAGGAATACCCCACGAGCATGCGCATTGAACCCCGAGATGTCCCGAAACTTGTGTAAAAGATTCAGGAAGACCAATTATTGCAGATTGTGTATACCTATCTACGACAATAATAAAAACGGAGAGAATAATGACGACTCCACATGGTGCCCACCCCACTCCGGGCAGTCACTTGTTTCAGTGTGTCCATGTTTGTTACAATCCGAGCATATCCCAAGAAAATGAAGATTTGAAGGTTGATTTGTTTATATGTGTGTTTTATCGAACGTGTATGTTATGAAATACATTAGTTCAAATATCATGTCGTCTTTATTTGTTCTCTTTCATTTCTTATATATTTGATCTAGTGTTCTGCTGAATGCACACATTCCCTTCCTGTTTTATGGCTCAGTCGTCTTTCAGGCGACGCAATTCGTTGTGCAGAGTTGCTTCCCTTATGCATGCCAGAAACCTGTGATCGTGGCTTCTAATCCCAGTATAGCCGTGATTATGTTTCTAGGTTTTCTCTGTATAACACCCGTGTTCGTGGGTTTCGCCAAAATGATAGACGTTTAGGATCTGCTTTACTCAGGTCTTTCTTCAATACCAAGCGGGGCGGTCGGGTAGCCGAGTGGTTAAAGCGTTCGCTCGTCACGCCGAAGACCCGGGTTCGATTCCCGACATTGGTACAATGTGTGAAGCCCATTTCTGGTGTCCCCCGCCGTGATATTGCTGGAATATTGCTAAAAGCGGCGTAAAACAATACTCACTCACTCACTCACTCAATACCAAGCTGACACCCCGTGATATAACTGAAATAATCTTCAGGGCCCACTTGCACAAAGCGATCTTAGCGTTACAACTATTGTAAACCTATGTTAAAAGTATGAGAGTTACGATCATCGTAGTGCTAACATCGTTTTGTGCATGTGGGCCCGTGTCTTCTTCAATACCAAGCTGACACCCCGTGATATAACTGGAATAATGTTTTACGAGTTGATTCCCAAGTTGAGGTTAACCCAGAAATCTGTATGTACAGAACAAGATTGTGAAATCAGTAAATAATAACACAAGATAAACAAAATAGTTAAAAAGTTATTTTGAAACCCCAACAATCCCAACAAGCATCAGAGAAAAAACGTACAATACATACTGCCACATCACTAAAGCATTAAACCATACTCTTGGCTTCAGTGACTTGTGGCGGTTGACTGAATATGCACGTTAGTACATTGTCGTGGTAATGGTGGCGAAAACGGATGAATATAAATTTCAACCTTCATGGTTGGAGATTCCAGGGCAGAATCCATGGATCTACAATACATCTTATATAGGTTTCCTAGAGAGGAACCTGTGCTGGCTTGAAAGATTTATTAGCGATAATCCTGAATGTTCATGTGTTTTTTTCAATGAAAGCGCTTTACATAACCTATATACTTGCCCAAATTATACTGAGATTAGATCTGAAAGCTATTATTATGTTAATGGATATGACCTTCGAACCGTCCTGTTTGGTAACGTCAGCCTAGACAATGAAATACTGCTGAATATCGTTGACTCTGTACATCATTTCTTCTGTATGAGCAAAAGATTTGTCTAAACCTGCACTCTTATATATATATATATATATATATATATATATATATATATATATATATATATATATATATATATATATATATATATATCTAACAACTGTTTACCTTTGATTTTCCACATATAACCGGAGTCTATACTACTGTATAATTATACCACTGTTGCTTGTTTGAATTTTGTTGGGGAGAGATATTTAGATAGGCTCTGCCTGTTATCAATCCCCCTGCACTGTACCAAGTGGAAATAAGTATTGTTTAGAAAAAAAACGCGTGTTGTTGATGTTGATGTGAGTAATGTCTCTTTTGTTATGTAAAAATAAGAAAATTAGTTGTATTTTTGAAATGACATGAATCATAAATTAAGTGAGTGAGTGAGTGAGTATGGTTTTTCGCCGCTTTTAGCAATATTCCAGCAATATCACGGCGGGGGACACCAGAAATGGGCTTCACACATTGTACCCATGTCGGGAATCGAACCCGGGTCTTCGGCGTGACGAGCGAACGCTTTAACCACTAGGCTACCCGACCGCCCCCATAAATTAAGGAATGAATGAATAAACAACATAACAATATAATTATTTCGTTTTTAATGATTTCATTAAAAGGTACACATGGTTATTATCTATCGTGAAGATGTCCGATTTTCCATGACAAATCACCTAATTTCGCTTATCCGACATACTCGTTAATCCGACATAATCATATGCAACCAACCACGTCGGATTAACGGGACTTGCCTCTATATCTTACAAGATATAAATCAATAATCAATAAATCGTAGGGATTGTAGGAAGGGGATTCGAGAATAAGTATCAAGTGTAGCCTTTCTGAAATGATTCTTTGCCATCATGGATTCTAAGTGTTGCCGACTCACATGGGGATCGAATGATCTAAACGGTGGGAAGTAAAAACTCTATTTAAAAAAAAATTACCACAATACAACGGCATGGGTGGTTCGTTCTTGTTTGTCACACGGAGTAACTGGATTTGGGGAGGAAATAAGGACTGCACTGTATATCTGCCTTATGGACATGGCTGTGCAGGCCTGTGACCGTGCGCGCCATCAGTCACCATCTTCCCGGGGCAAGAGAGTTAACTGACTTCAAAAGTTTCCACCCTTGCCGAACTAGGCTGGAATTCCTGGGCTCGATCGTAGCGCCACCAGTGGTTATTACGAGTTATGTCCCTTCTAAGCCTCTCCTATGGACCAATCGGATTCCACCTCTCGTATCACTTGCATTTGTTTCAAACCAAATGGCGGCGCCCAGTGAGGACGATCTGATCGATAATCAAGATCTATATTGTGATAAAACGGGTTTTACATCGCGAAGTGCATCAAATCACGCGAGCACCTTGATTAAAAACATGAAAACATTTGGAAAATATCTGTTGGCAACGAGTTGGCGGTGCACATGCTTTGCAAATCTTGCAATCGACCGAAATCTGCACGAAAGTTAACGAACTGGATTTCGATTTCGTTGCGCGATTTTGATTGGACTATGCATAGACTCGTTAGTCCAGCCAAAATGTAACTCCATAATACTAGCCTTGTTCGGCAAGGGTGGAAACTGGACTTTTATAGTCAGTTAACTCTTTTGCCTCGGGAAGTCATATACACAGGCTGAACTTTGAACACCCGTGGAGATTTCGGGTATAAGAATATAGGCCCCCAGCAACCCACGCTGTCGTAAGAGGCGACTAAATGGATCGGGTGGTCACAGACAGACAGGCAGGTTTATTCATTAATATGATCACCTGCCCTGAAGTACAATTGATATTAACCATAATATCACGTGAATATACAGAAATTACGTCTTCCTGAATCAGATATTAAAAAATCAGTTTAAGATACGTAGCAACTGAAATGGTAATATGCACATTTTGTAATTTGAAAACATTAAATCAATAACATATCAAAATTTATAGGCAAGAAAGAAATATATGTTGATCTTAAACTAGAATTCTTGTACTTGTTACACTTAAATAAGACCTGGAATTCATTTTCAATTTATCCTCTCGCAATTGGCACGTATACACAAATAGCTTTAGATTCACGACACATATCTACATTGAAAATATGCATTAAAATTCGAAATTTTAAAAATCGATCATATTGATTACTTGTCTGATAGACCCGTGAAGATCCGGGGTAGAATAGGTCTTCAGCAACCCATGCTTGCCCTAAAAGGCGACTATGCTTGCCGTAAGAGGCGACTAACGGGGTCGTGTGGTCAGGCTCGCTGACTAAGTTGATCCATGTCATCGATCCCAATTGCGTGGATCGATGCTCATGATATCAATCACTGGATTGTCTGGTGCAGACTCGATTATTTACAGACCGCCGTCATATAGTTGGAATATTGCGGAGTTCGGCGTTAAACAACAAACAAAGAAACAAAATGGTCTGATAAGACAGATAAAGACATTACGGTTAAAGTTGTGACTTGTACAGATATATCTCGGGTGGTCACGCACAGTGCACGTGACTTGGTTGACTGCATGGAATGGTATCTCAGTTGCGTAGATCGATGCTCATGATGTCAATCACTGGATAGCCTGGTTAGTTACAGACCGCCGCCACAAAGCTGGATTATTGGTGAGTGCGGCGTTAAACAACAAACAATACAAAACAAGCTATCGAAGGGGACCTTTACCCTACTTACATTGCGTTACATGCTACTTATATATTTCATTATGTTTTTGAAAGAACTGCCGTTATGCAAGATGATATATTATAACTATACATTGAACAACATTCGAAACCACAGTGGCATCTGTAACAAATGTTATATTTTGGATAACACTTTCTTTGTAAAGTACAGATTCTCGTACTTTTTTAGGGTTGATTCCCGTCCGGGATTCGAACTCACACTGCCAGAGTGAGGCACCTAATCGCCAGCACACAAAGTCATCGATCTAACCCACTCAGCCACCGAGGCTTCCACAAAAATGAAAGTCCGACAAATGGTAGTCTAGATCACATACTTTGTGTACCCCTCTGACAAGTCTAAATTGGCACGGCTCCCATGGCTTTGCGTGTTCACCCAATGTCATCCTTTTTCTTGAGAATTGATGTGATGACTACGTGGTTCAAAGTGGGATTAATCTCCATGCTGGAGATCTACTTCCATTTTGCTTTAAAACAGTTGAACGTGCGTTTATTGGTGGTGTAAAATATAATATTGTCGCACTCATGATTCGACAACCCTTTCTGCATGATCAGCGTTTTGAATTCATATCCTGTTTTTGCTTGGAGTGTGTCAGTTAGTATGGTTTTACGCCACTTTTAGCGATATGCCATCAATATCACGGCGGGGGACACCAGAAATGGGCTTCACACATTGTACCCATGTCGGGAATCGAACCCCGGTCTTCGGCGTGACGAGCGAACGCTTTAACCACTAGGCTACCCGACCGCCCCGTTTTTGCTTGGAAGTTAAGCACAGCCGAGTTATGATAGATCTGCGCCAGTACGAGGCAAGATGGACCCATAGGGTCGAAAGGGCAATGATTCCTAGGGCAGAGCATCTTCCCGAGGCAAGGGAGTTAACTGACAATAAACTTGCCTCGGGAGTTGAGCCCATTATAACCATGCCATGGTCCACTGAACATGTTTGATTTCGAATCTCTAATTCTTACAGATTGTGGAGAGCTGAATTTCGGTTGTTTGATCCCGGGCCGCGTCATTAACGAACAAACGTTAAAAGATGGCATTTGTTGTTTCCCTGCCTGGCGCTCCCCATCAAGGAGGATCAGGAAGAAAATAGATGGCATTCGGGTCGGCTCGGAGTCAGCCTACAAAGCGGAAGGCCTTTTTATTTTGTATTTTACCAGAGACCATATGGTCTCTGATTTACTTATTATATTGGTGTTGATAAAGCGACGTATTCCTGTTCTGTATGCTGTGTCTGAGTGGGGTAGCAATGCTAAACTGCGGCATGGTATCTCAGTGGGTTAGGAAGAAATGGTAAGATAAGCTAAGGGATAAGATAAGACTTTATTATCCCAAGGGAAATTCATATTTCACAGTTGATTAGTACTAAAATACGAAAAAAAGAAATATTTGACATGAAAATCTGTACATAAGAAAATAAGACAGTTACTAAATCTATGATGAACACATCGACAACTTTTATAATGATTTCCACATGTTTCGAATCTTCCATGTCGATGTTGGTTGTACCGATCTCAATGGTATTACAAGTCATAATATTACGAAGCGGAGATTCTAAGGGAAGTAACTCCTAAGCTGTTCACAGTCGCGACCTCCCGAATGATTCCGGGAAAAACGATTTGAAGGTTGCGGAGAGGCACGAGAAGTGGCGAATGCTATAAATAGTAACTACTTCCTGTTGGGGATTTCCAAGATTCACTTACGAAATTCGAAAGTGAACATTTGATTTTATGGTTATGGAATGAATCGACATGTTCTTTTCGGTGTTGAGATAAAGCTAAAGAATTCCCCAATCACAGGTAAGGCGAAGGAGAAGTTTATCATAACTTTATCAGTTTCTGTATTTGAGGCAAAGTAGGGCTCCAGTTAATGTTTATCAATTACGTTTTTACTCATAAATTATCATACAATGAAACGTACGTACACAAGGCCGCAGTTAACTTTTTTTGACAGGGGGGGCAAATATTTGAACAAGTATCACTTGGGGGGGGGGGGGGGAGGGGGGGGGGGGGGGGGTGGCGCAACTGTGTGGTGCCCTTATTAACTGTGTAACATATAACGTATGTATAACTCGCATAAATTAAATTAACAATAAACGAAACCAGAGGTTTGATTGATAAATTCTGAGCTTCACATGAGAACAATTGCGTAATAGTGAAAATGAAATTCGTAGGGGTATTTCCACAAAGACTAATTTTGAGTCAAGTGAGCAAATTGTAAGATAAGGAGGATCTGTTACATTTCAAAAATGGACAATGCATACCTAGTTTATAAAGGAGACCTTTATGATACACTTGATCAACTGTCTCATTAAATCAGATCTTCCACTCCCATATGACAACATTTGATTTGCATTATGGATGAAGAACACCTCCACAGAAGGTCGTGTGAGATGAGGGTGGCCAGTCGTCTGAGGCCCCCCAATTCACTGTGCAGAGTTGCATCCCTTGGGCATGCCAGAAACCTATGATTGTGGGTTCGAATCCCGGTTTGCCCCGATTATGTTTCTAGTTTGTCAGCACCATACCCGTGCTTGTGGGTCTCACTAGAGTGGTAAACGTCTGAGACCTGCATCACTTCGGGCTTTCCTCCCACGTTAAGCTGACACGCCGTGATATAACTGTAATACTGTTGAAAGCGGTGTTAAACCCAATTCACTCACTCACTCATGTGAGATCAACTTTCTAATCTGCCACTCTAATCTACTTCTCAGTGCCTTGTCTTCCACACCATCAAGGGTGTGCTATTGAGGGTATATTTGTGTTTGATTTTCTATTGAGGTCAGCGTTTACTTCATAGAGACTTGTCTTCCACACAAAAAAGGGTGTGCTATTGAGGGTATATTTGTGTTTGGTGTTTTCTATTGATGTCAGCGTTTCCAAATAGAGGTGGTAAAGAATTGAAACCAGATTGTTTTAGACAGCACTCCACCCCCCCCCCCCCCCACACACACACACACACACCTCCACTTTGATTGGGCGGAAAATGCAACTTCCCGAGACAAGGGAGTTCGCTGACTGTTTCCTCCCAGTCCAGTTTCAAGCCTTGCCAAACTAGGCTGAAATTATGGAGTTATGTTTTGACGGGACTAGCGTGTCTATGCATAGTCCAATAACAATCCGGTTTGTAAACTGCCATGCAGATTTCGGTCCTTTGCGGAATTTGCAAAGCAACTGTACCATCATCTTCCCGAGGCAAGAGAGTTAACTGACTTTAAAAGTCCTCTTTCCACCCTTGCCGAACAAGGCTGGATTCATGGGCTCGATCGTAGCGCAACCAGTGGCTATTACGAGTTATGTCCCTTCTAAGCCTGTCTTATGGACCAATCAGATTCCAGCTTTCATATCACTTGAATTTTGCTTCAAACAAAATGGCGGCGCCCAGTCAAGATGATCTGATCGATAATCAAGATCTATATTGTGATAAAACGGTTCTTACATTGCAAAATGCATCAAATCAAGTGAGCACCTTGATAAAGATTTAGAAAATATCTCTTTACACCGAGTTGGTGTTGCACATGCTTTGCAAATCCTGCCATCCACCGAAATCTGTGTGACAGTTTATGAACCGGATTTCGATTCCACTGCGCGGTTTTGATTGGACTATGCATAGACTCGTTAGTCCAGCCAAAATGTAACTCCATAATACGAGCCTAGTTCGGCAAGGGTGGAAACTGGACTTTTATAGTCAGTTAGCTCTTTTGATGATGCGATTTGATCCACTCCGCAAGGTAAGACACGTTTTATTACAATATAGATCTTGATCATTGGTCAGATTGTCTTGACGGGGCGCCACCAATTTGCTTGAAGCAAATGCAAGTAGTATGAGAGGTGGAATCTGACTGGTCAATAGGAGGGACATAGAAGGGAGGTAATAGCCACTGTTGGCACTGCGATCAAGCCCAGAAATTCCAGCCCAGTTAGGCAAGGGTGGAAACTGGACTTTTATAGTCAGTAAACTCCATTGCCTCAGGAAAATGATGATCCCTATAGGTACCCACATAGCTTCATACAGGGCATCTTCCTGAAGCAGGGAAGTATACTGACTATAAAAAAAATCAGTTTCCACCCTTGCCGAACGAGGATGGAATTATATTTTGGCTGGACTGACAAGTCTATGCATAGTGCTTTCATTAAGATGCACGATGTAAGGAACTGTATCAGGATCAAATATCTGAATGTGATGAGATTGACTTTATCAAATACTTTACTTCTTTTAAAGGGACTTTTTTGATATTCTGTCAAATGTTGAGTATTAGCCTACTTGTGAAAATAGAAATATTGGTATTCAACATAAAGCCTGATTGTTTACAGGTCTTAGCAGGGCTCCTGATAATGTTTTGATACATTGAGTATTTACTCCCTCATTATCATTCACATTGGCTATTGATAGTTTTCTTTAGGTATTCAATTTTAATTTTACTACAGCGAGTAGACATATTTTAAAAATAATTCTGTTTAAAATGCTGTTTCAGGTGACTTCTAATTTGCATCTGTTAAACCATGTCAAAAAGACTCACAACAGCTATATACTGGTTACCAATAAGTGGGATGTAGCACCATTTTAATGCAGTATTCACTGCCATAGAGTCCATGTTGGTATAATGTGTGATGCCTGTAAATAAAGATTTGAAATACAGGTACACACATTGAAAGCGATACCAGGGCAGGGATGAGTCCAAATTTACTACCCGGGTACCCAACCCCCTATTACTAGGGCAGGGACGAGTCCAAATTTACTACCCAGATACCCACCCCCCTATTACTAGGGCTGGAACAAGTCCAAATTTACTACCCGGATACCCACCCCCCTATTACTAGGGCTGGGACAAGTCCAAATTTACTACCCAGGTACCCAACCCCCTTTTACTATGGCTGGGACGAGTCCAAATTTACTACCTTGGTACCCACCCCCCTATTACTAGGGCTGGGACGAGTCCAAATTTACTACCCGGGTACCCACCCCCCTATTACTAGGGCTGGGACGAGTCCAAATTTACTACACGAGTACCCAACTCTCTATTACTAGGGCTGGGACGAGTCCAAATTTACTACCCGAGTATCCAACCCCCTATTACTAGGGCTGGGATGAGTCCAAATTTACTACCCGGGTACCCACCCCCCTTTTACTAGGGCTGGGACGAGTCCAAATTTACTACCCGAGTACCCACCCCCCTATTGCTAGGGCTGGGATTAGCCCAAATTTACAACACCCAGGTACACACACCCCTATTACCCGACCCTACCCGGGTACCCACTGCAGGTCTCAAGTGATAGGTACAAAATGTTTGATTGGGATTTTCTTTTAACCACAGCCCTGGCAAAACATATCTTAAACATCTGATCATCCTTACACTGAAGTTGACTTAAGAGAAATGTACAAAATGTAAGATTGGGACTAGCAAAATGCACTATAGCACCAGCTGGTCCTGCACATCACGTGACTAACCACCGGTCCGGGCAGTCCTGTGGGTACCTGGGTCCTAAACTCAGTACCCCTCCGACCTGAGTACACGACTTGTCCGTCCTAGCCCTAAAGTATACATTATGACACTACGCAGTGTTGTGATATTTTTAGGTGTATGAAGTTTCTCATGCATTTTTGTACGTTTTTGTATACAAGCAACTCAGAATTAATTGGGTAATGGTGATATATTTTGCGTATGTTATGCAAATACACAGCATACTTGGACCTCTGCATTAGTAAGTATTACATGGAGTAAACTTATTTACTTATGTGTTGAGATTCGGGGTAGAATTATAGCTCTTCAGCAACCCATGCTTGGCGTAAAAGGCGACTATGCTTGTCATAAGAGGCAACTTACATGATCTGGTGGTCAGGCGCGCTGACTTGGTTGATGCATGTCATCGTATCCCAATTGCATGGTTCGATGCATATGATGTCAATCACAGGATTGTCTGGTCCAGATTCGATTATTTACCGACCGCCGTCATATAGCTGTAACAATCCCAAGTGGTGTTTTACAGCAAACACACTCGTCTTTGTCTGCAGAATGGCTTGATTATGTGCAGGCCTACGAAAGAAAACTAACATAGACCCAAACATTAGTAAATCACACAGACTGCAAAAATGGTACATGCTGCATGATTTAATGCATCAGGTACCACCGAAAATACAAAGCGCCGAAAATAAAATGTGATGATGTTTCTCCACTTCTTGAATTAATATGTCCTCTTCGATAGGCATCCAGTTTACTTTCCTGATGCGTTTATTTTTCGGAGGTGAGTCAATGGCGCGCAGATGACAGGTATCGTCTGCCCATCAATGTAGGTCGAGGGAATTCCCTTATGACGTCACGGGAAAACTCTTTCTATCTCCAACAGAAGAGAGCTCCCTGTATTAGCTGCGATAGTTGTCGAAGCTGGGACACGGCTACGATAGGTTTAAGACAGCTTCAAGAATAGCTTATGGCAGTCGTAATTTTTGTTGTAAGTCGCTAAGATTTGTCTAAGCTAAGACAGCTTCGTGAATACGCCACCAGGTTTATATCCTCACAATGCAAACTCATGGTGATTTTGTCTGTTATTTGTATAGCTATTTAAAGCACGTACTGTATTCGTTGTAATAAGCGCCCACAGCGATATTTGCTAATTTATTAGCTAGTGAACAATCCCAATTAGCACTGATTCCGATTGATCAATGTACGCAAGACTTACTTATTTGTGTATAATACGTGTGTTATATGCATCCTTAATTCTGGAAAAATATATCTGTCATATATAAACATTTCAGACTGTCAGCATAAACCACGAAATTTACGATGTTTCAACCCTGTTGTTTTTCACCAAAGTAATATTCTAATAAGAGCCCCCTATTTCTAATTTTGAGAGCACCCTAGGCGCTTATTATGTCGAATGCGGCGCATACTTTATTTCATAGTTTTGAATTCCATAGCTGTGTAGCTCTCTGCTGGTTTTAATTGGAACGCCTGATGTAAGGATGTATTGGAGAAAACACTTTCCCTTGGTTTTGGTAGACAGAGCATGCCCTGGGGAGAGGGAAAAACCAAGGGGGCGAAGAGAGCCCCTGCGTTTTTTCCTGACCCCGAGGGCATGCTCTGTCTACCAAAACTGAGGGAAAGTGTTTTTCCATACTTATAAACCGTCTTAATTGATTAAATGTTATAACGAGCATCTATAAATGAGGCGCTTCATTATAGCGCTCCCTTGAAGACGTGACATCATATCTTGCACGTGAAATTCGCTGACTTGCCAGGCGTTCAAGAGCGTTCAACTAAAATACTTACTTTTAAATGAAAGTGAAATCTTCGGTTTCTAAATGCTTGTGTTGCAATATTCCACTTCTTTTAAACTTTTCAAAGCGAAAATTTGCAAATTTTAAAGGTGTTTTTTTGCTTTACAAGATTTTCAACTTTAAACAATCCAACTGTTACATAGAGGTAGTTGTGACGTAATGGCTAGCAGTTACTGCACGTGCATTTTGTGCAGCATTGATAAGCACTTGTTTAAAAGCACATGTTTTGAAACCTCACTGTCCTTTCACCAGTGAGGTCGCTTTTAAATGTCCACGCGGAAATGTAAACCTGACATTTAATTTTAATTGAATTAAAATTTTGAATTGCGACTTGTTGTCATTTTTTCAGTTACTTGGTTAAACCTGGGATTTGAGGTTTTACTTTCAAAGTAAAACCTGCGAAAATGAAAACCTCAAAATAGGTTTTACTTTGAAAGTAAAACCTATTAATGGGTTTTACTTTGAAAGTAAAACCTCTTAATGGGTTTTACTTTGAAAGTAAAACCTCACAACAGGTTTTAATGTCTATAGAAAGAACTCTCTTACTTAACAGAGATCCCAATGAATAGGTTTATAAGTGTTGCAAATTATACTCAAGGGAGTTGATGAATGCCAAGCAGACATTTTGAGTACTCTTTTCCTGTCAGGACCAGGATATTTATCTGTATCTAAGGAGAGGAGGACATCCTTGACATCCTGAGCATTTATTACAAAGACAGAAATTTTACACATCAGAATGATGCTGTTTAGCTGGAGGTTCATTATCAGGGAATTTGAGATTTGCCTGTGTAAAAACACAGTCACTGAAAATGTTTAGTCATGTACGGAGAATTGCTGACAAGTACACGAGAATTATAGTCAATGGGAGGGACGATATACTTGATATTGTTATCAGTTCTGAGAAATGTTAGGGCGGGTACAACTGCATGGTCACAAGACTTTTGAGTGCATTCTTAGCTGGTATGAACTTGTAAAACATTTAAACAACTTAAATGAAAATGTTTCTACGCTAGGATGACTTGCGATATATATACAGGTTTTTATACACAGGTAGAAGAGACACATGTGCCATGTGAGCGCATGGTGGTCGTGGTTGTTGTATTGGTCCTCCATAGCACCGGACCGCCTCCGTGGTCTAGTGGTAGAGCGTCCACCCGGAAAGCGGAAGGTTCGGGGTTCGATCCCCGGCCGCGTCACGTTAAAAGATGGTACTTGTTGTTACCCTGTCTGGCGCTCTGCATCAAGGGGCTAAAACAAGGACTGGTTGGCTCGGAGTCAGTATACTGTGTCTGCGTGGGGTATTCATGTTAAACTGCAGCATGGTATCTCAGTGAGCTAGCACTATAAATCGGCATCAGTCCGGACTAGTACAAGCAGTCACACACACACACACACGTGCATGCACGTTGCTATATAAGTGCAATAATCTTGGACGCGGCGTTAAACCCAATTTCACCTCACCTCCATAGCACCGAGCCTAGCCCAAGCTAGGCTGAGAGTAAGACCTTCTTTGTATCTGAACCAAGCCATAAATTAGGAATAACAGTAATTAATGAGAGATGACAATAGTGTCATAGCGACTGATTTATGACAACCATTGTCTGAAGAACATTTGATTTAAAAGGCTAATTACCCTGTAGCCATGACATGTGCATGTCTGCATAAGTTAATTGTCATTATGTATTAGGCGCTAATCCCTGTTGTTAATCCTCACCATCGTTTCATTGTCTATTGACTGTCAGCCAACCTGGGGTACTGTATCACTTCCTGTTAATTACTGTTATTTATAGTATGACATTTATTGCCTTAACTGTTCATCCCCTGAGTTGTGTTGGTTCATCACCCCCAGAAGTCCCACGTCCAGAGCAACGTCATTGTCTGTCCATTGTTGTTCATTACCATATACAGTAAACTACGGTTATAACAAACTCAAAGGGACCACCCATTTTAGTTCGTAATAACCGTAGTTCGTTATAAGCATATGTACAGCAAATATGCAACACATGGCCGGGGCTAACAAGTAAGTTCGTTATATCGGAAAGTTCGTTTTAAGCGTGTTCGTTATAACCGTAGTTTACTGTATGTGTTACCATTACACGGTGTTAGTAAGCTTGGTATTCCGAGTGCTGGTGTAGGGACGACCTCAAGCAGGATGTGCCGCTCGTAGGAAACGCCCTGAGGTGAGCTGGAGCTCCGCTCACCTCATGCCTGAGCTGGAAGGTCCGCTCACCGTTGTGTTTGTGTATTCCGCTCATTGTGGAATTGTTGTTTATTGTTTACATGTTGTGCATAAAGCGTTCCGGGACAGTGATGTCGATTTTGTCCTTTATTCCCGCAAGAGCTAATTCCCTGTCAACATGCGCGTTGACAGTAGCGTGAAACAGATGATGGAAATTGACGGATGAAAATCGTCCCAAAATTGAAAAAAGATCTGCCACTTGGGTTAAAACAGGTTGCGAGTGTTTGACAAGCTGCAAAATTTTAACGATGAGGCCTGCGACAGATTTTGTTATTGGTTTTACAGGGCTTTTCTGTCTGCTCATCTGTTTGCTTACCTTGTCTACACTTTATGCCAAGAATTAGTAAAAACATGAAGATGCCTTCGGTTGTCTACTTGGGGATTAATCCCTGACAGGTGTTCAATAGGTGGAATAGGTTTATTGTACCCAAACAGTTAGTCATAAAAAGATAGTTACAGAAATTAAAGGATATGTTAATTACCGTATTCAACATAATAAGTGCCCACAGCGATATTTGCTAACATATTGGCTAGTGAACAATCCAAATCAGCACCCCTTCCGATTGATCAATGTACACAAGACTTATTTATTCGCGTAGAATACGCACTCGTGTGTTATATGCACCCTTAATTATGGGCAATTAAATTTGGGAAAAATATTTCTGTCGTAGATAAACATTTCAGGCTGTCAGCATAAACCACGAAATTTATCTTTCAACTCTGTTATTTTCACCAAAATAATATTCTAATAAGAGCCCCCTATTTCTAATTTTGAGAGCGCCCTAGGCGCCTATTACGTCGAATACGGTATTCACATTGTTGAGATCAACGGTCGTTTCACACAAACAACAATGTATGCCATGCTTAATTGTTATTTTTTTAGGATTAATAGAAATAGCCACACCTCTTGATGGATGTTTGAGTTGTGGCTAACTGCTTGCGAACATATAGATGGTAAGCATCACAAGATAGATTATTAATAGTAGAGGGAGACGCTGCAACCAAATCTAAATATCAGCCAGTGAAAACATTTGTCATACACCGCAGTGCCGGCAGCTGATGGTCACATACCCAAATAGATTTGTTTTGGAAGCCGATCACGGAGTGTGGGATTTCAGAATTTTCACTTGGATATTTAAACACTTTCTACAAATGTTAATATTGTTTTTCTCTCGGAAATTGACTTAATATTTCCTCGAAAGTTGATATTTGGAATAAAATCACAATAATTTTTTTCACGCTATTTGCCCTCCGATTACGGAGCGTGGGATTTCAGAATTTTCACTTGGACATTTAAACACTTTCTACAAATGTTAATATTGTTTTTTCTCGGAAATTGACTTAATATTTCCTCGAAAGCTGATATTTGGAATAAAATCACAATAATTTTTTTCACGCTATTTGCCCTCCGATTACGGAGCGTGGGATTTCAGAATTTTCACTTGGACATTTAAACACTTTCTACAAATGTTAATATTGTTTTTCTCTCGGAAATTGACTTAATATTTCCTCGAAAGTTGATATTTGGAATAAAATCACAATAATTTTTTTCACGCTATTTGCCCTTTAAGTGAGCTCTTCAGGCACCGGGAAAGTATTTTCAACATGACTTTGGCAATCTGATACAGGTTCTTGAACCCTGTAAACATGGTAAAAGCTTTTTGAGGTGTCAATGAGTCAGAGCCAAATCACTTTTCAACCACAAGATCATGCATCTGATCTCAGAGATGGTCACTCACTCACTACAACTGAACAGTCCCCCCCAACCATGAAGAATCACTTGCTACTGTCAGTATACTGTAAATCTTGAAATTAACGTGAGCGTGAATTAAATGCGAAAAATGCGAGTGGTCTTTGCTCGTTTTAACTAAACTTTGCATTTAAGCCTCCAAAGTGATTATCAACAATAAGACGGCCTCACTGAACACTTTTCATATTGGTAATAGCGGAAATACCAACTTAAATATAAACACAAACAACTATATATTCCACATCACTATTTATTGAGCAGCAGTTGTAACAACAAGTACATAACAATGTCATTCAAAGATAAGGAATTACGCACAGGGCTTTCAGTGAGTTGACACTGCTGGGGTCAAGAGTTCTACTCACATTAATGTTGAGTCACTGTTTGGACTGGGGGTATTTATTTGGAGACACATTAATTTCAAGATTTGCAGTATTTCTTTTCAGGTTGCTGCTGAAACTCAATGTCACTTGCTACAATGTTCCACCAGTCATGTAAGAATGACCGACCTCATGACAGGCTGTACAGCAAGATCCGGCCCAGCTTCGTTGAGAATGTTCATCCCCTCCAGCTCCGGTTTTACATCGAGTGCTTGACTCGGGCAGATGAGGTAACAAATCATTTATTCCAGATACAGTTAATATTTAGAACTCAATACCTATTGAATACACAAATGCCAGTAGCATTGGAAGTTTTAAAAGTTTTATGAAAAGCAATGATAAGAATGGTATATACTTTAATGTAAATTATGGATCAAGATTCTTTCAGTTATACACTCCCGCCTCAGGCTTGGCTGCAGTGATCTTAACACCGACAAATTTGCCAGATTTATATCCGACAGCCCGAGATGTTTATGTGGCTATCATACGGAAGATGCACTTCATTTCTTTCCTACGTGTCCCTTAAACAGTACATAAAGGCAAAATATGTATTACACTCTTCAAAAAAAGAAACACACAGGTAGTATGTAGTGCATTGAACCTGACTACACAAAAAATCTGGTATATAAATTGGATATATGTTACTGGAAAATGTTGGTGGCCTGATATTCGACAAACGGTGCATCAAAACACAGCCATTGGCGATTTGCAATATCTTAAACGGCATCATTTCACACTTGTTAAAAAATGTCATGGAGGAAACAGTAAAGCAAAATGCACGTGCAAGTTATTGCAATCGTAGCTCGTGGTAGTGGCTATAAAAAGGCCATATGGGACATATCCAAAGAGGGGAATCACAGTCTTCTGTTGCACACCACTTCAACGCCCAACACAGCACCATGCCGTCTTTGGAACCGATACACACAGTTCAATTCCACTGCAGACCATCCGTGAACCGCCTGACCAAGAGTTACCACCCCTGCACAGGATCGCCACATTCAACTGTTCCACCACATCATCGCAATGCCACAGCTATGGAGACTGCAGTTATTGTCCTTGTTTTGCAACAGATCCACCGACAGCGACGCTTGCATTGGTGCCACACCTAACAGCCTTGGAAATTGAGAAACTGGAGACGAGTATGGTTTAGCAATGAATCATGATTTCTTCTTCACTGGCGAGATGGAAGACCATTATGTTTATCGTCGTCGAAATGAGCGTTTTGCCCCACATTGTGTACATGAATTCAACAAATTCGGTGGCGGTAGTGTCATGGTGTGTCATATTGTATAGATCAATGATATTAAATTAAATATATCGACTTTATTAGGTACAATAAATTTCCTAAAATCTACCTGTGCATTTGTTTCTTTTTTGGAAGAGTGTATTTCGTAAAAGGCTATGATTTAAATTCAATTCTAAATGGTAATTCACATTTAACGACTTCAACAAATCTTGAAATTTTGAAATCAGTGCACAGTTTTATTCTATCTTCCTGCCGATTTAGAGATTTTGTCTGAGATGTTGGCTTTGCAATATGATACTGCGATGTTGTTGTGCTGGATGTAAATAATGACGTAGCTGTAGTTACGAAAGATAATCCAGTAATTAAACACTTACAGAACAATACTTATCTTTAATGTCAATTATATAATGTATGCTATTTCTCATGTCACTATCAATACATTGCTATTTGTATATGTATCATGTTTGGGAGAGGCATTCAGATAAGCAAAATTTGCTTGTTTGCCAATCCCTCCACTTTATGGAAATAAATATGTTTATATCAGGTGACATGTCTTTATGTGAAGGATGTTATAACAAGCTTAAATCACCAAGCATGTGCACTTGATGAGGTTATTATGAATTAAGGCCTGAGGGATGTTATGTTATGGTTATAGGACTCCTCCCTGGTTTTCATTGACGATATATCACCTCGAGGGAGGGAAAAGCCCAAGAAAGTGATTTTGACTATTTAATTTATCACAGAGGCAACAGCAGCTTCTGAGACTGATGTCGTCTTTGGCCCATTACTGAGACGTGTTCAAAATTCAATGTTTATTTCAAAATAGGGTATCCAGCATGCACAATGACATATTTTACATTTTAGGCCTTTTGCTTTTTGTTAGTTTGCTTACAAAACAATTGGCTTAAAAATCAGTGTAGGTGGTTGAAGAAAAATACAAATCACTTTCAACTTTGTGATTGCTACATTTGTATGAAATGACTAGTAGGTCACACTATCATTGAAATACAAACGCGAAACAATTTCGAAAGATATTGATTTGTATTTTTTTTAGAATGAAGATGTTCATAAGTAATATTGACCATTTCTTAACAAACAGTGTTGATAAGATATTGCGGTTTTTTTCATTTCCAAAATTCCAAACAGTCATCTAAATTTTTGTTGTTGTCAAAAGTCATTCTATTTTTTTTCTAATTTTGATTTATTTTTTCAGTCAGTCTCGTAAACCCACAAAATAGAAACATAAGGCCTTGTGGCAAATTAAAGTTCCAAAATAAATGCACAGCATAAAGTATGAAATGTCCTAAAACGAAAAGGTAAATATAATACCTTTTCTTTTACAGACATTTCCTGCTTTGCGACACGCGTTTCTTTTGGAAGTAAGTATATGTGGTGCCAACTTTGAGTTATTTGGCATCTTCAGATTGGTTGATTTTCTGTAAAGAATAACATGTTTTGCAGGAACGTATACTAGAAACATTTAACGACCATGGAAGGACTGAGGCTGCATCTCTGATGCTCCGGTTACTTACACAGCGGCCTGGCTGGGAGGAACAACTCCTCAGAGCTCTGCGGGAACCTCAGATCAATCTCAATTATTTGGCTGATGAGATAGAGGGGAGAAGACGTAAGTCAGACAGTGATAATTACCTTCTGGGTTAGAACAGGTCACCAACAACCTTCGCTGGCCATAGTCATAAGAGACGAGCCAATCGGGTGGTCAGACTCGCTGACTTGGTTCATTGCATGAAGGCAGGGTATGAAACTCCCAAAAATTTCAGCCAGACCACAGGACTGGCTAGCTGAAATACTTGCCAGCCCTGACCAAACCCTGCCTGCCCACTATAATCATATGTTTCTCAGGATAAGCTAACAGGATTTCTTTTTGGTTACATTTTATCATTCATCTTTACATGTGAATTAATGATTATCATCGGGAAATATTTAGAATATTGTCACATATGAAATATAACCCGACCGTCGGGCAGGGGGATTTGAAAGTCTGGCAGCCTGAGTTGAAATTAACCCGTCTCGGACGGTCGGGCAGGCAGGTATTTCGATGAAGGTGTGGATCATTACTCACAGACCTGTGAAATCCGGGGTAGAATAGGTCTACAGCAACCTTTGCCTGCTATATGCATAAGAGACGAGCCAATGGATCGGGTGGTCAGACTCCCTGACTTGGTTCATTGCATGTCGTCAAACCCTGAAGGCGTGGATCATTACTCACAGACCTGTGAAATCCTGGGTAGAATAGGTCAACAGCAACCAATTCTTGCCATAAAAGTCGATCATGCTTGTCGTAAGAGGCGACTAACGGGATCGGGTGGTCAGGCTCACTGACATTGTTGATGCATGTCATCGTATCCCAATTGCGTTGATCGATGCTCATGATGTCAATCACTGGATTTTCTGGTTCAGACTTGATTATTTACAGACCGGCGTCGTATAGCTGGTATATTTCTGAGTGTGGTGTTAAACAACAAACAAACAAACCTTACTTACAACATCATTGGCATTTTCTGATATGGACTTGATTTTTTACTGGCTGCTGTCACCTTGCAGAAATGCTGATTGCAGTGTTGAACAAAAAAACAAACAGTACAAGTGTAATCATGAACATAACTGTGGAAAATAGGTAACGCCTTCATTGTAAGCTCACCTGACTGAAGGTCAAGCGAGCTTTTGTTGTGGCCTGTTTGTCCGTTGTCTGTTGTCTGTCATAGACATCTTCGTCTCATAGACAATTGGACCAATAAATCTGCAACTTCACATTCTTCTTCTCAGCAATGATGACACCCCAATTTTTCAAGGGGTTCAAGTCTCAATTTCAATATGACCACTATGACAGCCATTTTGAAAATCGTTTTTTGGCCATGTTTCAGTCATTTTTGTGTAGTTAGTAGTGGGGCTAAACATAAATGTACCATGTTTTGCAATGTGTTTTAATTCGGACCTTGATTTGATATATGTACTATGATCATACTGAAAACTGAAACTCCTTATGATCTTTACAAAAACATTTTGTTTCAAAATCATGTAAAATGGTATTTGTGTCATTGGTTGAGGGTTCAGCATATATTTTTTGTTTTTTTTGGGGTGATATTTAAAATCTTGTCCTTGATTGACCTTTGTAATTTGACCATGCTCTTAAATTCTCTCAAAATCCATTTCCTCACACAGTAAACATTAGAAAGCACTGGGCCAATGAAGTTGAAACTTTTCAAGCTTGTTCCCACCACTGATAACATCTAAATTAGTTAAGGGCGGCACGGGTAGCCCAGTTGTCTAAGGCGCCGCGATTTGTGGTGCAGAGTTGCGTCCCTTGGGCACGCCAGAAACCAATGATAGTGGGTTTGAGCCCTGCATCACTTTGGGCTTTCCTCCCACATTAAGCTGACACGCCGTGATATAACTGGAATTCTGTTAAAACCGGCGGGGTTTGAGTCTGATTTTCAATATGGCTGCCATGGCAGCCATATTGAAAAAAGCAATTTCTGCCCACTGCTCAGCCATTTCTGTTCAAAATGTACTGTAATGCGCTTAAGTTATCAAAAGTGGAGTTTTCTGTACACATCTTCTCTGACATTGCAAGACTATGGAAACAAAACTTTGGAATGTATGGTTCTCCTCATGATGACACACAAAAAGATTCAAATCATTAGTACTTTTAGTTTTTGTGTGAAACAAATGGAAACATTCTTGTGCATTATAAACATTATTCTCCTTAGAAAGTTTATGAGGCTCAGAGTTGAAACTTTGTGTAAAGAAAGTTTAACTGTTGCATATTGCAACAATGTTTTACAACATTAGGTTCATTCTTACACATTAAGAAACCTGGTGGAAATTTAGACACTTTTTACATATTTGTTAATATTTTGGCCTCAGTGTTTATGCAGAAAAAGCAATACTGACAGCAACTTTCTGTAAGTGGCTGTGGTGACATTTTAGACTCCATATCCAGGTGAGCTACAGCACTATTTTGGGGCTTGTGGCTTTGTTGACTTGGATGGAAAGCCCCCCCCCCAAAAAACAATATCAAAATATTTAAAAAAATTAAAAAATTGTCCACTCTTTAATGAAAGATAAAAAAACTCAACAACAAAAATTATGCAAAATTAAAGTAATTGTTAAATTGTTAATACCATATGGTAGTAAACAGACATTTTCAAGAATAGTTACCAGGCAATTAGTACTTGTAATTAACCTGTAATTAACACAAGAAACTATGGACTATATTCTCTGTTTTTGTAGGGTTTGCTTACATGGATCGCTTCCAGATTGGAGTCGGGCTTCGCTTAGGGGTATTATTATTTTAAATATGTTTAGTAAAGGCTGCATATAATTAAGAAAATAATGGAATATGTTATTCCTGATAAAAAAAATAGTTTCAGATACAATTGTTGCCGATCCTTGCATTAAAAATCCTATAAAGTTATATCATTGGGTGTGTCTTGACCGAATCACCGGTCGATTCCAAGAAAACGTGTGTACAGCTGATTGCTGTTTCCGGCTTAGTTTACGAGAAAACACACAAGGTAATCTTAATCCCTAGATATAAAACAATGCCTAGCAGAACAATAAATACTATTTAAATGGTAAATAAACATGTCTGGTGATTTTTTATCTCAAATTTCGAATTTGTACTGACGAAGTTTCTCAGCACCCTTCTTTTGCCGGACTTCGCTGAAAGGGTACGGTGTAAATTTTGTCTGCTCATAATATTCAAATTTCTTTTTTTTCAAAATATTGAACCCGCTAGAGGGGGGTGCGCATTATACATCGTCTCCTTAACAGTACTTAAAGAAGTTGTTAACCAAAGATTGTGTCTACATTGTTGGTTGGTTTGTTGTTTGTTTGTTGTTTAACGTTGCACTCAGCAATATTCCAGCTATATGACGGCAGTCTGTAAATAATCGAGTCTGGACCAGACAGTCCAGTGATTGACATCATCAACATCGATCCATGCAATTGGGATCAATGACATGATCGATCCTTATGATGTCAATCACTCTATTGTCCGGTCCAGCCTCATCCATCAACTTCTAAGAAATGCCTTTCAAACAATAGATACAGTAAATTATGATCAACTATTTGCCAAAACAGAAACGGCAAAAAAGAGATGAAAACTATATGAATGGATCACTATTAGTTTGTGATGACACCAGGTGATCACAAAAGGGTAAGCGTGTTCTACTGTTCTACTTTCACCCCAGGTGAGGTTCTGATGGTGATGGACATTGAAGGCCAGGAAGAGCCCATGGAAGTGGATGAAGAACAAGAAAGCTCAGCTGAAAGATTCCAGATCTTCAGGGATGTAATCAGCAGAATCTTCAAGGAGCTGGTCAACACCCCCGACCACTTAGAGCAAGCTCTACGATTTGCTGGACAGGTATTGTAACAGTCACATTAAAATCAGATCATAGTTCTCGCTACCTCTAAACAAAGATCTGAGGACATCCCAGTATGGGACATGTCAGACCAAACTTTCGCAAACTTTGACCGGCCAATGGAATAACTAACAAGAAGTCGGCAATAGCCAATCAGAAAGCGGGTTAATTGAGCTTTACGGCACAAGTTTCAAACTGGCGACTATGCTTCGAAACATTCTGGATTGAAAAATTAAAAACTGACAAAAGAACATTCTGGAATGGCTAATAGATTGTCTAGATTGTGTGAATACAGACATGAAGCTCATAACTGTCGTTCGGAATACCCTGTGTGGTTTTTTTTAGGTTGCACGATAAAAAATCGCATTACAACTGTCACTTTCATGATCTGCTAAGCGATGCTCTGATTGGTCAGATGAAAGGTCGTTATGATCCGTAATGGGATGTCCTCAGATCTTAGTTTAGAGGTAGAGAAAACAAAGATCGGATTTTAATGAGATTGGGTATTGTAACAGTTATGGAATTTGGATAACATGAACATATTTTATTAACCAGCTCATCTTCCACGCCTAGGTTTTCAAGCAGATCTCTTCCAAACCTGGCTTTTGAAATAGATCACTTCTAAATTTACCTGCTTTGAAGTTTTAAAATTTAATTGTAACACCTAGGGTTGACAATAATTAACATTTTATAAACTTGCCTTTTGATGTGAACCTAATTCTGTTTTTGATTGGTTAAAAGTAAAAAAAAATTCTATTAGCATGAAAATTCCATGACGTGAATCGAACCTGCAACCACGTATATCGTGTTAAGTTTTGTAACCCACTGTTTTCCCAGGTGATGAGCAGTTGTTAAGTTTTTCATGTTATGACTTCAGCTAGTCCATGCTGCACATGGTTTTTCTCTCGCACGCTTTGAGCGAATTCCTTTTATACAACGATACACAGTATTGTTTCACTATAAGGTATGTCAATGTTTTCTTTTTTTTCTGGGATTTAGGCGGCCCTCAGGCTTTTCCCTCGCTCGTGGTTTTACATTTTCAACCAAAACCTCGGATGCATGCTTTATCCCATACGTCAAATATGTTAGTAATATTAACATGTTTGATCTAAAAGAAGTCATCTATGAAAAGAAAAAAATGCATTCACTTAAGGAACTTTAGGGTCTTGAAAAAATTAGCGAGAGGAGGGTTGCCAAACTTTATCACAACTATAGTGGGTAGTGGGTGGGGAGCATAAAAGAAACGTTGTGTTTACGTTGTGGTAAAATTAGGGATATTACGTCCATATGTCATTATTCTGTGGACTCCCATTTATGTTGTCACAACGTCATGGGCTAACGTTGTGTTATGTCATATTCTCGTTGTCACAACGTTGTGATAATGTTGTATTTAGCGTTGTGGGAACGTTGTATTTTTACGTTGTGGGAACGTTGTATTTTACATGGTGGTAATGTTATAATATTATGTCCCTACAACGTTATTCTATGGACTACCATGGACGTTGTCACAACGACGTGAAATAACTTTGTGTTAAAAGCATGATATACGTCGTGACAACGTTATCTCATGACCATTCCTCGCCAAATTGTCGTAAAAACATCCAAAAAACATTTTGCGACATGTTATAGAAATAGTTTAGTTTTCATTACACATTTAGTATACAGATTACTTTGTAAATAGATCTATATGTTTAAAAAAAATAAAACTAAGAGATGGTTTTTGTTACCATGGTTACGTTGTGGAATAATGTTACAATGTAACGTAATACTAACATTGTCATAGAGAGATGCAGTTATGTTCTGGAGATTTTAGTATTAAGAGATGAAAATTCAAATGCCCAATACATAGAAAAGTAATGTATTACTGCCTTGGTATTCTGACAAAATCAAGTTGATTTTGATGAAGCAGTTCTGTTCCTATATGACTATCAAGAAGCAAACTGTATAACGTTTCACCAACATTTCAGAAATGTAGTTACAAAACGTTGTGTGATGTCCGATGCACTACGTTTTCACAAAGTAAATGTGCAACGTTTTTATAATGTTGTGAAATAACGCTGCACGATGATGTTAAAATAACGTTGTGACAACGTTGTATCACGACGTTACAAATCCAAACCTTACCACAACGTTGTGACAACGGCGTGTGTTGGCTGGGTGTCAGGAAAAAATGTTGTATGGGAAAAGAGGGAGGAAGCGGGATGGATTCACTGCATCCAGGCTATGATTTGGTTGGTTGGTTGGTTTGTTGTTTAACGCTGCACTCAGCAATATTCCAGCTATATGACGGCAGTCTGTAATTAATCAAGTCTGAACAACAATCACATCACATAGTATGCATTTGACAGTACAAATTAATATGTCTTAACTATTGCAAATTCAGTGAGGAATTGTAGTTTGAATGTTGAAGCTGGTGAAATTGCTACTGTAGTTTCAAGACTCTTAGATGCCATCCACTATAACTTGCTGTATGTTACTAACAGTGGGTTCGCCACTGTGGTCTAGTGGTAGAGCATCTGCCGGAAGAGCAGAAGGTGCGGGGTTCGATCCCCGGCCGCGTCATTCCAAAAGACGTTAAAAGATAGGACTTGTTGTCACCCTGTCTGTCGCTTGGCATTAAGGGGCTTAAGCAAGGACTGGTCGACTCGGAGTGTGCTGTGTGCGTATGGCTGCTTGTACTAGTCCGGACTAATGCCGATTTTATAGTGCCTGCCCCTTGAGATACCATGTCACAGTTTAACATGAATACCCCACTCAGACGCAGTATACTGACTCTGAGCCGACCAGTCCTTGTTTTAGCCCCTTACTGCTGAGCATCAGGCAAGGTAACAACAAGTACTTTCTTTTAACGTGTTTTGGTATAACGCAGCTGGGGATTGAACCCCGGACCTTCCGCTCTCCACACAGACACTCTACCACTAGACCACAGAGGCAGTCAATAAACTCTATGGAACTATGATGTACTGTCTGTGTTGATGCATGGAGTGGTTACATTGGTTACCAGTGTCTCGTCTGAAAATGTTTGAACATTTGTCTCTTTTATCCAGGACACTTATGTTTATATTTTATTCCATTATAGTGACAAGTGACTTGTATCGTCAAACATTTGTATTAATATATTGTTAGATGCAATTCTAATTATACCTTGTATTCATTATGCGTGTCCTTTGCATTTGAATACATAACTTAGTTGAAGCAGTTTCGTCTGTTCAATGAAAACTGTTCACTATGACTATAATTCAAAACACTTTATTTTCACTTACCTGTGCAGAGGGTGTTTGATGTCAGTGACCTCTTCATTCAAATAATAGGAAAATAGACTTTTGGAAATGTGGACAGATGTTTGCTACACAATATTGTGAATACAATGTATTCACATCATGATAGTTTATCTACAAGATGTCCAAATTAAACTTTCAACATTTTTTGGCAGATTCCACTGTGTAGAAGGTATATGCACAAAAAAAGGTAACCAACTCACGAGCTTGTAACAGAAAAAGACAACTTATAGTTAAGTTGGTGAGTGAGTGAGTTGGGTTTTTAATGCTCCTTTGAACAGTATTCATTTATATCATGGCGTGTCAGCTTAATGTGGGAGGAAAGCCCCATGTGATGCCGGTCTCAGACGTTTTCCACTTAGTTGAACCCACGAGCAGGGGTATGGTGCTGACAAACCTAGAAACGATCAGGGTGAACTGGGATTCGAACCCAAAATTGTTTTCTGGAATGACCAAGGGAGGCAACTCTGCACAGCAATTTGCATTGCCTTAGATGACTGGGCCCCCATGCCCTCCTTAAGGTTGTGACCTGTATGTTAGTGTTGCTGTGTTTCAGATGAACGACATGATATTCCGAAGTGGATGTTATGGCTGTTTGGAGCTCAGCTTCCAAGTCAGGAGTGTCCGGTCTCTACATAACCTGAGGACCTTGTACAAGGGGGGAGCACTCCGTGATGCTCTGTCTCGGGGGATCCTCACCATGGCAACAAGACAGAGAATCCAGAAGGAGGCTGCCAGCAGAGGGGTGAAGGTCATGAATCTCTCTCTGACACTTACGATATCGGATGAAGATTTCTCTGAATGTGAAAGGTTTCTGGAGTACAGTGGTAAGATTCAATTATCCTTCTGTGAGAGAGTGAGTGAGTTTTATGCCGCTTTTAGCAATATTCCAGCATTATCACAGCAGGTAACACCAGAAATGGGCTTCACACATTGTACCCATGTGGGGAATAGAACCGGAGCGAACACTTTAACCACTGGGCTAACCACCACACCCTTTCTTCAGAGAAACATTTTCAATTACTTACAGGTTATCATGAATTGATATCCTTATATTTATCAGAAATGTACAATGAAACATTTGTCATTTTGTTTGTTGTCTTGATTAATGATTGCATTAATGAGTCCTTGAGACACCTTAGGCTAAAAAAAATAATAGTCTTGGTTCTCAAGCACCGCCCACATAATAATAAAGTCTCGTTTCGTTTTTATTTCCATTTTCAAAGAAATCAAGAAATCCTAATACTAAAAAACAATTCGATCCAATATAGCACACAGTTACTTCCCTATACAAGTACGCTGCTTTACTGCGCATCTCGTGTTATGGTCATGGTGGCAATAGGAGTTTCTATGCTTGTTTATGTAGGGAGGCCCTTTCCCGGGTTGATGGTTCACAACTGTTTATTCAATTACATACTAGTTTGGACAAGCCAAAAAATAAAAAAACACCACCCAACCGCACTATATTTTCAGAAGTCACTGCCTGAGAACTAATTCTAATATTTTTTTAAGCCTTAACAGCATCTAGGCTAGTTTTTCTGTGATGCAATCAACATGACCATGGATCCCTCTAAAAATTTGTCACACGACCTAACGCCTATTCAATTACCTCAAACCATAATAATATAGGCTGTGTTCTAACATATCCAATATGTGATTTAATAGAAAATAATTACTCTTGTTTGCATGCAAGTTGTGATATCACTCCATGATGTAATTCTAGCTTTAAAATCTGTCATCCAGTATATATAATGTTATTGTAACAACTTTGTACAAGGGCCGATGGCCGACCAACAGAAATACTTGTCATCCAATGCTGAATCTGTAGCAGAAACTCATATTTTAAAGGTTTGCAAATTTATCTATTTTTCATTTATATCAGATTTGCCATCACCAAGCAGTTATGTGGCAGCCCTGGCAACTCCTGTTGACGCGTTGGGTGAAGAGCAATCATCGAACGTACAGATGCTGCTTGATGAACTTCCTCCCTCGTACCAGAAACTCCTTGAGGAAGTGATCAGTTTGACCTTTGACGAATCAGAACTGCAACAACAAGTGATGACAATGTTGTCGAAGCCTTTATGTGATATGATCAAGGAGAGCATGGATCGTCTTCATACATTCTTTAGCATTGGTGAAAGTGTAAGGAATGATTTGACTAAGATTGGGTTGAATCTTTTGATAAGATCCTTTATCATGGGGGAGAGAAATGTCCATATCGCAACAGGAGACAAGAATGTGCTGGTATGGGGTGCTGATGAGAAGGAGTTTGTCCTCAGTCGGAATATACGTGCAGAGCTTTTGGATCCTAGCCTATCCTCTCCAGTAGATACTCTGATGTCCCTAGGTTGGTTAGCCTTAAGTCCTGGTCAGAGTCACATGTATTATATCCCTGGGTCAGTTCGAAGGGCATATCTGCTTTGTCACCTCCTTCCTCTCAGGGTTGATGAGCTGCCGCTGACCCTGTTCCTAGACCCGATGGGTACACTTGATTCTTCTGTTGATTTCAGTCTGTTCAGTTTCTCTGGTATCTTCCTGGCATATACAGCATGCTACAGTGGTCAGTTGCCATGGTTATCACGTTTCCCCCCCTCATTTCTGTACTTCCCTGATGTGGCCTTGTTTATGTCTTCAGTTCACGCCCATGAAACATCCACGGCAGTCAAAGACAATCTGAATGTGGTCTTAGAGAATTTTGAGTTCAGATCTTTCCTTACTCACCACAAGTCTTCTGATGTGGACAGGCATTGGAAAACATGGAAAAGAGTTGGCGCCAACTTTGGCCTCGAAACATTTGAGTTAATCAATAAGCTCAATCTTGACAGTCATGCTTTTGAAGAGGGTATAACAGTTGTAAAGGAGACACTGCTTATTGGAAAGGGTAACGTGATACCACTTGCGTCCAAAGCCTCTGATTACAACTTTCAGCTTGCCTTCAGATGTATTGCCCTCCTTGACCTCCTACAGTGCATGGAGAGTGTGGATACTTTGTCCTTTTGGAGAGCAGATAGTGCCAAGGCTGCTGTGGAAGAACTGCAAGAGCCTGCAGAGAAAACTCAGCCAATGTCATCAAGTCATGAACCGTTAATTCACAAATATTCAGGCTCTTCAGAAAATGATACCACTCTCGAGTCAGCTGGTTGTCTGTCTTTAGATGCTCGTCGAGCCAAATGTTACACTTCCACGAGAGCATCTGACTGGTCATTTAAGCTGGATATGTCAAAAACATCTCTGGACAAGGAGCAGGTATCACTGCTGTGTAAATTCCTGCCCCAGTATGACCATATCACCAACTTCATTTTTGACAACTCAGGTCTAGAAACATGCGAGTTAAAGCAAATAATATTGGCACTGGATCCTGCCACTGTGAGGGGCCTATCATTATTGAGATGCTCATTAAATCTAGATGATGGTGAAATAGGCTTGTCTCGATTGCGGTATATGGAATCACTGGATTTAGAAGACACAGGCTTGACAGACAGTATGATGCCGGTTCTTGTCAAGGAAATAGAAAACATGGGCAATTTGAAGGCCTTCAGTGTTGGTTGCAACCACATTTCGTCTAGTGGATTTGCATTACTTTCCTCGGCACTCATATCCAAGGCACATCTGAAAGCCTTGAGAATTCACAACATTCCTTTGGGTGATACTGGAGGAGTCGTTCTCGGTCAGCTGGTGTTTGCCCTGAAGCACCTCGAGATCCTTAGCATCTGGGAGTGTAATATAGGGGATGAAGGTGTCCGCATACTGTCTGAGCAGCTCACCGTTCATGGGAGTCTGAAGAGACTGTCAATGCGGAACAACAACATGACATGCAGGTCCTCACCTGAACTGTGCAAGAGGCTATCTGCCTGCAGGAACATCCAATTCTTTGACTGCAGCAGCACGAGTGGGGACACGGACAGGCTGAGTGAGAGTCTCCTGATCCTATTCAGATCTTCAACAGCATGGGACCATGTCAGTTTATGGGACTGTGACCTTGGTAAAATGTCCATCTTTGACAATCCATTGGATTTCAAAAACCTGTCCAATGTGACCTTTCTCTGTCTACAGAAGAATGGCTTGGCAGATGACAACATAAAGCGCCTTTCGACATGCCTATTGTCTTTCAGGTTCCTGCAGCATCTGAATTTGAGGGAAAACATGGTAGGTGATGAGGGGGCTCATGCATTGGCCAGTGCCCTTTGCGACAAGGAGCATCTGGAGGAGCTGCTCCTGGACTGGAACATCTTCAGTCTGCCTGGAGGCAGGGATTTGGTCCAGCTGGCTCTGGAGCTGGATAATCTCAAGTCATGTGACCTGTCTTTCAGCTTTCAATTGGCTCCCCCAGAAAAACAAATTCTGGCACATATGGTAGGAACTCCAGTTCAAGAGGGTGAAGGAGATTTGTTCAGGGTGGGGAGAGGCCAGCTTGTGTTGAGGATATAATGCAGAGCAGAGTTGAAGCAAGAGGAGATCTACATGATGCAGCTGCCTCATTGCAGACTTTCCTCCAACGTGAAGCAGATGTGCTGTGATATAACTGAAATACTGTTTAAAGGAGCACTAAACCAAACTCACTCAGTATTAGAAGCAGAGAGTGTGAATGTTGTGATCTTCCAGCTTTATCATTGTGTCCTGTACGTATTCAAGTCCAGGTCACTGACTGCAAGCATGACCAACATCCCAAGTCATCCAGATATGACAGTCAACCAAGTCACAGAGCTCAAGCAATGATTCCAATGTCAGTCGGCTTTTACAACAAGCATGAATTACTGGAGATACTAGTCTGTTTTAGGGAAGGGATTGTTTCATTCTTGTTTATTTGGTATATCTATACTGGGCTGTTATTAGACACGGAAAGGCTCATGTATGTTTTTTTGGTATAGCAATATTAGGCTGTTATTAGACAGGGAAAGGTTCACTCTTGTTTATGTGGTATAGCAATACTAGGCTGTTATTAGACAGGGCAAGGTTCACTCTTGTTTATGTGGTATAGCAATACTAGGCTGTTATTAGACAGGGAAATGTTCATTCTTGTTTTTTTGGTAAAGCAATAGTAGACGGTTCTTGTTCTTACCATACCTGGTGCTTGGCATTAAACAAAAGGACTGGTCAGCCCCCTTGGTGTTTAGGGGATAAAACAAGGACTGGTCAGCCCCGATGGTGTTTAAGAGCTAAAACAAGGACTTTTTGACCTGGAGTCAGCATACTGTGTCTGAGTGGGTATCCATGTTACACTGCAGCATATCTCTGTGGGCTAGCACTGTAAAACCAGCATAACTTAGGACCAGACAAACTGTGTCTGGTTTCCAAAGGTCACAAGTCTGTTTTGTCACAGAGAGAGAAGTTGGTCAATTCATTCCAGTTTTTGTGGATATACCTCTGTGGCATCAACATCGTGTCCACAACAGAAGTGTTCACTGTTATACAATTCTTTCCATCTGAGGCTTAGAACTTATTACTCAACCCTCACTGTCCATCATCCTGATCCTCCAACCCAAAGTGTATTGTGGAATACAATGCCCTGGTGTACCCCCTTGTCTCAGTACCTCATCGCTCTCCTACCCAGAGTTCCATGCGGCCGGCAGCCAGCTAGCATAGTACCTCTGCCACAGGCCAGCGCCATGTGACGATTCGTCACATCTTTCACAGTCCATTCAAGATATTGCATATGCTTTTCATCCGTTTCATGTTTGACAAGTCTACACATTTTCATAAACAAATGTCAAAGAATGGTTAACTTTCATTGAGAAAGTATGCAAATACGTAAAAATCTACTTGTTTTTGCGTAGTTATCCTATGTTTACATTGGTTGTATTGCTCCACATCCTGTCATCAAAGCCCAACGGAGAGCTAGCGACACGGTCACTTTGATGCATAAATATATATTGTCATGCAACTCACTGTCGCAGTTGTAGTAGCATATCTATATATTTATGAAAAAAAAAAGGAAAGTGCCCCCAAATACTTGCATTAGTCCGTTCTATACTGATTTCTGAAAAAGCGCGTTTGTTTAAAAACAAGAGAAAAGTCCGGTCACGTGATATGCAAATTAGCCTGTGGCAGTGGTGTTATGCTGAGTCACCACTGTGACGGAGTGTGTGCCCTGGTGTACCCCCTTGTCTCAGTACCTCATATAACAGGATGACTGTACTCCGTACAGTGGTTTAGTTGTGCATGTTTATATAAGGGTTGTGTGGAGTTGTCATCTCCAGATGTAGTATTGTCCAGACAAAAGTCAGTATGATGCAGGTCGAGTGTCTGAAACTCAGCAGAGTAAACTGAGAGCCTTAAGGGCCAGCAAATTTAAAAAACTGTAGGCCCAGTGGAAAAACTGTAGGCCTAGTGGGAAAACTGTAGGCCCAGTGGAAAAAACTGTAGGCCCGGTGGAAAAACTGTAGGCCCAGTGGAAAAACTGTAGGGCCTGTGGAAAAACTGTAGGGCCTGTGGAAAAGCTGTAGGCCCAGTGGAAAAGCTGTAGGCCCAGTGGGAAAACTGTAGGCCCAGTAGAAAAACTATAGGTCCTGTGGAAAAGCTGTAGGCCCAGTGGTAAAACTGTAGGCCCAGTGGAAAAGCTGTAGGCCTAGTGGAAAAACTGTAGGCCCAGTGGAAAAACTGTAGAGAGAGTTATTAATATACTGTGAATAACGGTGAGCAGGGGAGATTACCTCACACAGGATTTCGCGTAAAATGACATGTTTGAATGACTTTATAGCCTATATTAAAATGATAGAAGTAAATATACATATGTAACAATTCATATAATTGTATTCCATGTTCATTTAATGTAATAATGTTCATATAAATATAAAAATAGTACAGACGAATGTATCAGTATTTAATTCCATTTGTTGACACTCGATTTCCGGTATACATGTTGGATGGATTGTTACCCATGGGGGAAAAATACCTGAGATCTTATGGTGGCATGTATAATGCGCAACCCCTTTGCACTGCTTCACTTCTGAAAAAAAATTAAAATGTGTGCTCAACACTCAAGAAAATATGTTATTATTTTTTTTAAAGCAATTTATGAGGGAGGTATATTTTTTTTCCACCTAGAAGACCAACAAACACAATGCTCACACAGTGAACTCAATTCTTTGAGACAATGTCAATTGTCAAGCATGTATATCAGTGTCTGCTTCATATGATGTGGGATGTTTGAATTTTCCATTTTTTTGCAATAAAAATGACGGATGCACAGGGTTTAATGTGACATGCCAGTGCCCAATAAACATTTCTTTTGTTTAAGGATTGTAGGATATTCTAGATGGTAGAACAATGACAAAGCTTCATTGCTTGTAATGAGTGAGTGAGTATGGTTTTACGCTGCTGATAACAATATTCCAGCAATATCACGGTGGGGGACACCATAATGGACTTCACATGTTGAACCCGTGTTGGGAAGTGAACCTGGGGCTTCAGCATGACGTGCAAACGCTTTGACCACTAGGCTACCCCACCACCCCTGGCTTTGGTGAAGTCTACATACCCAAATATTGTGATACAAGTTTTGCTCAAAAGTTGTTAGATCAGCGTTACAACATTCAAGGCCTTAGTAAGGCTTTCAAAATCTGTTATGGTAGACATGTGGAGGACATTTCCAGATTTGACGCATCAATGTAAAAAGTAATGACTTTGCAGGTGAACAATTGACCTGCTTTTGCATGTGTTTGTGGCCGATGCAACAATCATCTTTTTGCAAACACGTATCATTGGTATTTGATAGCGATTCAAAAACACATGCTTTTGACGTTGTTTGAATCGTACAATGGACTCTGCATTTAGCAGAGATTGCTTATCATTAGGACTTCTATATTATTTGTAGTTCGTTAACCAGATCAACTGCGTAAAAAACTGAAATGAGGAAAAAAATAAAATGACTTTTGACCAAAAAAGTTTGTGCCAACTCGGTTTTGAAATTTTTGAGATGAGATTTTTTTCTACTTTGTTTGTAACAAATGCTGATTAATAGGTATTTATAAACATCTTCATTCTATTACGAAGTACTTTTTCGGTATCTTGCAATGTTGAAGACTTGTTTGTTTTTCATTCATTAGTAGCAGTACTAATATGGAAAATGAATAATATTTTTATTTTTTTCGAAAGCCTGGATTGAATTTTTGTCCGAACATTTTGTAAACTGACTAATAAAAAGTTAAAGTCCGTATGGAACGAGTTTTGTCCCTTTTAGTGTATGCACCACTGTCCATGGTGCCTTGGTGCCAGACAAATCTCATTAACATCAGATCTTAGTTCTCGCTACCGCTAAACAAAGATCTCAGGACATCCCATTAGGGGTCACGTCAGAACGACCTTTCATCCGACCAATCAGAGCGTCGCTTACCAGATCATGAACCAGATCAGTCGGAATGCGATTTCTAATATTGAAACCTCGAAAACTTTAACACGGGGTATTCCGAACGATAGTTACGGGCTTAACGACTGAATCCATACAATCTTGACTATGTATTAGCCATTTCAGAATGTTCTTTTGTTCGGGTTTCAAATTTGTAATCGAGAATTTGTCAAAATATGTTTGGGAGCGTAGTCGCCAATTTGAAATGAGTGCCGTAAAGCAATTTGAAATGAGTGCCGTAAAGCTGCCTTCTGATTGGTTAATGTTGACTTCTTGTAGGTCATTCCATTGGTCGGTCAAAGTTCGCGAAAGGTTGTTCTGACGTGACCCGTAATAGGATGTCCTCGGATCTTTGTTTAGCGGTAGCAAGAACTAAGATCTGATTTTAATGAGATTGGTGCCAGACATTAGTGATACATTGTTACAATGTGTGTATGGTAGGTGTTGTTCCTCCTCATTGTTCTTTTCTTCTCTCAACCTTGTAACAAAACCCGTGAAGATCCGGTGTAGAAGAGGTCTTCAGCAACCCATGCTGGCCGTAAGCGACGAATTTGCTTGTCATAAGAGGCGACTAACGGGATCAGGTGCTCAGGCTCGATGACTTGGTTGATACATGTCATCGTATCCCAATTACATAGATCAATGCTCATGATATCAATCACTGGATTGTCTGGTCCAAACAAACTTGTAACAGAATAGATGCAGTTGTGGACAATTGCAATGTGTATAAATACAAATTAAATTTTATCGGCAGTCAAAGAGTGCTGATGACAACACTGAGCACAATGTCATAATACTTTCCACATCAATGATGCAGGTCTCAGACGTTTACCGCTTAGGTGAAACCCACCAGCACGGGTATGGTGCTGACAAGGCAAAATCCAAATAAGGGATCTACATGTCACAACTTTTGAGGTATCACGGAGGATGCTGTTTCTACGAAGATTTAAAAGAGTCATACGATTTCCTGCCCAAGACCTCAATAAGGCTTTCCCATGGTGACATGGATGGCCGTTCCTAATTTTATGCTTCAGTGACCAAAATGGTGTCCGATGCAATTCCCTCTTTTGTGTTATACCATGTGTTCCCGCGCTTGCCTTTGCATGTGTTTGTGACAGTGATTCACAAACACATGCTTATGATATAGTCGAACTTGTACAATGGATTCGGCTTTTGACAGAGATTTGTCATGATTATAAAGGAAATGGTTTTGTCGCAGTAATAAAAAATCTTTTGTAACCGACAAAGGAAACTCCCAAGACACGGCACTTTGTCATGATGAGTACAAGGGATTATTTGAATGAAAGTTTCTTATGTACGATCTTGTATTACATATGATAGAAAACACTCATGTACAGCTTCATACTGCATACATACCATTAATACATGGCTCCGATGTTCCTACAGTTTGGCCCTCCAAGAAATCACACAAAGTGAACGTCAATTCTTAAATAGCCCGGATTATTACATCAATTAGTGATTGCAGTCTCACACATTAACGTAAGGCGAGTTCATGATGGCCTGTAGAGACAGCAGAAATTCAGTCGCCGTGTCGTGTGGTGAAGGCGTTCGATATGGTTTCACGACCGTTTCAATATATTCTCGCCATGGTCTCTATCCTGCACAGGTTCTGGTTTATTCTGCTGAACTTTTTGAGTGAGGGATATCGATTACATCACTGGTGCTTTGGAAATGTAAACACCGCGAGTAACCTTCGTCCCACGAGCGTCTACCGTACCCTCGTGTTCGCTCTTCCAACCAAACCCAAGGCGAAAGTTTTTCCTGACTTACGTACAAACAAACTTTCGGAATAAATTGAGAAATTGTACAAAGCAGCCACTTGAGTTGCCGACCGCCTCCGTGGACTTGTGGAAGAGAGTCCGACCGGAGTCGGAGCGTCCGTCTGTATAAAAGATGTTACTTGTTGTTACCCTGGCTGGCGCTCGGCATTAAGGGGAGTCAGTGTACTCTCTGAGTGGGGTAATCATGTTAAACCGCGGTATGGTACCCCAGTGGGCTAAGCACTATAAAATCGGCTAAAGAGATCGGGTGGTCAGGCTCGCTGCCTTGGTTGATGCATGTCATCGTATCCCATTTGCGTGAATCGATTCTCATGATGTCAATCACTGGATTGTCAGGTCAACTCTCGATTATTTACAGACCGCCGTCATATATCTGGAATATTGCTGAGAGCGGCGTTAGACAACAAACAAACAAACAAAACTTGCAAACACGCTTATTTTATTTTCCGAATGAAAACATGTAACAAGAACATATATTTCATGAATATATAAGCACATTGTTCATGAAATGATGCATAAATACATTATAAACTTAATAGCTGATGTTTTTGGTAAATGGTTAATGAATACTTTTTTCTCTACCTAATAAAACAACGATACATTTGCAACGATGGCAGATGTAAGCACAAAAATTAGCATGAAAGATATTCACAATCTGCCGCTGACCTCTCAGTGGTTTAGGAGGGAACATTAGTGCGCAGTGAGGTATATTAACAGGTGCGAGTGGTGTTAAATAAATGTTAGAAAACTATCACAAATTCGAAAATTGAATCATACACATTGCACTACGATTACTATGGCCGACTAATGTTGATGTTCCATTTTGTTGAATGGACGCATAATAGTGTTGCCTTAAAACAAAACCCGTGAAGATCCGGGGTAGAATAGGTCTTCAGCAACCTATGCTTGCCCTAAAAGGCGACTATGCTTGTCGTAATAGGCGACTAGCAGGATCGGGTGGTCAGGCTCGCTCACTTGGTTGATGCTCATAATATTAATAACTGGATTGTCTGGTCCAGACACGATTATTTACAGACCGCCGTCATAAAGCTGGGATATTGCTGAGTGCGGCGTTAAACAACCAACCAACCAACCAATTGCATGGATCGATGCTCATGATATTAATCACTCGATTGTCTGGTCCAGACTCGAATATTTACAGACCATCGTCATATAGCAGGAATATTGCTGAGTGCGGCGTAAAACAACACACTAACCAACCAACCAACTTGCATCGAATATTTCACAAATCTGTGATTTTGCTCATTATTATTTAAATACAGGCACTCACGGTGAAAAGGCCATGTTTTGTAATTAGGCAAAGTGTTGTGATTGGGTTATGATTTTTTTTTAAATGAGTTTAGACGCAAGCAATTCAAAATTAATTAGCACAATGGTAGATGTATGTGTGTTTGTTACGTAGATTCAGGTTCAGATTCAGCTAATCAGGAACTCTTACACAAACAATCTTCGTCAACATAGCTACTCTGATGAGTGTTCCTTGGACACAAGGGAATCAAACAGAGACATATACCCCTTTTCCTTTGCTAGCATTGCTGGCGTCGACCCACTAGCATTCCTGGCGTTGATGTCAACTTTCTGCAGAGAGAGGAGATACGTCACCATGTCCACGTCGTTACTCAAACAGGCAGAGTGCAGGATGTTGTTACCGCTGTCGTCTACCAGCGATATATCACCTCCTTGTTCCAGCAGAACACCAACCACGTCTCTGTGTCCGCTCACTGCTGCTAGCATGACTGGAGACCGGCCGCAACTATCCCGGCTGTTGCTGTCAACGATATTCTTTGACAGCACATGCTTCACCATCTCCACGTCACCCCCAAGACAGGCAACGTGAAGGATGTTATGGCCGTTGTAATCCGCTAATGTCGCATGGCATCCTCTTTGCAGAATAAGGTCCAGAACGCCTCTGTGTCCCTTTCCAGCTGCGGCCAGCAATGGTGTCCTGCCGTATTCTCCTTTACTGTTGATGTCAACAAAGTTATTTGAGAGAATGTTTTGCACCATGGCCTTGTCACCCCCAAAACAGGCCACGTGAAGTATATTGTTCTTGCTCTGACATAGAAGTGACACATCTGCTCCTTTGCTGAGAAGGTAGTAAAACACACCTCGATGGCCCATCCCTGCTGCTGACATAAGGGGGGTTCTACCATTGTCTCCTCTACTATTGATGTCAACGATGTTCTGGGCCACGAGGTACTCCACCATCTGCACATGACCTCCAAGGCAGGCTGCGTGAAGGACGTTGTCACCGTCGTTATCGACCAGCGAGGTTTCCGCTCCATGACTCACAAGGACGTCCCAGACTATTTTATGTCCCTTTTCTGCTGCAGCCATCAAAGGAGTCCTCCCGAACTGCCCACGACTATTTATGTCAATGATCTCCAGTGATATGATGTAAGACACAAGGTCCACGTCCCCACCAATGCAGGCAACATGTAAGATGTTGTTACCAGACTTGTCAGCCTGATACACATCGAATCCTTTGCTAACAAGAAAGTCAAACTCATCTCTATGTCCGTACTCAACTGCAGTCATTAACAAGGACTTTCCATCCTTGCTCAGACTGTCTTTGTCTTCAGGGCCACATATCAACTGCTTTACACGATCTAGGTCCCCTTCTTTACATGCGGTATGGATGTCGGTCTCAGAACCTTCTGTTTCGCCGGGTTTGTCAGGGATGATCCTCTCATCACAGAAGCCATCAACTGCATTACATGAACTTCAGATGTTAAATTAAAAACATACAGACAATGTAAAACGGAAACAGTATCTGCGTGAGTTGGAGTGAATGAGTATGGTTTTACGCCGTTTTTAGCAATATTCCAGCAATATCACGGCGGGGGACACCAGAAATGGGCTTCACATATTGTACCCATATCGGGAATCGATCCCGGGTCTTCAGCGTGACGAGCGAACGCTTTAACCACTAGGCTACCCTGCTTGAATTGGAAGTACGTGTCAGCCTTATGTTCATGGTAGGCGTTTAACATTTTGGAGGGGGGGGGGGGGGGGGGGGGGGGGGGGCGGTCGGGTAGCCTAGTGGTTAAAGCGTTCGCTCGTCACGCCGAAGACCCGGGTTCGATTCCCGACCTGGGCCACAATGTGTGATGTGAAGCCCATTTCTGGTGTCCCCCGCCGTGATATTGCTGGGATATTGCTAAACGCGGCCTAAAACCATACTCAGTCAGTCAGTCAGTAACATTTTAGGGACATTTAAAACGTCAACGCCAGAGACTAACCAGTCTCGATTATCCCCCGAAACAGATTCCATTGGGCGTAAAAGGCAAAATAGCGATGAAAATATGAATGGATCATTGAAAATAAGTGATGACACCAGGTGTTCGCGTAACATGCTTCAGTCTACCACTACATCTGCATTGCTACTATCCTCAGTGATCGATGCTCCTTGTCGTATCGCACAATGGATGTTTAACCTATACTTTCGTCTGGCGGTGATACATAAATGTTGCGCTAAGATGGATTCTTGCTGCCATGCTATATATTTTTTAACAGACATGCAGCAAAAACGAGAGGTTTTTGCCAGATAAATTCCATCACATATTACCAGTCGTAAATTAACCAACCTGGTTTTTGCTTTTCTCGTAATCCAAGTTTACTTTGTAAATCTGTTATCTGCAATAGGAATTACAAATTAAAAATATACTAACATACACATAATGCACGATTAAATATCGACTTAATGGATGCAGACCCGAAGCAATAATAAAAGAAATAGAGTTTGAGAAAGACAGACACTTACATTTCACTCAACAATAAACCCATTTCACACACGTGATTGAAAGCTAAGGAGTATGGACGTAGGTGGCAACGCACAATACACTAATAGTTTACCAGTTTTAAATCCATCAAAGTGGCAATCTGACTGACTCCTCATTACAGACAAATACATATAATAAGACTATTGTATTTGAATGTGTGAATTCATATGAACCCTCACCTTCTTGTGAACAGCATTGCGTTTCTCCCGTTCAACTGCAAGTACAATTTGACCAATAACTGAGCATACTTCTTGTTTGAGAATATTGTTTAACGCCGCACTCCACATTTCCAGCTATATGATGGCTCTCTGTAAACAATAGTTTCAGGACCAGAGAATCCAGTGATTGATATTGTGAACAACGATCCACGCTAGTGGGGTCCGATGACACGTCCTCGAGCTAGTCACTGGGCCTTCTAACCGACCCATTTCGTCACCTCTAACGACCAAAGGGGGCTAAATCTAACCCTGATTCCCCGACATAAGAAAACCTATTTAAGACATAACATTATCTTTTTCGTTTTTTCTCATATTATTTCTGATATAATCGTCACATATATTGCTAAACACATATTCAGTTATTCTGCCTACCAATGAAGATCCGGGTTAGAATTGGTCTTCAACAACCCATGCTTGTCGTAAAAGTCGACTAACGGGATTGGGTGGTCAGGCTCGCTGACTTGGTTGATGCATGTCATCGTATCCCAGATCGATATCAATCACTGGATTGTCTGGTCCAGACACGATTATCTGCAGATAGTCGTCATATAGCTGGAATATTGCTGAGTGCGGCCTTAAACAACAAATAAAAACATTATTCTGCCGCGTTGGAAGGTTGGATTGTCCTTTTTCTGTGGCAGTTCTGGAGTGAGTGAGTGAGTGAGTGAGATGGGTTTAACGCCGCTTTCAACAGTATTCCAGTTATATCACGGCGTGTCAGCTTAATGTGGGAGGAAAGCCCGAAGTGATGCAGGTGTCAGACGTTTACCACTTCGGTGAAATCCACGAGCACGGGTATGGTGCTGACAAACCTAGAAACATAATCGGGGCGAACCGGGATTCGAACCCACAATCATGGCAGTACAGGAAGCATACACAGAATTATGAATATGCTTAGAGTATGTGTAACAACAGCTCCTTGAATCCCAGTCTGTGTGAAAAATGTTCTTTACCGATAACTAAAAACATCGACTATTACTTCACTATAAAGCCAAAATACTTATTTTGCTCGTCAATGAACCCATCAGATTTAGTGTCCATGCAACCGACATAAGCAGCAAGAAGAAGTGGTCAGCAATAAACATGATTATAGAAATAGCAACAAAGATTCCTGTGCGTACGATCAGCATCCTTGTTCAGCTGTTCGAAACGCCCTTTCATCGTCTGGATCTGAAATACAACAAGACACATTCTTAAGAAGTAGTTTGAAGACAATTTAACAAAGTTTAAAACACCATTGTTCACTGTTGTTGTGTTCACTGTTGTTGTGTTTATTGTTGTTGTGTTCACTGTTGTGTTGATTGTTGTGTTCACTGTTCTTGTTTTTACTGTTGGTGTGTTTATTGTTGTGTTCACTGTTGTTGTGTTCCCTATTGTTGTGTTCACTGTTGCTGTGTTTATGTTGTTGTATTTACTGTTGTTGTGTTCACTGTTGTGTTCAGTTATTGTTTTTATTCTGGTTGTGTTTACTGTTGTTGTGTTAACCTTTGTGTTCGCTGTTCTTGTGTTTATTGTTGTGTTTACTGTTGTTGTGTTCACTGTTTTTGTATTCACTATTGTTGTGTTCATTGTTGCTGTGTTTACTGTTGTTGCGTTTACTATAGTTGTGTTCACTGTTGTGTTACTGTGGTCGTGTTCACTGTGATCGTGTTCACTGTTGTTGTTTTTACTGTTCTTGCGTTTACCGTTGTTGTGTTCACTGAATTGTATTTATTGTTGTTGTGTTTACTGTTGTTGTGTTTATTGCTGTTTTGTTGATTGTTGTTTTGTTCACTATTTTGTGTTTACTGTTGTTGTGTTCACTGTTGTTGTGTTCACTGTTCTGTTCACACTATTGTGTTTATTCTGGTTGTGTTTACTGTTGTGGTGTTCACTGTTGTTGTGTTTACTGTTGTTGTGTTCACTTTTGTTGTGTTTACTGTTGTGTTCACTGTTCTGTTCATACTATTGTGTTTATTATGGTTGTGTTTATTGTTGTGGTGTTCACTGTTGTTGTGTTTACTGTTGTGGTGTTTACTGTTGTTGTGTTCACTTTTGTTGTGGTTACTGTTGTTGTGTTCACTGTTCTGTTCATACTATTGTGTTTATTATGGTTGTGTTTATTGTTGTGGTGTTCACTGTTGTTGTGTTTACTGTTGTGGTGTTTACTGTTGTTGTGTTCACCGTTGTTGTGTTTACTGTTGTGGTGTTCACTGTTGTGGTGTTTACTGTTGTTGTGTTCACCGTTGTTGTGTTTACTGTTGTGGTGTTTACTGTTGTGGTGTTCACTGTTGTTGTGTTTACTGTTGTGGTGTTTACTGTTGTTGTGTTCACCGTTGTTTTGTTTATTGTTGTTTTGATTACTGTTGTGATGACTGTTATTGTGTTCACTCTTGTTTGTGTTGTTGGTGTCTGTAGCGTGGAGCCCTCCATTAGCAATACCACACAGACACACTTAAATGAACATGTAGGACAAGGACACTTGTACCTTTTGGTTTGCCTCGGCCTTGTATTCTTCTGTATCTGCAGATAATTAAACGCATGACTGAATTATTGTTATTCACGCTAAAATGTATGTCGCAAGAACAAAAAACACACAGACAGGTCGCGTCTAAACTGTATACTTTCAGTCATGCTCATTCTACAGTAAACAGTTCCTACAGAATGAGAATGTATTTGACGCCCTTGACACAGTACAGAGTTTCTACAGAATGTGAATGCATCTCACGCTCTAACTACAGTACACAGTTCCTACAGAATGTGAAGGCAATCACGACTTTGATCGATGATGATACCAGGAAAATTTCGTTTCAACTGACATGAAATGTGTTCTGTGCAATACAATATTTGTAGAAACCAGCGCGCTAGAAATGATACAATGCAAATTCTCGTTTCGTTGCAATGTTTAATTTTTCTTCTATGACAAACTTTCTTGTACACAACTCCCTGTTAACGTACCTTGAGTTTCCTGTGTCTGCGCTTCCAGTTCATCCTTCAGGTTTTGTATCTGTTACAAACAGATTGTCAGACAGTCAATGCATAGATCAAACGTCAATGAGCTGGGGATTATCTGTCAAATATCACTACATTCTCTTTCTTAGTTTAATACGGTGGCCCATAAGGGACATGGAGTCTGTTTTTCCATATTTTGATATTTCACTTACTTTTATCGTATTACTAACCTTTTTGCAAATTAACACGATTTGTCTTAAATATGTGATAAATCATGTGTAAAGAAGATATTGAATCGCTGAAAAGTGAAACGAAAATGTCAAAAACTAAAATGAAACCACAGAAAACTATTTCCCCCGCGGTGAAAACTATTTCCTGCTCGGTGATAATATTTCCCCCGCGGTGAAAACTATTTCCTGCTCGGTGATAATATTTCCACCGCGGTGGAAATAGTTTTCTGTGGTTTCATTTTAGTTTTTGAAATTTTCGCTTTTGTTTTTGACATTGTCGTTTTGGTTTTTGACATTTCCATTTTAGTTTTTGATATTTTCGCTTCACATTTCAGCGACTCAATAGCTATTTGAAAGTACATTTTCCATGTTTTGGTTGTTTTTATACATGATTTATAAGATATTTGTTTGAAAAATTGTGTTTATTTGCTAAAGGTTACGATAAAAGTAAGTGAAACATCAAAATATTGAAAAACAGACTCCATGTCCCTTATGGGTCACCGTACTTTCTCATTCTCAATGCATTTTCTATTCACAAAAGAAGCAAACATTTTTCAGAATGACAGACGTTGTGTGTCCCAGTGTTCAAGATGTCACAGCGTGTGACTATCAGGGCAGTGACGAGATTTCTGTCACGATTAGTAGGAGTGATTCAAAAGGATAATGTTTGTGATGTATCTATCGTTCGTGCACAGCAGCCGTAATTCTTGATCTACCGCATCAGTAATGGTTATTTGTGGATCTTGTAACCATTATTTAGTCATCGAGCCTGGGTGAAGTCAAATCCATCAACGTGTAAATCGTATGTTTTCCTTATTTGACAAGGACTCGTTGATTTTATAAAGCTGAAAGGACACACGTGCGTAATGCCTGCTCTGTTAAGTCGGAATTTAAGTGTTATGTATCATACAGTAATACCCTTGGTTGTGAGTGAAAAATCCGAGGAAAGTTTGCAGAAGCGATAAAACTATTCCATTATCATAAGCAGTATCTTCAAAAAGGAGTGAGTGAGTGAGTTGGGTTTAACGCCGCTTTTAACAGTAGTCCAGTTATATCACGGCGTGTCAGCTTAATGTGGGCGGAAAGCCCGAAGTGATGCAGGTCTTAGACGTTTACCACTTCGGTGAAACCCACGAGCACGTGTATGGTGCTGACAAACCTAGAAACATAATCGGGACGAACCGGGATTCGAACCCACAATCATAGGTTTCTTGGGAGCCCAAGGGAGGTAACTCTACACAGCGAATCGCGGCGCCTTAGACGACTTGGCCACCCGTGTCCCCTTCCAAAAGGAGGTATCATAATGTCCATTATGGGAATACAGTCTTGATCAGTAGATGTCCACACAATAGTCTGAAACAACTGCAAACCCTTTCAGTAAAATATATTTGACTATGGAATCCCTACTATAATGTTTATATCAAAGTGATACATCAGCTCGTAATTCAAATAGACAGACAACTTGTCCATACGGGTGTTGCCAATATTGTGGAGGATGCTCACTTATCTAAACATTCTCATGCAGTTTGAGATTAAAGCCATGTTAGGTACAACGTTGTTTTTATGCAAGTCGGTGGGAAATTATGTTTGTGTTTAGAAAGACTGTCAATTATGTCAACGATGAAACCATGATAAATATTGCAACAATTCTTATGTATAATTTCTCAACAAAAGAAAGTATTAATTAGGTAACTCTTAAATAAATATATATATAATGGAAATGCATTGTGTAGAATAGGTAGGTCAATTGGCCTTTATACAAATATATCTGCATGTCTGTAATTCAAATAAGCTTACATAGCCTAAGTACGTATTTAGATCAGACTATTGTTCCCTTCATAAATACGATGGTGCATTGCACATCAATGGTTCATTCAATGAAACAAAGACCATTGTTTTTCAATGATCGTCGTAATGTTACCCGATGGAACCCAACGAAAAGGAATGTCCTGATCTCCAACCTTCTCAAGACAGGAACAAACCAATCTCTGATTGCGTTCTTTCTCTGGATCTGACCAACAAGCTCAATGCCATTTTGAAATTATTTAACCGAATAAGGAATGGATACAGCAGACTGCAAGTATTGCGTACCTCTTTCTGCAACTCGTCTACGTCTTCAGTGCGAAGTCCTACAATACAGGAACACAGTTGAGGCAGACATAATTAATTAGACCATCTCCCACCCATCCCAAATTATCGTTTCGCTCAAAACTTAAAAACTATGTTTGATTTCTGACCACCAAGGTATTTTTGTGTAAATATTGTGTCAACACCCTGACCATCTTTGTTACCTGATTTCTATGGAGAGAAAGGTGTTCAAATAGGTGTTTACCGATCCCAATTTTCAGTTTAAATAAAAATATGTTTAAACCAAACTTAAGAAACAACACAAGCATTTATATTCAACCATTATATATCAACCGACCTGGAAGTAAACGATGGATTCCCGTTTAAAAATAAAATCGTCACTGTATTTTATCGCAAGGGCACTTGATGAAGAACACTAACATCCTATTCTGTACGTCTTTGAGCGTGTTTTACAGTCAGTAACACCAGTAACGAAACAGTTGCACTTCGATTAAACATGAAATACAATACAGACTAGACTACAGACTCTTTTACACATGTACTAGTCTTATACTACAGACATCGTATCTGTAGTATTCCGAACAAAATGAATTTTTTTTTAAATATGGAGATGAGTAACATACAGTATTATCTATGGCCGTATGCAACATCATGGTGGCGTAATGTCAAGTACATAGTTATCAAAGACGATGGTTAGGGACTAACATATCCGGAGATCAGATTTGATGTGGTCACTTGATACTGTGGTAAATACTAATTACAAAATGACTCAAATATATCAATCTCTTTTCACAATAATGTTTGCTCATTTTAAACAAAAAAGAGAGTATTCAATGATAATAATTTCTACTTAGATCTGTGAGGAGCCAGAAGCGATTTCAAACCTAATCGCTCTATGTTCCTAGTCAGCGTTAGTTTTTGTTCATTTTGTTGTTCTGTTCTAGATCAAATCACGAGTGATTTGCTGATGTGTGTATGAATGTCATTGTGGGCAAGGAAATAGAAATATCTCCGATGAAAAGTCTGACTAATTGGCTGGAAAAGCACGAAATTACGTAATGAACACTCACTTTCCAGGTCGGCTTTGTGTTCCTTCAATTCATCTTTCAGGACCCGGATCTGTAAACATATGTGTAGCTGCACTTACAAAGGGTAGTTGATGATGATGAAACAATCAGTTCTGAAGCTGATACCATGTGACATCCTTCTCATATAAACTGTTTCTTTAAAACGTGGAGCTGTGGAATTAACTCAGGTATCTTACATGAGTGAGTGAGTTGGGTTTAACGCCGTTTTTAATAGTATTCCAGTTACATCACGGCGTGTCAGCTTAATGTGGGAGGAAAGCCCGAAGTGATGCAGGTCTCAGACGTTTACCACTTCGGTGAAACTCACGAGCACGGGTATGGTGCTGACAAACCTAGAAATAGAATCGGGGCGAACCGGGATTCGAAGCCACAATCACAGGTTTGTGGCGTGCCCAAGGGACGCAACTCTGCACAGCGAATTGCGGCGCATACCGTGATATAACTGGAATACCGTTCAAAGCGGCGTTAAACCCAACTCACTCACTCACTACTTTACTGAGTTTACGACCGGAGTCTGTTTCAGAGCAAAGTCCTCTGGCTTTGACGTTATATATTATATCGCATTGTCAACACTTTTATGAAACGTCATTACACTTCTGACATCATTACACATCACGCTAATACTGACGGTCGCGGAAACACTTGGACGTCGTGTATAACTCGTATAACTCGTATTATCTTCACCATTAGGGGAATAAACGTTTATGCTAGACTTCATAATCACCAGACTGCCTCCGTGGTCTAGTGGTAGAGCGTCCACCCAGAGGGCGGTAGGTCCGGGGTTCGATCCCCGGCCGCGTCATACCAAAAGACGTTAAAAGATGGTACTTGTTGTTACCCTGTCTGGCGCTCGGCATTAAGGGGTTAAAACAAGGACTGGTCGGCTTGGAGTCAGTATACTGTGTCTGAGTGGGGTATTCATGTTAAACTGCGTCCGGACTAGTACAAGCAGCCACACAAACACACACACGTACATGTACGTCGCTATATAAGTGCAATAATCTTGGATGCGACGTTAAACCCCATTTCACCTCACCTCACCACCTCATAATCACCACACAGTGCACCGAAGACCTCAATGTATTGCTACTGAAATGTACTATTACCTTCTCCAGTAAATCCGGCATGTCTTCGTGTGGAGGTTTGTCTGGACAAGAGAAACACATTCGGCAAAAGGAGACAATGGCATGGCATATCGTACTGTTATCCTCCCCAATCGGCAGATATTGGGTACACATGAAGGATTTATCACATTCCCTGATGTGAAAATAGATGCGACACGTGTTTGGAAGCGATAACGGCTTCTGTCAATGCAAGCTCAAAAACATTGACACTTGTTCAGTGTCATGACATATAAACGATGCCTACTACCTACCTATGGGATAACACTTCAATCTTACAACTACACTACCTGTTCATCTGGACGTGTATTTCACGCACATGTGATTTGAAGTTTTGAACATATTTATTTTCACAAAAATGTGAAAAAGGATTTTTTAACTAGCGAAGCGCTTATGTTAATACCGCTCCATTACACATAAGACAATAAATACACCAGCGAAGGTAAGATGTAACAAATGAATTGTACATGCCAAGCTAGATGTGTACATATAATAAATATATTTGCAGTTAATATGAAACAATTCATTTACGTAACTGAAAATCTGTCAGTTTTTAACATGAAGTTTTGAATAGAATCTAATGTTTGGATTTGCCCTTCCTTACTCAAATGCGAATTTCCGCATAGCACTGTTTGTAAACAGTAACCATGTTGGTAAAAATACATTTCATTTCGAAGAACGTAGTAATTTGTACACACAAACAAGAAGTGTAAAGCATATTCGGTATGATATCCACAGGAACATGTTTTAGTATCCAAAATATATCTATCATACTGATGTGCGTTAAGATCGCTGTAGACAAGCCTGAGGAGACTGTGAATAATTTGACATAATCTGTTTCCATAATTTAAATCCCAGTGTATACCATTATCTCCCCTTACGTGAAGTAAATTCTTAAATTGTGTAACGGGTCTCTGTCCCCGTTAGATTTTCTGGTAACCTATTCCAAAGTTGTCTTTTAGCCGGTTTAAATGAATCTGCATAAACTTTTGTTTTACACTTCACTGTTTGAAGTTTAGTTTTATCTCTTAAGTAATAGTTTGTGCTTTCCGAAACTATATTAGAAATAAGCCGACAAAGATATTCCGTGGAGAAATGATTATGCATTTTGTAAAACATTACCAATGTTGAATTGTATCTTCTGTCTTTTCACGCACATGTACTTGGAAACATAAAAAGGTTAGTTTTAAATGTCCAAATCGCAAAGTTTTACTCCCAGAAGATGAAAATCATAAGTATTTATGCTGTTATCGTTAAGGGTCATCTGCAGAGGTGCGGCATCATAGAATTTAAAAAAACGCAACCATATATAGCAGCCATGTTTTGTACGTTCATCTGTATACGAATCATGGTCTCACATAACATAAAACTTAATGACGATAAAACAGAGCTCTTGATGATCGGTCTAAAACGTTTCCTGACCAAGTGGTAACTGACACAGTTTAAGTTTGGCAACTACATTGTTGCTCCAAGCTCGAGTACCTGAAACCTTGGTGTAATCTTTGACTCATCTCTGTTCCAACATCACGTATGCTAACGTATAGCGACTGTTATTTTAAAAGAGCTTTACCCTACCTCGGCCATTGCTATACTTGCTCGTTACAAAGCTAAAAGACGCGTTTCTGATCCTTCACGTCCAGATGTGACGAAATTATGTCACGATCGAAATATGTTGCACTTTAATTACGTTATTGGATCCACGCAGCTGTCATTGAACGACATACGTTATTGAGTTATCAATGACGTTCGTGACACCCCGTTCCATGACAATAGCATCATGTTCTGCTCCTAAAATGGTGTTCTGTGGTCTGGTTCTGGAGTGAGTGAGTGAGTGAGTGAGTGAGAGTAAGTAAGTGAGTGAGTGAGTGAGTGAGTGAGTGAGTGAGTGAGTGAGTGAGTGAGTGAGTGATGAGTGAGTGAGTGATGAGTGAGTGAGTGAGTGAGTGAGTGAGTGTGTATGGTTTTACGCCGCTTTTAGCAATATTCCATGCAACATCACGACGGGGGACACCAGAAAAGGGCTTCACACATTGTACCCATGTATGGAATCGAACCCGGGCCTTCAGCGTGACGAGCGAACGCAACTAGGCTACCCCACCTCCCCGGTCCTGGTGTGCAACAAATCATTGTTTGGTCGGAACTCTATTTGTGTTTTAATGTCTCTACGTATAGTAGTATAAAATTAACGGTTCCAGTATACTTCCCCGCCTTCAGGGCGGGGAAGAATAACATTTTCGGTTGATATTTAACGCCGCGACAGCTGTATATAATCGAGTCGTGACCAGCAAACTTGTGATTGCAATTATGAACAATCCACGCTGTTGTTACGTTGACACACTATCAACCCACTACGCTACCGAGCCTGATCATCAGATCTATTAAGTCTCTCGTACGACATGGTTGCTGGGGATTCTAACCCGAATACCCCGAGGTTACTAGACTAATTTAGTAGTTTTCTGCATACCAGGGTTTTCCGCTCGCTTTTTTTGTTCAACCGTCAAGTCTTCTACCTGTAATCGAAAAAATAACACAGATTCAATAATTATGTTTGACAGTAGGAAATCACTGTTTTTTTTTGGTGTTTATACAAGACAAATGTTATCGATACTCGCCATGGTTGGGAGAAAAAGCGTTTAACGCCACGTTCAATTAATATAGCGTGCGTGTGTGTGTGGATGCCCAACTGAGACACACTATACTCAGATTCCGAGCAGACCAGTCCTCGTTTATTCCCTTTATGCCGAGCAACAGGCAGGGTAACAACAATTATTGAAGGACAGAGTGTATCGAACCACAGACCTTCCGTTCTCAGGGCAGACGCTGTATCCACTCGACCCCGGAGGCCGTCTCATGTTTGGAACCCTTCCTCAATATGTTTTGTTTGTTTGATTGTTTGTTTGTTTATTTGTTTGTTGTTTAACGCCACACTCAGCAATATTCCAGCTATATGACTATATGGTCTGTAAATAATCGAGACTGGATCACACAATCCAGTGATTGACATCAAGAGCATCGATCCACGCAATTGGGATACGATGATATGCATTAAACCAAGTCAGCGAGCCTGACCACCCGATCCCGTTAGTCGCCTCTTACAAGCATATTCCTCAATATGAAAAACTCTAAAACAACCAATGTTATATTGCTATATGATGTCATATAAATCCACTCTTGTTGTCGTTCATTAATGGTACACTGATGATATTCCTTTCGGCTCTGGTTCATACCGCATTTCCAAATGACCCTCTTATTATATTTATATTGTAACATTCTATTGGATGCGAAAATCGCTAATATGTATTTCATACCTCTAACTCTAATCCTCGATATTTCACGATATCATCTGGAATTGAAACAATATACATGATGAAAGTTATTAGAAATTTCAAAATGATCACAGTCATGATTATATATTTCAATCAAAACACAAACTTTATGTACCTGTATTTAAATGGGTGTATTATATTGGCGTGTGATAAGAATCTCACATATTTCTATATGTATACCATACAAAGTGTTTGTTGTTTAACGCCGCACTCAGCAATATGACGGCGGTCTGTAAATATTCAAATCTGTACCAGACAATCCAGTGTTTGACATCATACGCATCGATCAACGCAATTGGGATACGATGACTTGCATCAACCAAGTCAGCGAGTCTGACCACCCGATCCCGTTAGTCGCCTCTTTAGACAATAATGGGTTGTTGAAGACCAATCTTCACGGGTCATACCCCAACGGCCAACGTCACTTTAATCCCCACAATAAGCTGACCCTCCACGATGTGACTGGAATACTGTTCAACCGGTCTCTCATTGCGTCTTCAGTCTATACTCAGTAACTGTATAAATACCTGTTATGGCGTTGCTGGTTCTCACGAAGTCATGTTCCAAATGCTTCAGCTGAGATGAAGAAATGAAGGAAATTAATTAATTATTGTGATAATTACTATGGTCTGCAAAGCGTAATATGCAAAACATGTTTACATCTTTAACACGAGTTCTAAGGGACTCACCATTTAATATTTTCTGGAGAAAGACAGAAGCCTTTTCAGTTCTTCAAGACACACATTTTCGTCAGAATGAGGTGTCAAACTATCGGTTTCGGTGGATAATCAAGACTGGTTAATCTCTTGTGTTGATGTTTAAAACTATATTTTCAAAACATTATTTTTCAGAAAATCCAACATGTCCAGCGAGCATTTGTTTGTGTGTGCAAAACCCGAATCAAGCTTATTTTTTCTGGCGTTTTGAGAACAAATTGTAAGTTGTCCATCCCACCCTTCCCTCAAATATAGAAAGGTCAGCCCCTAAACGCCTTGTTCATGTACTGCTTTTAGCGAACACCTGCATCATCGTGATTTGATAGTGATTCATAAACACGTGCTTTATATGATATAGACAGAGCCGTACAATGGACTCTGGAAAGACGGAAATAGTATGGTCGTTTTTTTGTACCTTCATTTCCACAGTTTGTTCATCTTCGGCGCCATCTGAAATGTACATGTATATTATTAGTTATGGTGTCTTAAGTTACCGTATGCGGTGTCATATTAGGTAAGCAGAAAAATATTATGCCGAAAAATTTACTCTCTGGTATCCATATTGCACGTGTCATGTCAGAATGAAAACTTGACACTTACAACCGTACGTTGACGTTCAGGGTCAAAGGGAGACTACTCTTCAAACATTAGAGGCCAAACCTTGTTGAAAATATAAACTATAATCTTTATCAATAAAGTCACGAACGGGATCCAAAAAAACAGATAATTAATGTCCTTGCACATCACAGTTAATGATAGTAAAACACAAAACAGTGTCAAATAACGAATTTCGGTACCAGAATTTCCAGGTGAAATATGTGAGGTGGGTGTTGGAAAATCCAAGATGGCTGTTACTGACGGTATGCGGTCTCATATTAGGTCAGTATCAACTATCTTGGATTTGTTATGACGGTATACGGGCTCATGTGGGGTCAGTAGTTCTGCTCTCTGGTTGGTCAATCTCACTTTGAGACATAATAAAATATGTTAGGTTTGCATGAATTCCACACACACCAGCTAAGACGTTATTGGAAATGCAGGTTGAAAACTCGTTAACTTGTATTAAAAACTTTACAACAAAGAAACTTTACCAATGACTTTAAGCAACAAAAAAACCCATTGGCAAACGTTTTTATAAGAATTGTGAGGCGGGTGCTATCGATAGTGCAGGACATGCTTACCTGTTCACGAATAGCTGGTGTCATCAATGATTTTCAGTGATCCATTCATATACAGTAAACTACGGTTATAACGAACACGCTTATAACGAACTGACGGATATAACGAACTAACTTTTTAGTCCCGACTATTTGCTGTAGTTATGCTGTATATATGCTTATAACGAATTACGGTTATAACGAACTAAAATTAGTATCCCTTTGAGTTCGTTATAACCGTAGTTTACTGTAATGTTCATGACTATTTTATCCTTTACGCCATGTGAAATCTGTTTCGGCAGAAAATCGAAACTGATTATACATTGACGTTGACGTTTCTTTACACGTTTTCCTTATTAACCTTCTAAAAAATACTTACCTGTTAATTTGCGTTCACGTTTTGCTACACCATCCCTTGGCATTTTGACCTGCACAAACAGAAAAAAGAAGTTTATTTCATAATAAAAGGAAATTTTGCGGATGACAGTGTAACTTTAAAACACCCAGCAGGTCACGGTGGGTATTGGCAAGTGAGTACAACTTCGGTATAATTCACGATGCAATGCAACAAGGCACATTTTAGGGAGCCAGACTGACTCTCCACCGGGTCCAGCATTATCTAAGCCAGATTACGCCCATTTTCCGGAGGCAAGGGAGTTAACTGACTATAAAAGTCCAGTTTCCACCCTTGCCGAACTAGGCTGGAATTCCTGGGCTCGACCGTAGCGCTACCAGTGGTTATTACGAGTTATGTCCCTTCAAAGCCTTTCCTATTGACCAATCAGATTCCACCTCTCGTCTCACTTGCATTATTTCAAACAAAATGGTGCCGCCCAGTCAAAACGATCTGATCGATAATCAAGATCTATATTGTGATAAAACGGGTCTTACATAGCGAAGTTCATCAAATCACGTGAGCACCTTGATTAAAAACATGAAAAGACTTGGAAAATATCTGTTGGCAACGAGTTAAAATCTGCACGACATTTTACAAACTGGATTTCGATTTCGGTGCGCGATTTTGATTGGGCTATACATAGACTCGTTAGCCCAGCCAAAATGTAACTCCATAATACCAGCCTAGTTCGGCAAGGGTGGAAACTGGACTTTTATAGTCAGTTAACTCACTTGCCTCGGGAAGATGGATTACGCCGGGGAAAACAAAAATAGACTTCACACCTTGCACTTTTGTTAGGAATCGAACCCACTTCTTAGTCGAGCAAACGGTCACTCAACTGACCCAGTGATTTACGTCACAATGAATCAGGTAGCCAGGTTCGATGACGTGGTTGATGACGATCTATCATAAACCGAAGACGTGAGGAGATGTTCATGATATCAACCATTGGTTTGTCTGGTCGAGACCTGATTTGTTTACTAGTAGCAACGGTATAGCTGAAATATTGCTGAGTGCGGCGTAAAACAAAAAACATGAAGACAAAAACGTCAAGATCCGAGGGGACAACTGCCGTCAGCACCAAAGGACTTTTATCATTACCTACCTCTGATGTCTTCTCCCCTTCAGCTGTAAAAGTAAAAGTGCAGGTGTATCAATCCAGCTGGTTTTGTTTGTTTGTTTATTTATTTGTTTCTTAACGCCTCACTCAGCAATATTCCAGCTATATGATGGCGGTCTGTATATAATCGAGTCTGGACCAGTGATTGACATCGTACGCATCGATCCGCGCAATTGGGATACGATGACTTGCATCAACCAAGTCAGCGAGTCTGACCACCGTTAGTCGCCTCTTTCGACAAGAATTGGTTGCTGAAGACCTATTCTAACCCGGATCTTCACGGGTACAGACGAGAAGACGAGAAGGTGATGACGCGATGAAAGGAGGACGCGAGGATGGGATGTTGTGTCCTATTCTACCCCGGTGTCCAATCCAGCTAGTACTTAAGTGACAGCTGTATTGTGCAACAAGATTCAGCAAAATCTATGAAGTAATTGTGTGCAGATAGATTGATGTGTATACGTTAGCGCCCCTTCTGCTGGAATTCTTGATTACTATTGTCTCATAGCTCCCGAAGCCATAGTTCGGAACTCGTCTATGCCCATTCCATCAAAATCCTTACAATGGTATGGTGGCTTATTTCTGCCATTTCACATCTTCACGTTCATTTGCGAAGGCGGAGACGAGAAGGTTTTAGTTTGTTGGTTTGTTGTTTAACGCCGCACTCAGCAATATTCCAGCTATATGACGGTGGTCGGTAAGTAATCGAGTCTGGACCAGACGATCCAGTGATTAATATCATGAGCATCGATCCTCGTAGTTGGGATACGATGACATGCATCAACCAAGTCAGCAGCCTGACCACCCTATCCCGTTAGTCGCCTCTTACGACAGGCATAGTCGCCTTTTACGGCAAGCATGGGTTGCTGAAGACCTATTCTACCCCGGATGTTCACGGGTTAAGACGAGAAGACGAGAAGGTGCGATGTGATGACGCGATGACAGGAGGACGCGAGGATGGGATGTTGTGTCACATTGCGCCTTCGTGCCATGGCATATTCCCCACTTCGCAAAGCGTCTTAGCTTCACTCACATCATAGAGTCTTTGCCTTCGCAGGGGAACGGGAAAATGCGAAATGGCAGATACCACACGATAACCTACCTCCCTGACCAGAATCAGGATCAACACAAGCTGGAGAGTCGTGGCTGACATCAGGATGAGACCTGTCCTCAGACATGGCGGTGTTGTCGCTTCTGGGGATGGATGGAGTTTCAGGAAACCTTGTGCTCACACTGAAATGACAGAAATCTTAGCATAGGGGTACAAATTGACATCGGGCATTGCAGCAAGATCACACCATGAGTCAAGGACGGTCCTACAAACGGAACCCATGATTAAAAACATTTGTGGCGGAATTCTATTGCTTAAACGCTTCAAATTTGTCAGGAGTGGAGAGTTGTTTGTTATTTATCTTGAACCAACATTTCAATTAATTTCACTTGAAGTACTTGTAATATATTACAAGTGAACATTTTCAAACTTGTCGGAAAACATGTGCCGCCAGCGGGTTTCGAACCCGCCTTGTTTGATTCCAGGACGTCTTATTGTCGATGTAAGTTACGGTGACACATGGCGGTATGTTGCGAAAATAACTATATAATATTTTCAAAAATTTGCGTAATCCTTAAAGGTTAAAAATGATATGTATATAATGTTGTGTTAAAACAGGCCTAGGTGACCTGTAACAATGTTCATTTTTATAGTACTTTTTGACGAGCCTTTGACGAGAAAAACAAACTCAGGTAAACATACATATCCTTATTCAGGACTCTATATTTCCTACAATTCCCGTCAGCATGTATTTACAAGATGCAAGCGATTGATAAAATAGAACCCCACGAAACCATGAAGATGTGTACCATGCATGGTAAATATCAGCTCCCGACGGAGTTTGGTGCACGTGCAACAGTTGAAGAGAACACATTCCTCATGCTTCGCGCAAGGGCGACTCACACAATATAAATACAGTGTACAAAGAGTTCTGGTTTTTTTTACAAATATTTTCCACTAGAGAATATTTTGTCACAGTGTAAAACAAGGTATGGGTATGTAGTCGGGGAATATCCTCCTATCGCCCCACGGGGCCTCATCTCCCTTATTTCAAAGGAATGGGGACTTACTTGGACATTCCCCACTTCAGAGAATCCAGAAATCCTATAAGGACAACTCATGTAAATATATACCTATATTTAACCAGTCGTTGTGAGATAAGACCAAGTTGTAGAATGGACCGACTCAAAATAAATTTAATATATATACTATTGCTATGGAATCATTTAGTTCTTTTTTCCTTACGACAGAAAACAAATCTACCATAGCTGTCTCGAGTGTGCAAGTTTAAGGATGTTATACCTGTTCATGTACAACACAATCCCGTATAAACCCACAGTGACTGTTACCGTGCTTACAGGGGTAATGATGACATCTCTCAATACAATGGTGAGTGTGTCCTATCCCTTCGTTGGAACCCGTCACAAATACATACAAAGGCAAGTGTGCACATGAAAACCACGGGAACATATGCTACAAGTCCAAATAAGGAATTGTATCAAACATCATTTTGGTAATTGATCCGCCATTGTAGTGTGGGAGTGTGATAATATTTTACATCACATCGGCAATATTGCAAGTTAGTTATTGTTAAATAGCTGTTGACAAGGGGCAGTAAAACAGTAAAACAAACCAGATCAAAATTACGGTGCGTCTGCTTCCTGGATGATTTCTCAGCAGGATTTATGCCATCACTTTGGACACCAGTGGTTATATGGAATGCTAGCCAGTATTAAAAAAACAAACTATAATCAAGGAATTAAAACACTAGTCCATGTTATATACTTCAATTAAGATTGAATCACGTGCCACTGTCAGGGTAACAAAATATTTACACTACTCTAACCCACCGAGTGGAACCTCCTTCAGTAATCTCAGTTGGTGATAACATCACACTAATTTAAAACACAATTCAAGCATTCACATTTATCAAACAATTCTATTTCTTTGAGAATTTCAAGAATTAAACGAGCATTGATATTATTAAAAATATTCTTTAAAGACGTTGAATGATAGTTACAATTCTTTGTGAGAGAAAATTCAACACAGTCAAGCAAAACATGCTTGACCGCGATTCTCTCATCACAAGGGGCACAAAACGGGGGATCTACACCTTTTAACAAATATTTATGGATGTAACGACTGGGTCAAAGCGACATCGTCGCAAAACAACTTCGTCATGTCTGGACTGGCAACCCAAGTATATATAGGTACAACCTAATATGGGTTTAAGGTCATGAAGTTTATTTAGATCTACATGGGTGTCCCACCTTTTCTGCGTCAATGCAAACTACGAACATATTCCTTGCTGCATAGTTTAAAATCTCTTTAGGGAACTGAAAGATAAGACACTGATTTATCAAGAGCTGCTTTAGATGCAGCATCAGATCGTGTGGTACCAGCAATACCGACATGACAAGGTAACCCAAAAAGGACGATGTGTTTACATGCAGTTTGTTTCTGAATAAATGCAAGGCTACTTGAATAGCTTTGGACTCAGCAGTAAATATTGAGCTGTTGTCTGGTAATTTGGAAGAAATAGTTTGATCCAACGTTGGTTGCTCTGGCAACTTGCCACCATCCTTGAATCCATCAGTGAAGATGGAGCGGTGAGAATTGTATTTAGATCTTAATTGGACATATTCTTCCTGAAAGATTAAATGGTTTGTAACGGATTTTTTAAGCTTAGTAAGTTTGATATATCTACTTCTGGTTTGACTAATGACCAATGATGCGTAGACATTAATCGGTTTGGTGCAATATTTCAAGATCAATATTTGCTGCTGTTGTATGTGGTTTTATTCTGATCCCCAGAGGTGAAACCGGCTTTGGTTTTGTTTGGAACAATTCCTCGTAGGGAGGATTAAAAATGCAATAATGTGCTGTAATTGACGGGTGTGATTTTAATTTTGTGATTTTGTAATGCAAGTTTTAAACGACATTGTTTCAAAGACGGCTCATCGGCCTCAACATACAGACTATCAGCAGGAGAGGTTCTGAAAGCTCCAAGACAGAACCTCAAGCCCTCATGATGTACTGTAAATCTTGAAATAAACGTGAACCTGAATTAAATGCGAAAAATGCGAGTGGTCTTTGTTCGCATTAATGAAACTTCGCATTAATACATAACACTACGGCCATGAGTGACGTCATCCGACGTACTGCTTACTAGATCCACGCATATATAATGTGACCAAACACAAACAGGTTTCCGCCACATCTGTAGATTAATGCAAACAAGACTAAAACAAGGAACACTCTGGATGCCGAGTTAAAAGTTTTTACCTCAAAGAAATTACCAAATATGTACAACAATGTATACTTACGTATGACATCACTACCGTTGACCGACTTTTACAAAATGGCGTGTTCACTGACAACAGTACGCGGGATTTCCATTGGAGGATGTTCGTTGATTGAGGGATCGTATATACATAAATGTGCCATGTAAGTAATCAGAAACATTCTGACAATCTGCGTACTGTTGTGTGTTTTATGTTTTCCAATGTAACCAAGAGATATTAGTCAGAAATGCAGATAACTACCGCCGTCGGTGTGCGTGATTTGGCGTCAGTCATGGCTTCACACAGGACGATTTTACGATTTCTGTTGAATTTGCCACATCATTGTAATGTATATATGTGTAATTCCATAAAAATACGTGCAACGATACTCTTCCCATGAATATTCTCAAACGCGCGATCGAGGCAATGTATGCAACAATAAGACGAAAGTACCTCTAAAAATGCTACACAGTGTTAAATCTGAATTTTGCTTTGTTTACATTTCAGCAAGTACAGTTTTCCGAGGACAGTGTTCGTTTCCACACCTAATTTATTTCATCTAGATAATTTGCATTGGTGACAAAAACCATTTGTCATTTGATTCTAAAATGTATGAGGAATTCAGGGCATGTATCGCAGCTGAGTTTGAAATATACGTGATCTAATAGGCGTCTCATAATCGGCATTTTGTAAACACAATCCAATATGGCGGAACGCACACTTCGGCGTTCGTGTATGCGTATTTTCGAAAACATTCTAAACGATTCTAGGTTCATCGGCGACGTTTCAGAATTATCATTGGTGTTTTGGTGTAAAACAGATTACCGTGATCACTATTGTGCTATTTTTGAAATTCAATACTTCGAGTAAATATCCGAGATTTAGATTTCTAAGCACACAGTAATTTTGTTTTGCCTAAAAGACAGTGGAGGATATCACAGAAGAGGGAATATCCCACAGAATTCAGAACTTTTAGTGTGCGTGATGTAGTTTGAATTTTAGTCGACTTCGAATTAAGTGAGGGTTAAAGAGGAGAGAAATAGAGGTTATCACGCGAGTGTGTTGGTATATATCCTTCATTAGGAGTAAACATTGTATTTAGCGAGCCTTGGCGAGCTAATTACATAGTGTTTATTCCTAATACAGGATATTTACCATCCCCAAACACACTAGCGTGATAACCTCTTTATCATATAATGTCATTCTTTAATTCTGTGCTTCAAAATCGCTTTCCCTCTCTAACAAACATTACCGAAACATTGCGAGTTTTCCTGGAATGCGCGCATTATTATTTATTACGTCACAGGGTAAGTGATGTGTCAGTCGGACAGGGACGGTAGCCAATATAGTTCCAACTGAAATCTGTTTCGTATACAGTGGCGAAGCAACATATACGTAAAACAACAATTGTTTTTGCCTTTCGCGGCAATCCATAGGTCTGTCCGTTAAAGTAACTGCCCTTTGTCAAAGGGAAGCTACTCTAACCCTAGTCTATGAGATGTCACGGCCACGGTCAGACGTTGTTGACAGTCGGTTGGTCCTGTCATAACGTTAAGATGTGTAGTCAGATGTACACACAGCGACAAAACCAAACAAGGTAACAATTCAAACATATTTCGGCCAAACCCAACTATTTTAATTTGTGGAGAAGGTTTCAAGCCGCAGAGGTCTACAAGCACAGATCTGGCTACTGATCCCGCTTGGCTAGGCCTCGTGCCCTCGCAAAAAAATTTCGAAATTTATATCTCCAAAGTTGCCGAAACTTATGAAATGCCTTAGCTACGTCACAGTTAGACACTGATTTTCAGTATATTAGACTGTTCTTTTGATAATGATAGCAATTATCCCTGTAGTTTATCCAGATTCCCGATGGTTAATTCTGACTCGATCGCCGAATGACGGGGGCGACGCCATGTTTGTTTATAAACAGTGAAAGTAGTCCTACTTGACCTTTGATATTTGCATCTCTATCCGCATATGACCCCAACGGATATCGTTTTTATCCGTTGGCTTTATCCTGCCGAGAAACCTACCCACTGTAGGATAAATATATTTATTACTTGCCCGTGAAGATATCACTCGTTTAATAAACATACAGGTATATTACACATTGTGTAATACCAAAACGCGTGCTTATGTACTCTCGGAACACGTTTCACGAACAAATATTGAAAGCTCTCGACATCCCTTGGCTTATTTAAAAACATTGCGGGTGGAGATGATACATCACTGAGAGGAGCTTATGCACACTCGTTGACGTCACATGGCATTGTTTCGCCGATGGATCTTGCAACAAAATTCTACAAATTACGTCATCGGGTACAGTGACGTGATTGTAAACTTTGAGGTGCAAGGCCCCGTTCCACAAGGCGATCGTACTGTATAGCGCAACGACAGCGCAACGACAGTCGTTGGTCTAAGTTAAAGTATGTGAGTTGCGATAACCTTAGCGCTACGATAGTTTTTTGGAACGGACGCCTGAATTCTGAAAGAAGACCGTTGTATGGTATTGAATTCATACGTTTCAACTTTTGAGGTGTTTGAAGTATTATTATGTTGAACTCAATTGGATTATGCCGTGGGTCGTGTAGGTGTCAGCCTATTCACACTCAACAGCATAATTCTAAAAAACGTTATAAATGGCAAGTAATAAAATACTAAACTCGCTCCCGTGTAAAACAAATTTTATGAAACCACAACTATACCACAACTATTCACTCGTATCATAAAATTGGTATTACACGGGAGCTCGTTAAGTATTCTATATATATCGTCGGATCATATGTTTTTGGGTGCAGGGTCCGCTGGGTCCAGGGCTAAATCGAAAGAGAAAAGCGTTTCAAAATATTTTATCTACATTTTATATGAATGCGTGAGAATTTCCCAACCTTGCGTGTGAGCGTGACATAGGTGATAAACGCGTTAGACTCACGCGAGATGCGTGAGAGTTGACAGGTATGTATTCGACAAAAAATTCAGTATGAACGAAGTTTCCGGGTGAGCATGAAACATATCAGTGTGTATAATCAGGCGATCAGGAAAATATAAATTCAGTGTGTACAGGTAGGCGGTCAGGAAAATATCCAGTGTGTTGATATAACCTGAGTGAACGGTCTAGTTTTCGAGCTGAATTCTAAACATAATTGTGTTATTTCCTTTCCGGGGTAACAAAACCGCTGCATTTAGCAGCGATGTTCTTTTAGAAGATAGATATCTAAATATACGTTTGTTACTTTTGCCGAATGTTGTTGTCATTCAACGGCTGCAAATTCATTTGAAATCGACGCCGATAGGTCAGTCATAGAATATCATTCATAGTATTCCTTTAGGTATTCTTACTATTCATAGTATTCATGTAGGCCATTCATTTAGTGTTCCTGTTGGGTATTCATAGTATTCCTGTTGGGTATTCATAGTATTCCTGTTGGGTATTCATAGTATTCCTGTTGAGTATTCACGGTATTCTTTTGGGTTATTTATAGTGATACTATTCCTTTAAGTTATTCATAGTATTTCTGTAGCGTATTCATATTTGCACTCTGTTTATCTGTTTAAGTAGTTATTGTCAAAGCTTGGATGAATAGGTCATGTACGTGTCAGCCTACACCATGAGCACGCATCACATGTCCCAGAAGCTGGTCACCAGAACACCACAACACCACAACATCAGAGTGAGTGAGTGAGTTTGGTTTTACGCCGCTTTTAGCAATATTCCAGCAATATCACGGCGGGGGACACCAGAAATGGGCTTCACACAATGTACCCATGTCGGGAATCGAACCCGGGTCTCCGGCGTGACGAGCGATCGCTTTAACCACTGGGCTACCCGACCGCCCCTCACAACATCAGATCATAAGGAGTTGGACAATAGAACATATCTACAAATATTTTATAATCAGGCAAGTCGTCAAAATACATTACATACTACACAGTTACCAACTTTCTATGATCAGGACCACTGTTTTCATATTTCATGTGCTATGCAATGTGGACACGGTGGATAAATTAACGATCATGCAGTTTTAACAACCAAAAGATATATATACTAGTATATAATAAAATAATAAAGTCCATCATCTTCTTTATATCTGTCTGAAACTGATATAAAGAAGATGTTGGAGTAACGAAATAAATATTTACCTTCAATAAAACTTTCTGGCCTCGAGAGTTACAAGTCACTGGCAAAGACACATGTGTGACTATCACGTACATGTAACAGGTCCGGGTTCACCGGATCGTGGGTATCAATGGCCATGCACATGTGTATGTATCAGTGACACTATAGTGTGACGTTGAATTTACCGATAACAGTTAAACTGACAGGCGCTACAACATAGGCGTGTACTGGGTGGCACATTTAATAGGCTGAATATATATTGATCGCATTGTCCCTGTCATGATACAAATATCGCTCTCCTGAGGAAATGCTAAAGAGTGCGCCTTGTGTTCCAGGTCTTTCAGCAGGAAAACGCTCGTACCTACACAGCACGGGTCTCTACGGAATTCCTCCGAGTGAATAACAATCCTGCTGAAACTTATCATTTTTCTGAATGGGGGGGATACCCTTATTTCAGGGGAGTTTTCATTAAACACGGATGGGTGTTATCAAACAACCAACGCCTATTTGTTATCAAATGTTTTCTCTGTTGTCATTTCTTAATATTATCTACATATCATTTATGGTCTAAACGTTATCCGCATTTTATGTACAACTTTCGTTTCTTTTGCGGTTGAGTATATAAATCTCCATGACAATAATGCTCCGTCTTCATAACAGAGTCCATTGTAAATTCTCCACCATATATAACCAACATTAGACTTTGGTCTCTATTGTGTAACGGCTGTTCGCACACGTTGTCAAGTTTCCAACATAACTGTCATCACATCTATTAATAAACACTATTGCGTGATCGGGGGGGGGGTCAGGCTCGCTGATTTCGTGGAACTTTGTCATCGATCCCAATGGCGTAGATCGGTGCTCATGATATCAAGCACTGGATTGTCTGGTCCAGACTCGATTATTTACAGACCGCCATCATATAGCTGGAATATTGTGCGGCGTTAAACAAGAAACGAAATAAATACTATTGATGACGGCGTTTTTATTGAACGTGAAGAGTGAGTGAGTTGGGTTTAACATCGTTTTTAACACTATTCCAGTTATATCACGGCGTGTCATCTTAATGTGGGAGGAAAGCCCGAAGTGATGCAGGTCTAAGACGTTTACCACTTCGGTGAAACCCACGAGCACGGGTATGGTGATGACAAACCTGGAAATATAATCGGGGCGAACCGGGATTCGAACCCACAATCATAGGTTTCTGGCGTGCCCAAGAGACGCAACTCTGCACAGCGAATCGCGGCGCCTTAGACGACTGGGCCACCCGTGCCCATGAACGTGAAGAATGATTAGGATTACAACATATATGTTTATTCATTCTGTTTCCAGTATATCATCTTGATAATCGTGGTGATTCCGGGTAAACAATGTAGGTCCCCAGCCACCCCTGCTTGTCGGCGGAGGGGATACACAGATCGGAGGGTCCTACTCGGTGACATTGTTGACGGCATGGCACGTTATTTGTCTGGGCCGGACGCTTTAATTTACAAAATATCCATGTAGGCCCCTTTGATATTATATTGCTGACTGTAACGTTATCTTACAAACAAACAAGCAAACCTATACTTTAACCGACTCCAATATCACAAACCACATGTCATAATGCCTTCAAATATTTGTCAATGGGAGCAAAGTATTATCTCTGTATTGTGAACAACGTCACAATCTCCGCATTATGCTCAAGGTCACAGCGACCCCGTGAGACAAGATTACCACGCCAGACTCAAGTCAAGTCACTGTGCCTGTGTGGGCGGGACATAGAAAGCGACTTGCATTCAATCCATTTTGCTTTAGTAACAGTGAAATTAATTGATAAGTTACTTGTGCTTCAAACTTTTCTGGTTCTAGAGTGATCTTTGATCTTACCGAGTTTGCATTGTGGTAATCGCCTTTATAATCAACGGTTATTGCGGAAACTTTTTTTGTGTGGAAGGTCACATTAGGTGTGAATAGAAAGGGTTAGCTGGATGACGTCACGCATGACCACTGTGTTATGTATTAATGCCCAACTGCACTAATAGACAAAACGTATATCGATTAGATGTTAACATCGTGCAATTTTAGTGTGTGTGAGAAACAGATAACTGTTCTCGTGCCTGTCATTTATCTGACAACCTGTTATTTCCAAACGTATCTAACTGTGGTGTAATCTCTTTAGGTTCGGTCCCTGTAATATATGCTTATGAGAGCCGACTCAGACATGATTGGGCAGTACGGTTGCCTGACTGATTGCGCACCATCGTGGCCCGATGGGATGAATAGATGCTCATACTTTCATTCACTGGTTTGTCTTGCCCAGCATGGACTATGTACAGGTTCTCGTGGTGTAGATGGAACACAGCTGACTGCGGCGTAAAATGATATACAATCAGTTCCCAGATCCACTGAAGATTGTTGACAAAGTTCTGACATTGTAGTGAGTGAGTGAGTTGGGTTCAACGCCGCTTTTACAATAAGTTCCCAGATCCACTGAAGATTGTTGATAAAGTTCTGACATTGTAGTGAGTGAGTGAGTCGGGTTTAACGCCGCTTTTAACAGTATTCCAGTTATATCGCGGCGTGTCAGCTTAATGTGGGAGGAAAGCCCGAAGTGATGCAGGTCTAAGACGTTTACCACTTCCGTGAAACCCACGAGCACGGGTATGGTGCTGACAAACCTAGAAACATAATCGGGGCGAACCGGGATTCGAACCCACAATCACAGGTTTCTGGCGTGCCCAAGGGACGTAACTCTGCACAGCGAATCGCGGCGCCTTAGACGACTGGACCACCCGTGCCCCCCTCTGACATTGTAAATATTACTGATTGTTCAAAATAAATCAAACGATTGCATGGCATTGAATTATCTCCGTAATTCCGTTGTATTCATAGATTGTTATCAATATACAACAATTATTACATTAAACAATACGGGGAATTAATCAAGTATCTAATAACAGGGATTTAAATCACGCTCCTCTTGCTATCAGCGCGCTGTTGTCATGAGGAAAATGCCTACATAAAACCCATTACCGGGCAGAACGTGCTGACTGATAACGCAATGAATAGTCAAACCTCCATGTGGAGGAGGTGGTGTGTATAGACGTATAGAGGGGGCGCCATGCACCTGGATGTGTCCAAGTGGTCCACCCATATGGAGGAGATGGTGTGTATAGACGTAGGGTTGGGCGCCTGGCACCTGACACCTGGATGCATCCAAGAGGTCCGCCCATATGGAGGATGTTGGTGTGTATAGACGTAGAGTTGGGCGCCTGGCACCTGACACCTGGATGCATCCAAGAGGTCCGCCCATATGGAGGATGTTGGTGTGTATAGACGTAGGGTTGGGCGCCTGGCACCTGACACCTGGATGCATCCAAGAGGTCCGCCCATATGGAGGAGATGGTGTGTATAGACGTAGAGTGGGGCGCCTGGCACCTGACACCTGGATGCATCCAAGAGGTCCACCCATATGGAGGATGTTGGTGCGTATAGACGTAGAGTGGGGCGCCTGGCACCTGGATGCATCCAAGAGGTCCGCCCATATGGAGGATGTTGGTGTGTATAGACGTAGAGTGGGGCGCCTGGCACCTGACACCTGGATGCATCCAAGAGGTCCACCCATATGGAGGATGTTGGTGTGTATAGACGTAGGGTTGGGCGCCTGGCACCTGACACCTGGATGCATCCAAGAGGTCCACCCATATGGAGGATGTTGGTGTGTATAGACGTAGAGTGGGGCGCCTGGCACCTGGATGCATCCAAGAGGTCCGCCCATATGGAGGATGCTGATGTGTATAGACGTAGAGTGGGGCGCCTGACACCTGGATGCATCCAAGAGGTCCACCCATATGGAGGATGTTGGTGTGTATAGACGTAGAGTGGGGCGCCTGGCACCTGACACCTGGATGCATCCAAGAGGTCCACCCATATGGAGGATGTTGGTGTGTATAGACGTAGAGTGGGGCGCCTGGCACGTGGATGCATCCAAGAGGTCCACCCATATGGAGGATGTTGGTGTGTATAGACGTAGAGTGGGGCGCCTGGCACGTGGATGCATCCAAGAGGTCCGCCCATATGGAGGATGTTGGTGTGTATAGACGTAGAGTGGGGCGCCTGGCACGTGGATGCATCCAAGAGGTCCACCCATATGGAGGATGTTGGTGTGTATAGACGTAGAGTGGGGCGCCTGGCACCTGGATGCATCCAAGAGGTCCACCCATATGGAGGATGTTGGTGTGTATAGACGTAGAGTGGGGCGCCTGGCACCTGACACCTGGATGCATCCAAGAGGTCCGCCCATATGGAGGATGTTGGTGTGTATAGACGTAGAGTGGGGCGCCTGGCGCCTGACACCTGGATGCATCCAAGAGGTCACCCATATGGAGGATGTTGGTGTGTATAGACGTAGAGTGGGGCGCCTGGCACCTGACACCTGGATGCATCCAAGAGGTCCACCCATATGGAGGATGTTGGTGTGTATAGACGTAGAGTGGGGCGCCTGGCACCTGACACCTGGATGCATCCAAGAGGTCCGCCCATATGGAGGATGTTGGTGTGTATAGACGTAGAGTGGGGCGCCTGGCACGTGGATGCATCCAAGAGGTCCACCCATATGGAGGATGTTGGTGTGTATAGACGTAGAGTGGGGCGCCTGGCGCCTGACACCTGGATGCATCCAAGAGGTCACCCATATGGAGGATGTTGGTGTGTATAGACGTAGAGTGGGGCGCCTGGCACGTGGATGCATCCAAGAGGTCCACCCATATGGAGGATGTTGGTGTGTATAGACGTAGAGTGGGGCGCCTGGCGCCTGACACCTGGATGCATCCAAGAGGTCCGCCCATATGGAGGATGTTGGTGTGTATAGACGTAGAGTGGGGCGCCTGGCACGTGGATGCATCCAAGAGGTCCGCCCATATGGAGGATGTTGGTGTGTATAGACGTAGAGTGGGGCGCCTGGCACCTGGATGCATCCAAGAGGTCCGCCCATATGGAGGATGTTGGTGTGTATAGACGTAGAGTGGGGCGCCTGGCACCTGACACCTGGATGCATCCAAGAGGTCCACCCATATGGAGGATGTTGGTGTGTATAGACGTAGAGTGGGGCGCCTGGCACGTGGATGCATCCAAGAGGTCCGCCCATATGGAGGATGTTGGTGTGTATAGACGTAGAGTGGGGCGCCTGGCACCTGGCACCTGGATGCATCCAAGAGGT